AGTGGACAAAGAAGGCGAAAGGTATAGGTTCAACGGATGCAGGTCCAAGTTTGTTAGACAATAAGCTTGTCGAAACTATGCGGCATGGGGCATTAGTTGCAAAGTCTTACAAAAAATTTCAAATGGCTTCGAAATCAGGAGTGTGCTTCGATAAAGCATCAACAGAGCTTACGCGATTGTCGAGTGGCATTGAAAAACTCATGAATGACAGCATGTCTACCCCTGTGAAAAGAAAATATGGGGATGTGAGAGATCCAGACATAGTGAAGACAAAAGGGACAGCCTGTGTTGCCCCGAATTCAAAGAAGTCTAGAAAATGCTCTAAATGTCGCCATCCTGATCACAATAAAACTAGATGCCCGAGAGGTATGTACCCGTTCTTTCTGATCTTTGGTTGTCTAGGAGAGTGTATAATACTAAGTTTCCTCGTCTTATTTTGCATGGCAGAGTAATCCGGTGGTAGATTTATGACACGAAGAGATTTGGTCTTTTGGAGGTTGGCTAAGTTTGCTACTGTACTTAGTACCTGCCACTATTGTTGCACTTGTGCAATTATTGAGAAAGTTTAGATGGACTTCTTGTTGAATGCTATAGTCTTTTTAAGTAGTTTGTAGTTTGGAAACTATGAACTCTTTTGTTTTTAAGTGCATTGCTAATGGCACCAGTCCAGAATGTTCAAATTGTATTTGTTAATGTCATAATTTTGCTAAGTCCAGAATGATTCCGAGAAGATCTCGCCCTCATGCACCTTGACATGCTGCTGTTGTTGCAATTCGTCCGATTTTGCCAAGCAAACCATCGGAATCTGAATACACGATGGTAGACTTTAAACAATTCCTAAGGAATGCCTATTCATTAGAGAAGACAGCCACAATCAAACTACAATCCAATGACAAGAAATCGAGGCCACAACTTCTTATCATATCGCGTAAGAGAACTCTGGGAGTTGCTTGCTGCCACCGACAATTATAGTCGGGGTTAGAAAATTATTCTTTGTCATTCATAAGTTGTCTTGATTTAACGTTGAAATGACCATGTTATCAAATTTCTCTCTTTTTGTTTCGTTTTGAAGATAACTTGATTGGAGAAGGAGGGTATGCGGAGGTTTACAAAGGGAAATTGGCTGACGGGCAGTTCGTTGCCATAAAAAGACTAGTCAGAGGCAATTCACCGGAAGAGATGACCATGGATTTTTTTATCTGAGATCGTCTTTTTTTCTGAGCGGAAAATGAAGTTTAACTCGTGTGCAAATGCTTCTCTTTTTCCTTGTTTGAATAGCTAGGCTAGGCAGACGCATACCCCAACCGAAATGCGCAAAGATGTAGACTTGAGCTGTTCTTGTTGGTTTGAAAGAGAAAAGAGATAGCGTTTGAGATTTTAGCCGTTAGTTCTGGCCAGTTCAGAAATCTGTTTCGATGTTTGAGATTTTGGTACCTCTGAGTTGTTGATCGTGGTTGCCTTGTTAAGAGCTACTTCTAGTTGATTTTATTGAAATTGAGATGCTTTGTTTGAAATGAGGTCTAATATCACAGAAAAAGGCTGCAGGCTAAAGCATTTGAGAACACAACAGACAACCAACTCTTCTCAAAATAAACAGGCAATGTCACAACAGGCAACCAACTATCACCCTTTCCCCATTATTCCAAACGTCCAAACTATCAACCTACTGCACCCAAAATTAACTAAAATAAAGAGTAGCTTAATTAAGCTTTCCTCTTTATCCTGTTTAGTATACACCTAACATCATCAGCCTTTAATCATATCCTCAATGTAAGTCTCATAAGTAACAGCACATGGGAAGCATAATTCCACGTACAGATAATTGAGACAATGTTGTCCATCGCCTAACCACGGGCACTAATGGAAAAAAAGTCATGGGTTCACATCCGACGCGACATCAAAGATTATGCAGTCCTCAGCATCACTTCGGATTTTTTATCCAAAGCTTTTATTTCACGCATTGCCTCTCTGTTTTCTTCTATGTAAACTGGATCTTGACGAACAATACCCATAGCACCCCAGACGTTACCTTCACTCTTTTTATTCTGTTTATGCAGTAATAGCCATGAAACTATTTCCTTTCGAGCAGCCAAACCATGCATCTGCGATACCTACATAAGAACGTCAAAAGAGGAAGCCATTAATTATCTAAGATTAGAATGCACCGAAATTATTATGATGCAACATTTTGCTTCAAAAATTATCATGAAGCAACATTTCATCCAACACCGACAACTAAAAAGAGAAGATATATTAAAAATCAAAAAATTGTAAAACAAAATGAATATGACTACTTGGCTAACTTTGACACAGAGGCAAATTGTTGAACTTACTATCTGTCTTATATTTTCTTTACGGGAAGAATCGTCCTTTAGAGCGTAACTATCAAGCAAATATACCACCTTGCTTTCCATGTTAACAATGGCCAAGTACCAATGTTCATGCTCGCATATGGGGAAATAAATCTAAAAGTGGTAAGAAAAAAATAGATGTCAACTTCAGTTCATGATATGCATACATACATACAAAAATAAGACTCCTTAAAAAATAGTACACAACGAGAATGAAGCAGTATCTCTAACCTGCTTACAAGTAGCTATGTCTCCCATATAGTGACGTTTGTATCGCTGAATTAGCTGCTTGGTAGTTCGACGTTCTCTCCACGTTAAAATGTTATTCTAGATGAACAAGAAAAAACTTCAGAAATAAAATAAAAATACATGAAACATATAAAATTTCAAAAGCGTATGGAGACTCACAGTAAATGACCAGGGCATAAACCAATGATCGCTCTCTTTATTGTCCCGATATTCCAGTGTCAACCCAGAAACAACAAGATTAATTACCCACATAATTAATCATTAGAAATTTACTAAAAATTACCTTCACTTTTATGTATGATATACTATAACACTCACTCCTGAATGAACATGTTGTCCATCGCCTAAACTCCAAAGCTCTGATCTTGTTGCTTGATATGTTTCAAACTCCACCAACGTAGTGCTACATGATAGCAATAAGTAGTGAACAATATGTATTAATATTAGGTGAAAGAACCAAACTTGCTATTATAGAAAAGTCAGAATTTACCTTGGAGTATTGTATAGAAACTTCTTAGTAAATAGAAACGTTCATAAATTCTCAACAGGATCTGGAAGCGAAGTTACCAGATCTGTGTCAATTTCTTTAATTTTGAACTTCGCGCAAAGAGAAATTATTATAGTTATCAAGTTTTCAAATTATAAACACAAAAATAATTAAATGATTAAAACTCTAGTCGAACAATATCCAAGTTTATTGTACCTTATTCTCCCAATCATCATCTTTTTTTTTTTGATCGACCGCCTTTTTAGTACCTTGCTGTTTAGGACCTTGTTGTCTACCCCGACCTCTTACCGCTGGTTTGGCTGCCACATAAGGAAACTGAAATTGTGGACCGGCTTTGAGTACGTCTTTCTTTCGAAGTCCCATGTTTGAATCCTCTCTTGATCGAATCTTTTGATCTACTCCAGCCATAAGTCTCTCAAATGAATCTGTTTCATCTTCCTCCTGCCACAATTGAAAACAAGATTACCACAAGAAATTAAAATAATTATAGAAGCTGGTCATATTAATCTCCACGAAACAATAATGTTATCCATCACCTAACCACAAGCACTAATAATTAGAGAATAAATAGGGAATGAAGACGCATACACTTACATGTTGATTTGCCTTTCTTTTCTTTTCATTTTGAGATGGAATTGCATCAGTTGTCTTGTTTCCTTGCTTTCCCTTAAACCAACAAGTTCAATAAATCATCATATATAAAAGAAATTGTAAACTAAATTTGCAGACTCAAAATGGGTTTAAAACTAAAAAAATTACCAGGTGGTTTCTCTTAGCTTTTGATAATTGTAGAGGTGAGCTTGCATCATCTGAAAGCTCTATATTATCTTCTTTTGTCGTTAAATCATGGACTATGTTATTCAACTTATCATAAAGATTAGTTGAATCTTCAATTGTAATCAGATTGTCTCCGCTTTTCTTGTCTCCATTGATCATACCATTCGCATCAATCCTAACTTCCTCTTGTTTTCTTGTAAAAACATGCACAGTCGTCGGCTCATCCTCTATGATTATTTTTGGACCTCCACTTTGCAACTGACTTTGAATAGTGCCCAAAGTTGTGATTATTTGTGACATGGCATCATACATCTCCTTTTCAATTCACCTAATTGTGACTTCGTAGAATGCATATCTTTTTGGAACTCATTTCTCAATAGACCAATTTCTACTATAATATCCTGTGTCAAACATGAATAAAATAAAAAATTAAATTATTCTATCAATAATGCATTACTTCATCAATTTAAGATATGAGATAGTATAAGATACACTCATAATAAATAAATAAAATCTATCTAACCTCAATTTTGAAACAACTACCCGCATCTCCGCCAAATCCCACCTGCATACAAAGAAATTGAATGATTAGTTTTAGTCACAGTCTATTATTTAACCAAAAATATTAATATTTACCTGTATGCAATCAACTCCGCCTAAACTGGAAACCTTGCTAACAATCTTCGAAATGAACTTCTCATCCCAATGTCGTATGTGTGGTAAGGAGTTTGAATGACGAGTCAAGTTATGCATATTCACGTGCTCTAGGTAAAATATCTACAAAATAAGAGAGTAACATCCAATTTGATAGTCTGAAAATGTAAACATTACGATATTTTGACTAACTAAACTTACTTAAAAAAAATAGAACTCACATACCTCAAGTAATAAAACGCAACCAGTCACGTGTTGATCTCTTGATGCTCCATCCGATTTGTTTTGATAATCTTTTATACCCTCTAAAAGACCATCATAGACGAACTTCGCCCAATTCAAGTTCCCCGCAACGTTAACATTGGCCAATATTTTCAAATAATTGTTGGGAACATGAACGACAGTTGATGGTCTCAATAGTCTACACATTAAATATAAAATAAAATTTCCCCTAAACTCTTCACCGACCGTGAGATCGTTTAACATATCTGTTTTCAATCTCGAACATTTTATTTGTCCAGTACCCAAATTAAACTTTACCCTCACTTCATCATCCTCGCCAAGTTGGGTTTCCACATTCATGCCCCCAGCATGTAAACCCAATATGGTGACAACATCATTAACACTTAGGGTAAGACGATTACCATGCACACTTAGTTGACTAGTAGTCATATTAAACCTCATCATAAGGTCCTCAAGAAGTTGCATCTTCAATTTATGCTTTTTCAGATGCAAGAGCCCTCCAAATCCCATATCTAGAATGACCTTCTTTTTATCATCAGATAAACTTTCTACGAGTCCACAGAATTCTTGTACGCCACAACGACTGCTCAAATATACCTACATTATTTGAATTATGAAAAAGTGAATTGTTATTATATAGACAAATATATAGGGCATATCTCAACGTGTAGAACCAAAACTAAATACCTTTTTTGTTGACGCATCCATAGCATCGATCTTATCATTGTCGGCTTCTTCATTTAAACGTGTAGACCCATCTTCTTACTTCTCCTAAACATCGTGAATTTAAATTTATTACAACTTCATCTGGGACAAATGCATCATTATAAGCTCAATAAATAATTAACAAATTCATAAGCTTAATACCATTTTCTTTCTTGTTTGTTTTTCAGCGTCAACATGTGAAGAAATACCTTCACCCATCATACTCATTCGTAAGTTGTATTGAGTAGAACGAATATCAATTAAAACATACTTTAAAGCTTAACGTAAAAAGAACAGAACACTTAATGGACAATAGTCAATAAAGCTCTCTTCATCGAGAACTCCACGCTTGCTGTCTTTCTTTTCCAAGCAAATCATACATGGAATGCTGTTTCATTGTCAAAAAGGAAGAAAAATGTATGTGATTGGTGGATATTTAAGATCAAGTTTAACACGGATGGGATAGTCGAACGACACAAGGCTCCTCTTATTGCAAAAGGGTACACACAAATGGATGAGATGATTTTGGGAGTATTTCTCTCTTGTAGTTAAGCTCAACACAATAAAGTCATTGTAGGCAATTGGTAGTGTTAAGGTTTGGTTCATGTATAAGTTTGATGATAGTAATGCTTTTCTAAACAATGATTTAGAAGAAGAGGTGTTCATGGATCTATCACCCGACTATAACATATCCAATTACATTCAGATACCGGTTTGTTGACGAAACAAGTTTTTGTATGGACTTAAACAAGTGAGTCATCAATGGTATTTCTAGCTTACTTCTTCTCTTGTTAGTTATGCTATCGTGCAATCTCGCTACGATCACAACATGTTTGCTAAAGAATCTTATGCCACTTTCCTAATGATTCTTGCCTATGCAGATGATATGGTAGTGGTTGGACTAAATCTTTCCTACAAGGGCACTTTAAATAAGAGATATGAGACCAATTAAATATTTTTTCGGTCTTGAGATTGCAAGACATTCTTCAGGGTTGAATGTAACTAAAAAAAATATTGATTTGAACTTATTTCTCAAGCAAGGTTGATTGATTGCAAACCTGTTCGCACACCTATGGATATTAAAGTTAGGATTTCAGCTTTAGATGGAGATGCATTATCATACGTCACAAGTTACAAGAGTTTGGTTGGACGTCTGCAGTATATTGCCAGCACGAGACCTGATATATGCTTCTTAGTACAATAAATCAGTCAATTACAGCTTGCACCAACCACAACTCATTTCAGTGCATCACTTCGTGTGCTAAAATACTTAAAGAACTCACCGGAACAAGGTATGTTATTATTTTGTTTCTTCCTCTCTAGAACTCTTTGGCTATTCTGACTCAGATTGAGCGACTTTTCACTACACAAGACGTTCAATTCTGGATATTGTATTATGCTTGGGACTTCTTTGGTTGCGTGGAAAGCCAAGAAGCAAGAAACTGTTGCCAAATCATCTTCAGAGGTTGAGGATCGTGCGCTATCTAAGCTTGCCTCAAAGGTGGTTTGGCTGAAGGTATTCTTGCAAGAACTTGGTGTGCCTCGTACTGCTCGACCGTGGTGCTTCTACGACAACCGATCTAATATACATGTAGCAGAAAATCTGGTTTTTCACAAACCAACGAAGCATATAGAAGTTTATTGTCACTTTATCCGCCATCATTTCCAGTCAAAACTCATCACTTTAGATCATGTGGTGATTAAAGTTTTTGTTGTGGACTTGTTCACCAAAGCATTGAGACGACGTTGAATAGATTATTTATTGCACAAGCTGGGAATATAAAATCTGTACTCGCCAGCTTAACGGAGGATATTTGATTATTTGAACCTTGCACCTTAGGGTGGTAAGGAGAGCTACTTTGTAGAACCTTGTTATGACACTGTTTGATGGCTTATCTTTGTCATTAGTTTTCGCTTCATATAACATAATCATTTCTACAACTGTAGATAACAACAACTATGATCCTACAGCATACCAGTCGTTCCCATATATATATATATATATATGGCAAATGCTAGCGTACGTCAGGCGTATCCTTGATTTTTGCACTTCGATATATTTCGCTGAATCAGAACCGTCGGTTATTATTTTTTAGATTAAATGAATCTCATGGCTTGGGTTAGTGAATTAGGGACTGAGGTTCACCCATTAGAGGTTATGGTATAGTATCATGCCCAAAATTTTGGTTAATTCGTGCTCTAAATAGTAAAACTCGACAGGTGTACAATGTACGACTGACGTACGCTAGCCTGAACTATATATATATATATGACTCAAAATTTGTCTGAGAAATCACACAGCTCACAAAACCAAAATCACATGAAATTCAATTCAATATAGACGAAATATTTACTTAGATGCATTACATTTCAAACTAGATAATTGTTAGCATCTCATAAATATTCGCGTAAGATTCAATCACAACCTTTTGAATGCATCAATGAATTATTTACAGATAAATTTGGCAGAGTCCTCACAAATATGTGAAAATGAAACAATGGAATTGCACAACATTATATTTAACATCAATTTTGATTCTTAATTCCTCTTTTCTATTGTTTCGACTCCATAAATCCTACTCAAATCAAAGAAGAAAAAGCTAAAAAAATAACATTTTCAAACCTATATTGTATCCTATTTTCTTTTAGTGCGAGAATGGCAATCCAATTCTATACTACCTAATTCGCTTTAAATTTTGACCCACCTAAACTATATCCTCTCAACAAAAATTGATAATAAAATATTATATTTAATGATTTGTATGTCTACGGAGTATGACGTACGACGAGTTCATTGTTGTGGTCGGCCTCGACTAGCACTAGATGTTCGACGTTGAGCCGACCATCCCTCACGCCCCCTGGCAGGAGTTCTATCAGGCGATCTATCGAGAGAGGTACGCAGATCATGAGTTCACATTCAGCAAGTCCAGAGTCACCCTGTTTCGCACCCCATGGAGTATTGTGCAAGCTCTTCTCACCTACTCACTCTTCCCCAGTTAGGAGGTCTCTGGATTGGCAAGCCACTTTGGATTGGAGCTCAGCCACTGTCTCCTGGTCGGCCGCACCCGCGACTTCCCTGTTGATACACTTCAGTCCATGGGGTTGATTGGCCTAAAGCATGGAGTCTAGTACATCTGGCCGGGGTATCCAAATATCTTTCCTTTTCCCTAAGACGAGGAAACCAATGACATGCCTGTCGACCTTGACGAGGCAGCTATGGACGCCCCTGTACCGTGCGGATTGAGGAGCGTTTGGACTGGGAGAGAGATGGTTGCCACTACATGCACTTCCTGTTGATGCCTAATCTTGTTATGGCACCGTTGATGCCTAATCTTTGTAATTAGTAATAATCTTTGTAATTAGTTTTCGTCTTCGTATAACATAATCATTCTTTAACTGTAGATAACAACAACTCCTAATATGGGTTTTACCTAGTGATGACAATGGGGCGGGCGGTACGGGTACCTCAATACCCATGTCTCGCCCTACGGTACTGCAGGTCGGATTGGGTAAAACCCGTGCGGGTGGGGGGTGGGGGTCGACCCACTCTTACATGTTATTTTAAAAATTACGCGCAAATTTTACTTTTTACAATAAAACGAATGGGAAAACACTTACTGAATGAAAATAGTGATAATATAGTGGATAATTGAGTCTAACTAGTTGCAAGAAAGACTCTAACTAGTTGAAGAAAAGTCAAAATAAAGAGAAATATGTATAGATAATGTAAGAAATCGAGATATAATGGGCCTAGAGCGGCCGGGAGGGAGGGGAGGGGGGTGCATGACAGATTGGAAATAGATACCCATTCTCCGCCCCATGCTATTTCGAGTGGGGTAATACTTGCCTCATTACGAGTCAGATTGGATAATTCTCGCGAGTTGGGTTCAAATTCCCATCACTTGTTTTACCTTTATATATAGTCTCCTGGGATAGTAATGAGAAGTAAGGTTTCCCGCAATTTGTTTGAGAAATCGCAGAGCTCACAAAACCAAAATAATATAAAATTCAATTTAATCTACAAAAATTTTACTTTGATGCACTTCATTTCAAAGTTCAAACTGATACAATCTCCCCCACAATAGAAAGCATGGACCGAGGAGCTCTCTCCTCTCTCCTCAAGTTTGTTTGGTTGAAGATCGGGATCGTTATTGCGGCGGCCGGCGGAATCATCGGTAGATTGACCTGCCGGATTCTTGAAGAAGCGATTACAAACCAGGGAGTGCAAGATTGTAGCTGGATCGAGGGACTCCTTGCACCGCAGGTTCCTGGCCATCGAGATTGCAGATCTGCGGATACTGGAGTACAGCGGGGGCATGCATCCGCTAATAGGCGTCCAAGAGGTTGGAGAAAACAGGGGGGTAGGGAGCGCTGCCTCCCCAAACGGCGAAGAAGGCTAGACTCTGACTCCCTTTCGGATGACAGGACAGTTAAGCGTCCAAGGCGATGGAAACAACCGGGGTGGCTTTTCAGTCTCCCTTCTCCAGATGAAGTGGAAGGATTTGAGTGGGAAGCCCCATTTGTGTATTTGAGAAATGAAGTTGCTGGTGACGACCATGCCCAGGATGAACTCAGACCCCGAATTGGGGCGAGGGCATCCGATATGCAGGCGTGTGCTTTCTCGATCCCAGCGACCTTTGTGCGTGATAAGGGTGCGGAAGTAAAATGTGGATTTGGGTACAAATTGGAAATGACTAGAGGTCCGTTAGTCCAAATTGAAACGGCGGTAGCGGGATTCAGACCCCGTAATGGGGCAAAGCTTGGGTCAAAACGAGAGGAAGGAGAAAAGAAACTTGTTCCGCCAGGAGACCGTCCGGTGAGACTCGCCTGGATGAACTTGTGCCGGCGACCTATCCCCAGAAAAGGATTGTGTTGGGATGGGACTCTCACCGACCTCAAAGGGTATCCTTCTCCTACTCAAAGACGTGTTCTCCCTAACCGACAGAGATTGGCAAAAGGCGGTGAGAGAATAATTCATTCTGATCTCAAAAACAGAAATTGTAGTCTCCTAACTCAACTTCCCTTATCCTGGCGGAAACCCCTCCAATTACCACTGACTTATTTAAATCACTCGACTGGCCCCTTATTTCAGACTTGCTCTAAGCAGGCAAAGGATCAAGAGGGCTGGCAGCGAAACAGAGTGCAGCGAGGGGAACGGAACCTAGCTGGTAAGTGGTTTCTGTATCCGGCTGAAATCCTCTTTCGTGTTTCGTGTGATTGCAATATTGTGCATATCATTGGATTTGTTGGTTGGAGCTTCCCTTGGTCGGTGAGGGAAGAGCTTGGGACTGTCAACGATAGAGTTTCTGAATCCTTACCCTTTCAGGCGGAACCCATGGCGCGCATCACCAATGATCAAGTTGTGGAATTCTCCCTTGAGGAGGTTCAAGCTACTCGAGTTCACAAGTCAAGAATGCTCATTGGGCGGCTGTTCTCCGATGATCGACTATCCACTGCTGAGCTGAGAGATGCGGTGAACCGACCGTGGCAGGGACAAGATCGTATCATGGTACGTGAGCTGCCGCATGGACTATTCGAATTCACGCTTCCTTCGGAAGCAGCCAAGTCATGGGTTTTGCAGCGAACCCCATGGACGATTGCGGACAGAATCTTACATTTGAAGCCATGGATCCCTGCTGTTTCACAACGCACTTTTGAGGAATTGGCGATAGTCCCTTTCCGTGTCCAGTTATGGGAGATCCAGGAGGGTTGCTGCACGCCCCAATTCGGGCGGAAGATAATCACGTCCATGATAGGGCGCATTTTGGAAGCGGCTGTGTTCACTAGTGCTGACAATACCCGGAATTTTGTCAAAGTAAAAACACTGGTGGATTTTTCCAAACCACTGCGATCGCAGATCATGGCAACCAATGACGAGACGGGTGGTTTTTGGATCCGTTTGACGTATGAGTTCCTCCCTTGTTTCTGTTTTAAATGTGGTCGTGTGGGCCATGCTCGTCAGACATGTTGCTTTGATCCCCCAACAAGGAAGGAGAGATTTGGCCCACATATGTCGACTAAAGAGATGGGGAGAAAGGTGTTCGATGGGGACGAGACGAGGGTGCAAGCTGCCCGGATCCCCCGCTCAGTGTGGGTTAACACGGAGCTCCATCGGCCTCAAAGCCCAGGCGCAGACAGAGATTTGGGTCCCCAAAATCCTGTTACAAACAGGCCTCCCAAAAAAACAGGAACAGACGCGGCCTTGGGCCAAAAACGAGCTGGGCAAGTCAGGCAACAGGCCCGCGGGCCGGAAGATGGTTCGGAAAGCCCACTGTGGATGGGGTCGTCGACCAATCCGTTTATTACCACTGAGGATCGGCCTTTGAGGAGCAGCCCAAAGAAATTTCCCGTTGCAAAAGGGCCGAGACTTGCCCTGGGGAACTTGACCCGCCGTGGGAAGCCCAAGAAGAAGCAGAGGAGTCCAATGGACATTGACGGCCCAGTCAAGCCTCTCTTACGGGCTGGTCAACCGAAGGGGGTTAGGGCGGGGACGGGTGCTGACCCGGGCGGCAAAACGAAGGCAGGAAGGGGACCTGCTCCCTGTGAACCAGCTTCGTCGCCTGCCCCACGTCAACCAGTGGATCCCAAGCCAAAGAAGGCGGAGGGGAAATCGAGACCTCGCCGGCTGATCCTTGAGGAAGAATCGTAGGAAGAAGTCCTCTTCAGTGGCATCTCCTCTATGGGCCCGTCGCGGGAATCAAGTGAAGCTGGGGTTCACCGGCGCCGGCTTCGGCAAAAAGGGGTGGTGCTGGATGCGGTGCCGCTCAGGCAGATCCCCCCGGTGCAGAAGAATGAGGCTGGGATGTGCTCCCTGACCAGAGAATCGAGCCCCCGTGTGCAGTTGGCATGCGAGGAAACCCTGGGAGAAGACGAATTCGAAGAGGATTGTCAGCTCCAGTCACGGACGAGAGAGGTTAACCAGGAGGGTAAAGGGCCTGCTGGGGCGAAAAATGGGGCCGCTAATTTGGAAACAGGACAGGGTTCTTGGAAGCCCACCGATTCTTCGTCGGATGAGGAGTGCCCCGTTTTTGAAGTTAGGCGCCGATCTCCCCAGGGCAATCATAGTCTCAAACGCTTGGCTCGCTCCAATCGGGTTAACCAAGTGGTCAAAGCCTTTGAAAAAGGGATGTCCATGGCTGAAACGGAGACACCTTTGGCCCCGAACATAAATGGGCAGGGAGATGCTGGATTGGCCATTACTATTGATGAGTATGGTACTAATATTACTGATAAGATGCAAAGTCATAAGAAGCGGCAATTGGAGGACATACTAGGGGAGGACGAGGAGAGTCCGATTCCCAAAAAACAATTTGTGGAAGTTATGGAAGAAGCTGATAAGGTGGAGGAAGCCAGCCTAGAGTGGCCCCCTGTTGATAAATGAGGCTCCTCGCCTGGAATGTGAGAGGAATTGGACCATCCCTCACATTTCAAACTGCGTTTGGTTTAGTGCGCTCTAATAAACCGGATCTCGTGTTTTTTTCGGAAACGCGATCGAGACGGAGTGTAGTCTCCCGCCGTTTGCGGGGCCTAGGGTTTCTCTCTTCCTGTTGTTTTTTTGTCGATGCGGTTGATGCATCAGGCGGTTTGGTTGTGGCTTGGTCCCCTGAAGTTAGTGCTTCAGTGTTGTTTCATTCGGAGTTTTGTATTTGTGTTTTAATTAATGAAATGAACTTTTCGTATGTGGTGATTTGTGTCTACATTAGCTGCCATACTACCATTAGAGCCTCCCAATTGGCTCAATTGCGTGAGATTTGTGGTGATTTGTCCAACCCCTATGTTATCATCGGTGATTTTAATACTACTCTTCATGAGTCTGAGAAAGATGGGGGGAATCAGTGGAATGCTTCCCATTCAATTAGCTTACGTGATTTTATCCATGACATGGGCCTCATTGATCCAGGGTATCAGGGGGATACTTTCACATGGACAAATAAGCGAATGGGGGTAGCTTGTATTCGGGAGCGCTTAGACAGAGCTCTTTGCTCCCAGTCCTGGCTGGACCGTTTCCCTGATACTCTAGTGAAACACTTTACGGATCAGGGGTCGGATCACCGGACACTCTTGCTTTCCGATAAGCACTCTTGCTTTCCGATAAGCCTTACGTCCGCAATAATCGGCCCCTTTTCAGGTTTGATGCGCGTTGGGCCGATAATCCAGAAGTAAGAGCCATGGTGACCTATGTCTGGAAGGAAGAGGTTCAGGGAACTCCCATGTTTCGTCTTTGGGAGAGGCTCAAGAACCTTCGTCATTTGTTGTATGATTGGAGCAGAGCAGGAACGACCAATTCGTTAAGAAATATTAGGACTCTGCAGGCAGAAATTGACCGCCTCAAGCAAACCCATCCCATTAATTGGGATGAGGTCCGAACTCTTGAGCTTGAGTTAGGTAGACAATGGGAGGCGGAGGAGGAATACTGGCAGCAAAAATCCCGAGTCCGTTGGTTACAAAGGGGGGACAAAAATTCATCGTATTTTCATACGGTGACGAGGACCCGTCGGAAAAAGAATTTTGTGAGTGGGCTTCGGGATGATGATGGCCAATGGGTGACGGATGAGAAAGGGAAAGCGGATATTGCTACTAAATATTACAGTACCCTCTTCACGTCCGAAAACCAGGTTCAGGATATGCATAGACGTATTCATAGTTTGCCTATTGCCCAAAGTGTGACCCCGATCATGAATGAAGCTCTAACGGCTACTGTTCTCCCGGATGAGGTCCGAAGAACTGTGTTTTCCATGTGTTCAAAACAAGCCCCGGGGTCAGACGGTTTCACTGGAAAATTTTTTAAGGCCTTATGGGATATTGTGGGACCTTCGGTAGTTGAAGCAGTCTGTTCTTTCTTCACCTCTGGGCGGTTGCTATGCAGTTTCAACCACACCTGGCTCACATTAATCCCTAAAGTGGATTCTGTGGAAACAATGAAGCAGTTGCGTCCCATAAGCTTATGCCAATTCGTGTACAAAATTATAACCAAGATTTTGGCAGAACGCTTGTCCGTGATTCTTCCTCAAGTGGTTTCAGAAGGTCAGAATGACTTTATCAGAGAGCGTCAGATAGTGGATAATATCTTACTCGGGCATGAGCTCATGCATTATTTGAAAACCAAAACACAAGGGAAAAAAGGGTTCATGGCCCTGAAGGTTGACATGGAAAAGGCCTATGATAGAGTCGAATGGCCCTTTCTCCTTGAAGTTTTGGTTAAGATGGGTTTTAGCTCTACCTGGGTAGGATGGATTAAGGAATGCCTCATCTCTGCTTCTTTCTCAGTTATGATGAATGGTACTCCGTCGGGATACTTTTCCCCTTCTAGGGGGTTGCGCCAAGGGGATCCGTTGTCGCCTCTCCTTTTTGTGCTGTGTACTGAAGGGTTTGCGGCGCTTCTCCAGAGGGCGATAGCGGACAAAAAGTTGGCTGGGATCAAAGTGGCTCCACGGGCGCCCAGATTGTCACATTTATTTTTTGCCGATGACTCGTATCTGTTTCTGCGAGGTAACCTCCAGGAGTGTGAGAACCTTATTGAAGTCCTCAATGAATATGAGGAATTGAGTGGCCAAAGGGTTAATCTGGCCAAATCGGCAGTGTGCTTCAGTAGGAATATAGTGCAACAAGACCAAGAATTCTTGGCAGCAGTGCTGGGGGTGGGGGCAGTTGGCGTCCATGATAAGTATCTGGGTCTCCCGTCTTTGGTGGCCAGATCGAAGATGGAGACATTCCGTTATGTGGAAGCCAAATTGTTGGAACGTCTCCAGGGATGGAAACAGAGGACTCTTTCGTGGGCAGCTAAAGAAACGCTTATTAAATCCATTGCCCTGGCTCTGCCGCTGCACGTGATGTCCTGTTTCAAGCTCCCTTTGTCCCTGTGCCGCCTTTTAGACAGGCATGTGGCCCGTTTCTGGTGGGGTGAGAATGAAGGGCATTCGAGGGTGCGGTGGATGTCGTGGCGGGACATGTGCAGGAGTAAGCATGAGGGGGGTATGGGGTTCCGCCGTTTTGAGCTTTTTAATCAGGCACTCTTGGCTAAAATTGGGTGGCGTATCATCAGTGAACCGAATTCCTTGCTGGCCCAAGTGTATCGGGGTAAATACTTCCCTAATGGCCATTTCCTAACAGCGAAAGCTAGGTCTAGGCCTTCCTGGGGTTGGCAGAGTATCCTGTTTGGTCGCCAGCTCCTAGAGATGGGATTGAGATGGCAGGTTGGGAATGGGCGCTCAGCATCTATGCTCCATTCTACTTGGGTCCCGGAATTTCAGTTTCAGCCCATTTGTTACAATCCGCAGGTATTGCCGGCTGGTGGTGACCCTCTGGTGGCCGAGCTTATTTGTCAAGGGGAGGGACGTTGGTGTGACCAAAAGCTATTGCAGTGGTTTGACCCCGTGACGTGCCGTCTAATCAAGGCTATCCCGCTCCCGCGAGACAATGTTGAGGATAAGCTCATTTGGTATGGAACAGCGGATGGGGTATTCTCGGTCAAATCGGCTTACCATCTGGCTGTCTCATTGGAGAAAAGGAGAGGGAGTGGGAGGGCTTCTGTAGATTGGATGGATAGGGCTAGTTGGATTCGGCTGTGGGAGGCTAATATCCCGCCTAAGCTGAAGGTTTTTGCTTGGCAGATCTTCAATCGAATTTTGCCGACTACTGAGGCGCTTATTAGTCACCATATCCCGGTCCTGCCCCGTTGTCCGGTCTGTTGGGGAGGCCCAGAAACTTTGGAGCATCTTTTTTTGGATTGTCCGGTCGCGCGTGCCCTATGGGGGGCGGCGGGGTTGGAACATCTAGGGGAGGGCCTTCCACGACATACCTTCCCTCTGTTCCTTAAAAAGTTGCTGGCCTTGGTTTCTCAGCCGTCGCTGTGGATGGCCATTTTTGCGGTACTTTGGCGGATATGGAAGGCCCGAAACTGGGTTGTTTTTGAAGGAAAGCAATTTAGTCTTCCGGCGCTTCTACGCCAATTTACCCAGCAAGTGGAGGAATGGGCGCGCCTCCCGGTTGAAGACAGATTCCCAACCCCGGTAGTAGTGGAACAAGGCCCTGGGATGGTGGGCTCTGCTGCGTTTGTCTGTACTTGGGACGGTGCCACGAGGAGGGGTTCGCATTCGGCGGGTGGCATGGTGCTTATGACTGCCTCTAGTGCCGTCCTCAGGGTTGCCGGTGTCCAGTTTCCAGCCATTGATGATCATGCGACTGTGGAGTTGATTGCGCTACGTGAGGCTCTTCTCTGGTGCTTGGGTCAAGGTTTAGCCTCGGTTAGGTTTGAGGGAGATGCTAAGGTTGTCATTGACAAAATCAGGAGGAGGGATTCAAGAGACAGCAGGTTGGGTGCTATTTTGGAGGAGGTGATAAAGATCTTTGACAGTAGCCCTGGGTTCAGTGTCCGTTTTGTAGGTCGGCATAGAAATAGGGTAGCCCATTTGGTGGCTAGAAAAGCCCTCGCCTTGTATCCGATTATGAGTCGTGCTTTTAATTTCTAGGCCTGGCTGGTTTCCAGGATGTAACTATCGTTTTCATTATCAATATATGATTATCTTTTGTCAAAAAAAAAAAAAAATTCAAAGTTCAAACTAGATGATCATTGCTTGCTCTTGCTCAGACTTATTATTAGCATCTCATAAATGTTCACATACGATTCATAAATCCTACTCAAATCAAAGAAGAAAAGACTGAAAATGCATTTTCAAACGTATTTTGTATCTTCTATGTGAGAATGACAATCCAATTCTATACTGTTTCGCTTAAAATTTTGACCCACCTAAACTATATTCTCTCAACAATAATTGAGAATAAAATATCATATTTAATGATGTGAATGATTTGTAAGTTTAATATCAATAGACATTCGGTTAGAATTTTGTCACGCGGCCCATGATCCCGAAACGGATTGAATTATCAAAGCCTTCCATGCGCCTTTCATACCAAACCAAAACTCATGTATTTGGACATCTATCTTGATTCTTGGATTTTATCGTAATCACTAATTAAGGCTGTGTTAATTGTCAAAATTTAGACTAACACGTTACGTAACTACTACCTTTGCTTACACGCCAGCCTACAAACCTCCACATATATACAGAAACAAAAACAAGAAAAAAAGGAAGCAAACAAATTCCAATTTCCCTTCCTATCTTTCTTGTTTCCCCCCCTCCTATCCCATTCCCACCCACTTTGACTCACTTCACTTCACACGCCACACTTCTCTCGTTCAAATCGTCTCCTGTTCTTCCCACCTGAATCGGAATCGCCGACGACGGAAGAAAAATGGACTTCGATTCAGCGAAGTCGTCGCTGGTCCGATTCCGAGCTTCCGCCAATTCCTTCCTGTCCGATGTCGAGCCGCTCGCCCTGCTTCTCGCCCCACTCCTCACTCTGTTAGTTGCTCGAGTAGTTCAATCGTTTCTTCGTTGCGTTCACGATAATGGAGCCAAACCTCTGATCATAGGCTTCGTCATGAGCTCCGTCAAGTGAGTGATTTGAGTTCTGATTGTAAACTTGCTGTTCGGTTTCACGTTGCTCTCTAACTAATGGGGAAAATTTTTTGGATTTCATGCCGGAATACTACTAGGTTGGTGCCTGGCGTGAAGCGTTATATCGATGCGGAGAAACAGAAGGTACGTATGCGCTGCTCTCTCTGCGTGATTGGTTGAGTTGTCGAATTGGCCCAATTCCCCTTTGTTGATTTGATGGGGCCATCGGGTTTTCAAAGTTCTCTGTTCAAGCTCATTTAATGGCTGTTTGATAAAATTGCGGGAGGGAAGAATAAGACTAGAATACGGTCACGAATGAACAAAATGTTAAACTAGAAGCTGGGCATTAAATGCTGTTTCTGGACGGATGCTGGAGAGGGAGATATTGGCTGCTTTTACAGGAGCGGTTCTGGGATTATTAACGTGTGAATATGTGGGGTCATTGCAAGGGATAAACTTGAAAGCAATGGTGTTTATAAATGCTGTTCTGAATTGTTTTCTCCTGAAGTCCAACGTTCTCTGTGGCGGATCACCTAGCCAACTAGGGCCATATATTTTAATTCAGGTTTTACCCAGATTTAAACTTATCCTAGTGGCTTCTATACAACAATTTTTTGATGTCTTCACTTGTTTAGTTCTTGATTAGTAATAACGGTTTCAGTGCCCTTTCGAAGCTAGTGTTTACAAAAAAAAAAGTTTTCATCAATTAAATGAATGAATTATATGTAGATATAGCATTGTTTTACCAAGGACCTTTTGAGGTTGAGTTGAAAGCTTTTTACCTTGGAGTGCTTCTTTTGGGGTACATTGTCAACCATAGATTTGGTTGACATGGTACAGAGTGAACTATATATCCTATTTCATCACTTACAAGGATAAGCAGCAAAAAAGAACTCCATTTGGAATTTTGTTTATCCTGTTATTGCCGTCATTTATGTCCCATATGATGAATTGTCTACCTTTCAGATACTAATCAATTGGTTTTGTACATTCAATGGCATGAGTGGGTTTAGTGGGCATAGGCACACTGTTGCTTGTGCAGATCCATAATTGTGATGTGTTTGTTTTCTTTGTGGACCTTACTACGTGTGTAAGTTGAGGTATTTATTTGATCTACAAAAGGGGAAGAACTTCTCTGTCCTTGCTCATTTGTGTCCACCCTAATTCTTTCTTATGTATTAGCTCGTGATTGTGTTAGGAAAATGATTTTTGTTTTCCAATCATATCGAGGCCCATGCACTTAAAGATGTTAATCTGGTGCTGATTGACTGTGCAGGTTGTTGACCAGATGCAGTCTGGCACCAAATCTAAGAGGGCGGGATGGATGTCGGAGTTGCCTAAAGAAGGGTTAGGGCCGGGAGTGGTCGAAAAGTTGAAAGAAGAGAAAGATAAGGATGTAGATTGGCGGGGCAAATGCTCGGGTACAGTGTATGTCGGGAATGGTTGTCTTTGTAATTAAGTTTCTTATGAAATGATGCTTAGAAATTTTCCATTTTACTCTTAACATTGTTGATAATTTCGTTATTAACATTTGTGGTTGCAGTTACATTGGTGGAACTGAATCTGAGGGTCATTTTGCTGTGATAAACGAGGCCTGCTCAATGTTAGTAAGAGATGAGATGTGCCATTTCTTTCCAGAGGTCATGATGATTCTGCATGATCCTCCTAAAAGCATCTTCGTTTTGGATGTTCTTAATTGAATTGGGAACAACAATGTACTTCCTTGTTCTCTTAATGTGATAATTGCAGCATTCCTAACTGTTTAGACAAATAAAGTGCTACTCACCCGTGACAACCTCGTTGTCCAGTAATAACCACAATCCTGATGCTTTCCAGACTAATAATTCATCTTATTACTTTTCTTGGATGTTGAATGAAATTCACTTAGGAGACTTCACATCGAACTTGTAATACGTGCTGATGAAATTGCTTATGACATCATGCATTGCGGAAAAGGAGACATGTCACATGCATTATAAATTTATAATAAGCTTTTAGAAACTCAAATTTAGTTGTAAATTATGGTTAGGACATTACCGCTACTTGTTATTCTTGCTGTTAAGTCTTTGCTGTTCTTGCATATGCAGAGATTCTTTTGGTGTAACAGGCCTAAACTTCCACATGCATTTTCCTCAGGTTTGCACATACAAATCCATTGCATTTGGATGTGTTTCCAAGTGTAGCTAGATTTGAGGCAGAAGTTGTGGCAATGACGGCTGCCCTGCTTGGAAGTAAAGAAACGTCTTCTGGAGGAGAAATATGTGGGAACATGACATCAGGTGGAACGGAGAGTATTTTGCTGGCTATGAAAACATCTCGAGACTACATGAAGGCTAAGAAGGGAATTCGAAAACCTGAAATGTCAGTAAATTTCTACTTCTCACTTCTACTTTGTTCTGCTTTTTTCGTAGGAAATTCTAATCTATTGATTTTTCATCTTGAGCGCAGGATAATACCTGTATCAGCACACTCAGCTTATGACAAGGCTGCTCAATACTTTAACATCAAGCTCTGGCGAGTTCCTGTAAGTAAAGAATTTCAAGCAGATGTTAAGGCTATACGAAGGCTCATTAACAGAAACACTATTTTGGTAATCATTCCTTGTCTTCTCCTATCTCTATCCAGAAGGGCATGGATGTAAAAGTGCCCTGATTTCAAATTTTCGATTGATTTCAACTTCCTGGCTCTACAGATTGTTGGATCTGCCCCTGGGTTTCCTCATGGCGTCATCGATCCCATTGAGGTATGTGATTCAGTATCCTCTTTTTTAGCTTCAAACTAGGGCCTTCTTTGTTCAATTGATTTAATTCTAGTCTTCTGTGAATGCTTCTAAGCTATATGTTATTTTGTAGGAGCTTGGAGAATTGGCTTCTAGCCGTGGAATATGTCTTCATGTTGACCTTTGCCTCGGTGGATTTGTGTTACCTTTTGCCCGTATGCTTGGGTATGATGATCTTTTGCAGAAGACATGTCTTAAGTTGGTGGATTTTTTACTTTTGTTGCAGAACACAAAGTTCTTTGTTGCTAGGAAATTCTATTAGCGGTTCTTTGATGGTAGTGATGTTAGTACTCCAATGATATTACACATTTTACTCCAATCTTCGGAGCCCACTAGATGCGATTAGCAAGATGCATATCTAGTAATAAAGAACAGAGTCTGTTTTCTTATAGCCATCCTTTTTCAGTGAACGTTGCTTCAGTCGTGCATAAAGAACTATGCATGTTTACTTCTGCCACATAAAATTGTAATCTTTGCAATTTTGAATTGTTCAGATACCCAATTCCATCATTCGACTTTACTGTTGAAGGAGTGACCTCAGTGTCAGTAGATGTGCACAAGTACGGGCTGGCTCCTAAAGGAACGAGTGTAGTTCTGTACAGAAATCATGAAATTAGAAAGGTAAAGCCACTATTACTATTAGTCTCTCATTTCCTGATGCCACGAGCAATGTTTCTTGATGCTATGAGCAATGTTTCTCATTGCTAGTTCAGTTAACACCTTCATTCTTGAACTGCGGATTTCATTCATGACTTCCAAATTGAGTCCAGTTATGTTCTGCCGCTGTCTCTTTACAATTTTCTCCTTTTTTTTAGTAAACTTGGAGTTAAGATAGTTTGGATGACAGAGGGGAGTTTTACATGAGTATCATCCTTGTTTTTAGAGGTGGGCATGGTCTGTTCCGATTGTGACTCTTAACAGAATTGATATAGGACTCGAAAATAAAGGGAAAATGAGAACTGGGATTGGAAGGAAAATGCATTTGGTCTGCTTTTTGCTTTGTTTTTAAATTGATTCATGGAAACAAAACCAGAAAAGTCTTCAATTCGAGAATCAAAACTGCATTGAATTATATTTGATAGGGCCAATTCAATCACAATATCGATTTCTTACAATTTGGTCTAGTGTGGATCAAATTGGTGCCTACCCCTATTTGTTTCTGCAATCTGATCTCGTTGAATTTGGTTTCTGATATGGGTTCTCTTGTCATGTCCTCATTTCTGGTGGCTATCATGGGTTCTTCAACAGCATCAATTTGTTGCTGGTGAGTTTGCCTTCTGCTGCAGACAACAACTTAATGGTTTTCATTTCTTGAAAGGTTGAATTTCAGTTGCTAACCTTTTGCCATTGGTGCAGTTACTGAGTGGTCGGGTGGCCTCTATGTGTCTCCGACAGTTGCTGGAAGTAGGCCAGGAAGTTTGATTGCTGGGGCTTGGGCAGCAATGATTTCTCTCGGCCTACAAGGTGATGAATGCAACACATTTCATTTCCCAGCACGTGTTAGTCCAGAATCCAGATGTTTCATCAGGCTGTGTTATTTATGAATTCCATTCTGCAGGGTACTTGGAGAATACAAAAGCCATAATGGAGGTATCAAAGCAAGTACAGAAGGGGTTCGTATTAGTTCTGCTTCCACTTTTGAGCATTTTTCGCTTTCTCGAACAGCAAGTTTTCGAAATCTGAAACAAACTAAAAGATACTGTTCTATTTGAAGCAGAGTACAAGAGATCCCCGAGTTATTCATCATTGGAAAACCAGATATGACGATTGTGGCATTTGGATCCGATCTCGTGGATATATTCGAAGTCAACGACATCATGACGTCCAAAGGCTGGCATCTTAATGCATTGCAGAGACCCAACAGGTAGACAAGCTTTATATATATATATCAAGAATAACCTTTTTGTCTGGATTTTCTGGCTCATCCATATCTGACTTCCATTCTTCTTTGTTGGAACCAGTCTTCACATCTGCCTTACCCTCCAACACGTATCAATCTACAAGGACTTCCTCGTCGATCTGAAGGAATCAGTAAACACTGTGAGTTGTCCAAATAACAGGAATTTACAGAATCGCATCTCAAACATTATAATGAGTTAAACCAGGGTTCTCGTTCTTCCTACAACAGATGTCAGACCACTGATTCCTCCTTTACGCCGCTGTTGTTTTTGTCAGGTGAAAGCAAATCCAGGTCCTATAAAAGGAGGGCTCGCTCCAATTTATGGTGCTGCCGGGAAGATGCCTGATCGAGGGATGGTTCAGGATTTGTTGGTTAATTACATGGATGGTACATGTTAGGTCATACCATAGTGTTATACTTTTCCCAAAAACTAACTTCCCAACGCCATAAAAGTGCAACTTTAAAGACTTTGTTTCTTGTGAATGGGTTGGTTTGTTGTATTGTATTGTTGTGGCTGTGCAACAGTTTCTTAAGCTGGAATGTGTGATTGAGCCATTTGATGCTAGACCTGCCTCTAAATTGTGGACACACGGTGGGCAGCTTAGGCATGTATTAAAAAATGCTACAACATTTGCAACCTTTAAGGAAGTCACTAAAACACGCTGTTTACCTCGAAGCAAGGTTGTCAAACCGGTTTATGGCAGTGTGCCGGTTTAGCAAGTGGAATGGTTCAATCGGTGGCACATACCGGTTTGTGCCGGTTCATGTCGGTCAATATTATAAATAAAATTATAAATACTCATATTTAAACATGGCATTTAAACGTCAATACCTAAACATTTATATTTGAATCCAACAAATAACATCAATATTTAACTTTTATACTCATAAAATAAATAATAAAATAATTTTTATCAATTAAATTCTCTAAAATAAGATCATTTTACTTAGAGGTTCATATATCGATCATGCTGGTCATACCGGTGGTGTCACGCCGGTTTTATGACCGGTACCGATTGAACCCGGTACAATCGGTGGCACGCCGGCGTGACAACCATGCCTCTAAGTCTTTCACACTAGTTTTCTAGTCAATTCCACACCTGGTTGTTATGATTCTACCAGTCAATATCCTCTTCCTAAACACTTACTATATAACCATCTTCCAACCTCTGCACAAACATTTTACTCTCTCCATTTTGTTTCTCCTGATCCACAATGTTACTCTCATGCAGTTGGAGAAGCTTGTTGGGACCAGAAACTATGAATGATGAGTTCAAAGCATTAGATGAAATAGGAACTTGGAAGGTTGTTGACTAAGAAACTGGTATGAAGGTGATAGGAACTAAATGGGTGTTTAGAACCCTAGTACTTACAAGATGGTCGAGTTGATAGGCACGACTACTCTGGCAAATATATAATCAAAGATCACTAAGTATGTACAGCTCATAACACAAGGGCTGATTCTTGGCTTTGGAGAAATCTGCTGATGCTAAGGAGCTGGTTTCAATATCGTATGGATGTTAATGCTGAGGGGATTGTCACTTGGGAGGGGCTGCCTATGGTCAAGTTTTCAGTAAAGAGAGTCTGGGAATCTATCACAAGGAAAAACAATAAAGTTGAGTGGCATTGATTGATTTGGGGGAGCTGGTTTCAATTTCTTAGTTTGACCCGAACTATACACAAACTTTCCACTTTGGCCTGTGGTATCGGAAATCGCTGTTCTGGTCTGAATTATGTAGCATACCTCCTTATTTAACCTGGAGGCGTGTTTGACTGTCAAATTAGACGATCAACCGAGTTGACCGTTAGTCAAGGTCCAGCTCACTTGTCACGTCAGCTACTAATGTTCGATCTGCTTTCAATTCGATTCATTATTTTATTTTTATTTTTTGTACTTATAGATAACTCTTCAACTCAAGCTAATATATTATGATCCAATCCAGTCAGTAACAACAAAATTGACCGTCACTTTCACAGAGAAACAAAAAGTTGAAATGTCAACTTTCCTTAAGGTAAATGTTCCTTTCAATGAAGCTGGATGGGGTAAAAATGGGATGTGGGTAAGACTGTAAAATGGTTCGTTTTCATGAAATTGAAGAAAGGGTTCGTCAGATAATAAATACTATATTACTACATACGTAGTGTAACTTGTCTTTTATTGTCAGCCCCTTCCACTTGACCATCCCTCTCCTCTGATCTAAACAGCAAATCGCCATCCCTGGCCTGAATCAAAACCCCAAAGACATAGATTCTCAAAATTTTGAATTATAACTGTTTTAGGGTTTTGGAATTTCATCTTCTCCTTTTTCACTTCTGGCTGCCCTACTATTATTCTGGCCTTTTTCTCATTATTGCGGCCGGGGCAAACCAACAAGAAGAAGGGATATGGGAAGTTCATTATAACCGACGTCCCATCTCCATTGTCACGGACCCAATCACCAATTTTTTTTATTTTTTTTTTGGATAAGCCCGGCCACATTATCCACACAATCCATCAATTCCACCACCTCACACAAAATCTGATTTACTAATAGCTTTAAGGCTAGTTAGGGATGGAAAGAATACCCGAATTTCAATGTGGATGATGATTTCGGTTCAATATGAAATTGGATTGGATTGATGTACATGGTTGAGTGGCGAATGAAGAGAGGATGATTGGAAATCAAATCGATACATCAAAGTCCAGTTGGTTCATTCAAGTTTTTGACTTGGATCTATTTAGTTCATCGATGGTACGTAAGTGATAAGATTAGATTGAAATCAAATGTTGACTCGAGTCATGCGCTACGAGTCTTTGGTAAAGCATTGGTTGAATTTGTAATATAAAAAACAGTCATTGTCTTTATTTCTATTACGAATGTTGAATTGTCATATATTTTTTTCTTTTCAAACCACATATTAGAATGAAAAACAACTTGTATCACCTTGTACTAGAGTCATGTGAAACTCGAAAAACAAATATTTGATATTGAGATGTATGTGTAATGCTCACCCAATATGAATTCTCTTTTTTTATATCTAATAACAATGTCAATATTTCATTTCATATTGTCAAACGGGTCGATTAGATAGAGATTTATGAAATTTTGAATAATCAATAGACTCATCCAAAATCGTCCTAAACCACCCTTTTTCATGATTCATGCGTACCCTAATCTAACTTGAAGTGGATCCTCGTCCTACCGACTAGACACAAGGCTTCATTTTAGGGATATGCCTCCCAAACAAAGGGCACCCAAGTCAAGATTTTGATTTGTAAGGAGAAACCTGGAAACTTTAATAAAGCATGGAAAAGCATCAACACACCATGAATTCTCTATTCATTTATAAACGACATTATTGCTAGGTAGCGAGCTTGGGTTGGGGGGAATGAGAATTGTCGGAAAGTAGATGAGGTGTGTAGTTAGCAACTAGGATAGCAGAGCAGAGGATTCCACCCAGCAGCAGCAAAATCAATCAAAAATTCAAAAAAGAAACAAACAAAAAACCCGAATAATAACAATAATGGGGACGAAAAACAATATATAAAATAAAAGCAACGGGAAAAATAAATACAAAAAAAAAGGCATAGGAATTCGCATCCACTCATTCATTGACATTCAAAAAAGTGTAGCCTCCCAATGAGAATTGATTAAAGTATAAACACTGGGATTTATAATTAACTACTCCCGTCCCATCCCATGCACCATTTTTGTAATTTCATTGTTTAAGTCTTAAGTGGCCGATTTGAGTGTACGATTTCATGGGCACTAAATCATTACATTTTTAAGTTAAGCCTCATTTAATTCGCGAATATGAAAAAAATGAGAGTTTTTATAAATTTTGGATTGTGAATAACTATAGATTTATGATTGATTTGTTGGTATTATAAATTTGAAATTTTTGATTGTTTGTTTTTTGGATTTATTGTCGATTTTGCTTGATTTTTTTTTGACAAAAGATAATCTTGTATTGATTCCGAAAAAATAGTTACATCCTGGAAAGCAGCCAGACCTGATAGTTAAAGACACGACTCATGATCGGGTACAAAGAGAGGGCTCTCTTAGCCACCAAATGGGCTACCCCTATTACTACTAAGACCTACAAATCGAACCCTCAATTCAGAATCTTGTATTGATTCCGAAAAAATAGTTACATCCTGGTAAGCAGCCAGGCCTGATAGTTAAAGACACGACTCATGATCGGGCACAAAGAGAGGACTTTCTTAGCCACCAAATGGGCTACCCTATTACTACTCCGACCTACAAATCGAACCCTCAAGTCGATTTTGCTTGATTATATTTGTTAGTATGATGAATTTTTAGCCTTCATCAAATAACCCCCATATGGGATTTGCCAATTTGCAAGTTTTTTTTAGATTCATACCCTTAAAACAACCATGAGCCCCACAAATTTTACATCCTAAAATTGGCTAGCAAATAATGATATTTGAGACAGTGCATAGTTAATTGCATTTTAAACCGAATCCATGACGCAAACAAGTCCTTAACAACTATTAGATCAAGTCACATCAAATAATGAGGAAAAAAAAACTGTGCAATCTGTAGCAAAGTAGTCACATCATTGATCATAGTCGTAGCTAGCCCTAACTCCTAAGTTATTCAACCAAAACATAAGGTTATCTTAAGTTTCAAACTTTGATTTCCAGCCAGAGAAGGACACAAATTGCAACTATTATATAAATTTATCTGTGGCATATAATTACCGTGTCAAAGAGTTTCAGGTTCTACCTGATCAATTTTGAATAACACCCAAATCCGATTATTGTGTCATTAGGAGCAAATCCTAGACATATATCGTACAATCAAAATAGACTTATCCAATAATCTCAAATCATTCAGTTCAGGGTATAGCATTCTATAATTAATGCCAACATGTTCATCTCCGACAATTTCCTTATTAATGGCCTAAATAATTGTTAAAGAACCTATGGCATGGTTTTAATTATATGGCATTATAATTATATATAATAATAATAAACAAAAATAAGAGCCTAGCAGCCAAAAGACGACACTCATCACTTGACTGGGCCGGTGGCCCACCAGCGCCAGAAACTATCTCGCCAATCCCTCACCTAATCACCACAATACTTAATCCCCAAGCAATTACGAGAGAAATGTACTGATTAAACAAATCGAAAACAGAAAGGAAAGCATCCATCAAAATCAAAAAAAGGTCGGATTAGTAGGCTTCGCTTCAGAATTATTAACAAATTTCCTTATCTTTTTCTTCCCCCCACCTTCATTTTCCCGGAAAATTCAGCCAAACAACCTCCTCCGGCGAGAAAATCCCCACTTCCCCGCCGGTCGAAATGTGCAGTGTGCAGTCTCCCTCGATAGTTACACAAAATGTCCTCTCTAGAGAGACAGACATGAGAAACCCATCATCGAGATTTGAACAAAAAAGAAAGCTACTGAGTAATAATTTCTAAACAAAGAGAGAGAGAGAGAGCTTAGCTACTACTGTAATGGCGTCGAAAAAACAAAATAATGCCTTCCTTCCTTTCCTCCTTTTGCTGGGATAGAGATAGGGATAGGGGAGATTAAATATTCGGACCCCAAAGACTCCATAAACGCGAATTCAACAACCCGAACACGTCCGGCAGCACTTTCCTTCCAATCCCTTTATGCCCGCTGCCGCCTTCCGCGGCCGGGGGCAACCTCAGCACCACCGCCCTTTCTTCCTCCTCCCTCGCCGGAGGCGAGGGAGTCTCGACCTCAATCTCAGCGGGAGCAAAAGAAGCAGCTGGTTCATCAGTCGTCGTCGTTACCTGCGACGGCGGCGGCGGAAGGAGCTGATTCAGCTTGGAATCGGAAGCAATCTCGGCGGCGGCGGCGGCGGCGACGCGGCGGGAGGTCTTGTCGCGGCGCTTGCTCTTCTTGGGCTGTTCGGCGGTGAGGAGATGCTCCTCGAAGGCTTCGATGACCTGGTGGATGAGCTCGCGGTTGGGGGAAGAGTCCCAGCGGAACCAGTAGCTGGTGTAGCAGTCGAAGCAGTCGCAGCCGAACACCGGAGGCTTGTGAGGAGGACCGCTGCTCGTGCTTCCGCTTCCGCCGGCGTGGTTGGATGATGGCTTCTTGGAGGATTTTTTGGTGGTGGAGAGGGAGGAAGGAGGGGTGGATTTGAGGGACATGGTGAGCATGTAGGCGAGGACTTCGCGGTCGGGGAGGGAGAGGACGGAGGCGAGGGCGAGGATGGCGGCGGGGAGGAGGCTGAGGACGGAGAGGAAGTCGGAGGAGGCGGCGGAGGGGGAGGGGAAGACTTTGCCTTTGTTCTTGAGCTTCATGGCGGTGGTGGCGGTGGTTGTGGTTGAGGGAGAAAAAGGGGCGGAAATAGAGGGAGGAAGGGGATGGATGGGTTTTACCAGCGGAGGTGAGTGTTTGGTGAGGAGAGAGAAAGGGAAGAGGGGTATTTTGGGGAATGAGTAGAGGGGTAAAGTTGGGAGTTTATTTTATTTTCCTTGTTAAAGGTGGAGAGGGAGGGGAATGACGTGGTGCCTTGGCTAGTGGGTCAAAGTTGGATGTCTAGGTTGGGACTTGGGATGATAGATAATTAGATATACTCCAAACAAATCCATTTTTTTTGGGTATTTAGTGAAAGTTTTAAACAAAAATATTTGGTTTAATGAAAAACATTTATATCTATTATACGTAGGAATTAGCCTTTATATCATTGAGAAATGAATAAATTGATTGTTTTTTTTATTGTTTTCATCGTGCTTAATATGGTAGTTAAGAACATTTTTGAATGATTTAATAGTGTTAATTCAGACTCGATATGTTATTTTTCGCTTGAAAAGATGATTGCTACACATAAGAGTATAATAAGGAGATGATTTTATTATGATTTTGCTAATGGTTATGAATATGAGGATATCAACCCTCATCTCATATTCCTTGATTATGAGTTGGATAAGTAGTTTCTTAGTAGTATCATATCCAAACAATACAGGATTACCCATATTGGTTTGGAAAACGTGAATCATCATTCATCCATGAGTATTACACATAACATCCCACGGAAGCCAAAACAAAAGGTTCAGGTTTCTCATATTAGATGTGCCAAAAAGAGAACCATGCATGCCCTTTACAAGCCAAAAAGTCCGCTGCAAAATTGCTCTCTCTATACACACATGAGAGACTCTTACTTCCCAGTTTCTACTTAAGGGTATCCTAATTGTTTGGCCAAGAGACCATGTCGATGGTCATCTTCATTTGCATTTTTTATGATGTTGATTGCCGTTAGAGAATCTAGATTAAACCGCGCTCTTTGTTACCCGTTGTTCCAAGTAAGTTTAAGGCCTTCTATTGTGCATTTTCGCTCTAGGCAGGTGATTGAGCATACTCCCATGTTATTGACGAAAAGACTTATACATCGTCCCTAGTCAATGATGAGTCCTCCCGCCACTTCCCTACCAAAGGGAAAAACAACATATTCGTCGGTTTGGACTTGGATCCCGATGATTTCCCTCTTGCTTCCTTCAAGTTGGTTAAAAGCCATTCTCGAAACTCATGTTAGTGTTGTGGTATATGATCCACGATTGAACCTCTCCCAACAACTCGAGTTATTGGGAGCAACTGGTTCTTGACAACTCTAGGTTTCGACCTTGTGCCACAATCCAAATGAGAAAGTAATTTTCCCAATACTTATATAATGAAAAGGATAATTGATTTATGTGTGATGTGATTCATATGTTGCTAATTCTTAATTAACAATCAAGAAATGCATGCTACGCCTTTTGTTTTACAAGAGAAGAAAGGTAGTAATCCTTTAATAGGAAGAATACCTGTTTATAAAATAAAACAAAAGAAAATAAAAAGAACAATACCAAACACCCTTTGTCTACTAACCAAGGGGACACAAATTTCCTGATGTGTGTAGCTAGCTCCTTTTGGGAGTTGGTCATAAAAATACAAATATGCTCATTTAGTTGAAAGTTTAAAGCCTTGAAAGACACTTATCTTCTGCTTTGGTTCGACTCCTAATGCCTATGACTATTTATTTATTCATAACGACAGAATATTGGTGCCTATAATTTGACTTCTTTCTCTTTGATTCGAAACAACGTAGCAAATGGTCCCCTCTTAAGTCCAAACCTGAAGCATTAGTGTTTCCATTCCATTTTCGAGTCCACTGCTCCAAAGTGTCAAGGAAAGCTTATAGAGAGACTAAAGAGGGTAAATTTTTCATAAGCAAACCATACAAAAAGGACAGTAATGACTAATCTTAATAGTTAATATCATGAGAAATGTACTCCCGCTTGTTAATACATGGAGCCCAATAAACATATATTGAGTTGATATTAAATTAGTCAACCTAAGGATATAATAGATCGACGATACTTGGTATTTTATCTTTCTTTGAAAAGTAAATCGACATTTTAGTCGAATTCCATTTCAACTATTTGGCTCGGATTGGATTGGAACTTTTAATTCAATTTTCAAAGTCAAGTGTTTTTTGTTTTTGTTTGTATGGCCAAATAGCCGATGTAATCATTTAATTTTTACATTTTCTTTTGTAGGTTAGGTGCTTTCAAAACTAGGCAAATCACGTTCTTTTAACTTTTAAATTAGCATACTAGAGAATTCGTTTGTTTGTGTAGTTAATTATTTTTATCGAACAATAATTTAAGATGAACCAGAGGCTTGTTAGCCTGGGGAAGAAAGTGATTCAACTCGCGAACGATTGTCAAATGAAGGACCGATCCTTTTACGTTGATGGACATTTGTTTTCCAAATATGAAAAATATTGAAAACATGCTACACATTGATTATCTTGGATAGCATTTTGTGCCTATAAAATCATAAAGAAATATCGATCTACTCATTTAATTTGCTCATTCTTTTTTGCGATAATAGACTAAATAACTTTCCCCTCCCCAAAACTGAAATCTGACTTCGCCCCTGGTCAAGTATGATAGGAAAGAGCACATATACACTTCTCCAATGGTCTGACCATCCTCTTGCACCGGTTCTAAGCTCTCCCATGTTCATCTCCGATCAGCGTTCTTCGCCCGATTTCCCTTCCAGCATCGTCCCCCCTTCTCCCATGGACACATCGAATACCTGATTGAGTCACCTCCATGTTCAACAAAGCTTTAGGTATATGAAAACCCTTCGTCTTCCCCTTCTTCTTCCGTTTAAGTTTTTACTTCGAACATACAACTTGAATTCGCAGTCCAGTTTCCAATTCAACCATAAGGTTAAGACCAATACCAAATTCGTGTCCGATCCACTTCAAGCTAAGTTCGATGGTGAATCCGAAAATAATGCGAGCTTCCCGTTTCCGAGGGACTGTTGCGATAATATTCATTATCCTCCCTAAAATAGTTTGCTTTTACTGATATAAAAAAAAGATTGGTAGCTAGAATATCAAAATCAGGCCATCCCATTGGCGTAGCCAGCTAAATGCCTTGGTGGGGTCCATAGATTACAAAGAACTAGGCAGTCCTAGCGGTTTAGCTATCTCTATGGAGAGCTGGGGTCCAAAGCTCGAATCCCTAGTCCCTTGCCTTGGTATTCATTTTTTTATAACGTGAGCTTCTTTACCAAGTGGGGTCCACTGAACCCACATCAAGCAACGTGGCTCCGCCACTGGGCCATCCCCTATCAGATTTCGCGTATCAACAGTTCTCCATGGATAATCATCTTTCCATATAACTCCATAGAACATGCTAACATTCTCACGTATACTGACAATACATAAGTGAAAAAGTATGGCAATAAATCACCGAAATTAATAAAATTAGTTACAAACAATATAATTACATGAAAATATTATATGTGTATAATAAATATACAATATGTTAAAAAATTAAGGATAATTTTTAGATAAAATACTTATGTGTGTATCATCGAGCGAGTTTGGGTTGAAAAGTGATAAAACCATACCCACCCATTACCCCTAATATTCAGATTCATATTTTATTCATACTCACTGAAATTCCTTCGGGTATGGGTTTTACCATACCTGATTAAGTGGGTTTCGGGAGGGTATTGACAGTTATGAATATATTTATACTAAATCAAGAATTCAACGTATTTTGAAGATACTGAAGATTCCGATGAAGAAGTTGATAAAGTGAGGAGTATTAAATTAAATTTTATTTTTATGCACAACAATAAGGAAATGATTATCAAGAAACAAGGCGAATCCTCTTATAATGATAATCAATTCATTTTAATTTATGTAACTCCCTTTTTAAGTTAACAAGCACAAGTGAAATTTTAATTACCAGTAAAACGTGAGATTTAATATATATATTTGAAATTATATGTAATTTGTTCACTAAAATTATATTTAACCTAGCACAAAAAATTGGGTTCACCTATTTTTATAATTGTTTGACTCAGTTTATTATCTATATATTTTGTTACATAAATTAATTTTGTACACATCTTGTAACACTATATTAAAATTCGCACCAAAAAGTGAAGGATAAGATATTTTGTGTTAAAATCGTCGTTCAATAATTTCATACCACCAAAATTGCCTATCGGCTTATAGGGTTGGAAAACGGTGCGGTCTGGTCGAGACCAGAACATATATATGGTCTACTGTCCAAAGCGATTGGTTGGAGTATAGACCAAACCACGTACTATACGGTCTAGACCAGACCACGCATATGCGGTTTGGTCCATATAGACCACATTGAACGAAAAATGAACAATTTGTTTAGTCAACCACACAAAAAATTGATCCAATAATCGAGGAAAAATTGTTTTTTGCCTTAAAACATAAACTCCAACCTGTATGACTAATTTTAACACCCTAAATCTCAGTAAACAACAAAAATACAAAGTTGAAGCATCTCAACTTGCACCATAAAGTCATAAACATTAACAAAATGTCATATGGAGACACAATCGTCTCTAATCTTTGGTGAAATGTGGTTCTGAATGAAAGGGGTCTAGTTTCACGAAATTAGGGTTGAGACTTGGATCTCGTTGGGGGAAATTGGTCGAGTGGGCTGTGAACAAGTATTGGGAAGTCGACTGGGTCCATGGTTTGGTTCGGTAAAACGATGTCTAGACTATACCAGACTTAGAGATCGAAATATCATATAATAAAGATCATGGCCAGATCATACCATTCTTAACGGTCTATGGTCTAGACCAAATTGTGCGGTCAGGTTTAGTCCATGGTTTTCAAACGATCTGGTCAATTTTTCCAGCCCTACCGGCTTAGGTTTCGATAGGTTGTTTTTCTGTCAGATTGTTGATACGGTACAATTTTTTAAATACCGATTAAATTTAAAAATGTGGCAATCAGATCACCAAAGTTTTTAGATCATAAAAATCGTTAATAAACACTATTTTTCGTTTTCAAGTTTAATTTTCAAAAGCCTCTAGACCCATAAATTTTCAAACATGTTTTTTTTATAGGAAATGGTAGTTTCATTTTGTTTAGATTTTGTTTTCTATTGTAAAAATAAATAAATAATGGTTAATAAACCCCTTTCCCTGTTATTGTGCTTCGTTATCCCTTATTCTCTTGACTCATAAATTAATTCCTTTCATCTTTCCCTTTCCTTCCACCGAATTTGAGTCTCCTAATGATAGGGAATGCACTTTCTTTTTTTGGTCGATCAAATTGGTCTAGTGGTAATACTACTGGCCTAGAACCTGGAGGTTTCAGGTTCGAATCCCTTAAGTAGTACCTTAATGACAAAAATGAAACCTATATCACCCTTATCAACAAATTTGCCTTCCCCACTCCTAAATTTTTCAACGTTTTAGGTGAGATTAATTGCAAGAACATGTGTATTTCTTTTTATCTCTATAAGCTAACTGCATCGGGGGTATGCACGTAACGATTAAATTTGGAGATGGGAGGAGTCTGGCTCAGTGGCGGACCCAGAAATTTTACATAGGGGTGTCCTCTTTTAAAAAATAAATTAAATATAAATAATTCTAAAATAATTAATAAAAAATAAAAAATATTTAAATGAGAAATACTTTACTCATATAGTTTGAAAAAATTCACAATGTGTTTTCATATTAAAAAATGATTGTAGAACACACTTGGGGGTACACTATTCAAAAAAAAAAAAAAATTGTCTCTGTATATCATATTAGACAATCATTCACGAACTGATCACATATTCAATTTCTAAACTTGTTCTTGATGTAATCCAAAGCTGAAAAGACTCTTTCAATACTTGTTGTACAACCATAAATCAATACCAATTAAGGGTAGCTTGAAATTTGTTTAATTGTTAGATTTTGAAAATAATTAGAGATAGAGAATGACATTATACTATTACACAGTGTTTAAAATCGAATAACATATGAGTTGTAGCCTAATGAAAATTAGGTTTATTAATAATAAAAGTGTCCTATGTTTGAATTACCCAAACTACTACTTATATTCTTATACTCAAACTAAAAGATGAGAGTAGGATAATCACTTTTTTAAATTTAGGGGTGTCCCCGACTATCAATTATAATTTTTTTGTCAATACGTAAATTATTACCGGGGGTTGGATAATCGCTTTCCCAAAATTTAGGGGTGTCCGGGGACACCCCTAAACACCCGTCGGTCCGCCCCTGGTCTGGCTCCTTGACCTATTGTGGGAAGGATTGCAACAATTTTATTGAATATGTTATCAAACTTTTCTCAAGGTGCGAGATTTTATAAATCTATCTCTTTAGTGCTTATCCTAATTGTTGGTTCAGTTTATGCATGGCGAAAAGGAGCATTAGAGTGGTCTTAGATATGGAATATTCCAAAAAAATTAATGAAAAAAATAACATTTTTCGGCCTTTTAATTTAAATAGGATTTTCCCCGGCTTAATGGATCACGTCGTGGGATCATAAGATCTTCATAAATATTTAGCTTTCATTTTTATTGAGGTACTTGATTTATGCCCTAACCTTTTGTGCTTATAAAGTGAACTAGGAACTTATCAGACACAATATCAAATTCTGAACTAGCAATTTAGGTCCTTTATTTGTGACTACCAATCAGCACCGTCCTCTTCCAAATCATACAATTTCATATCTATAACATGTGTCGTATTAACAAATAAGATAAATACTGGAAAACGATTTAAAGAATATATTGAACTATATAAAACTAAATCATAAATGATTTTTTTTTTTTTGTGAACATTGAATATCACTTGTGCTATTTGATATTTAGTATTTACAGGTAGTAGCACATATATAAAATACATAATAATCAAAGACCGGACCAACGGGTCGGGGCTAGTATGTAATGTATCCATGTGAGTTGGAACAATAAGCACCAGAGGGAGCTAGGAACAATAAGCATCGAGAAAATGAATTAATAGTCTAACTGTTTTATCAGACACACTGGAATTTCCAGACACACATTCACCATTCACAAATGATTCACCTGCAAAAAAACCCAAAGACCAAAAACCATCCACACTATATTATGTTACCTTACCACATGACCAAATCCAAACACAGATCACTAACACACTAGTCTCTCTCTCATTTCTATTCATCTCTACCTCATCTACCCTCTATCTAATTGGTCTTAGCACGATTAACACCTACAAACCATTGAACAGATCTTCGAAACCAATTTAGTTTCAAACAGCTTTCAGTGTCGTTCAGAGTTGAGACCAAAACCGAACCAATACAACTTGCCAACATTTTCAGCTAATGTATCTAGTTCTGTGACGACGACATTTGCAGCTGCCGCACTCTCCTCTCCCTCTCTGGGGATCTAGCAACTATCTCCCCGTTCACAAACAATTCACCTGCAAACAAAACACAAACGAAAACCCATCAAAGTATTTCTCATTCAAACGATCTGGTCAATTTTTCCAGCCCTACCGGCTTAGGTTTCGATAGGTTGTTTTTCTGTCAGATTGTTGATACGGTACAATTTTTTAAATACCGATTAAATTTAAAAATGTGGCAATCAGATCACCAAAGTTTTTAGATCATAAAAATCGTTAATAAACACTATTTTTCGTTTTCAAGTTTAATTTTCAAAAGCCTCTAGACCCATAAATTTTCAAACATGTTTTTTTTATAGGAAATGGTAGTTTCATTTTGTTTAGATTTTGTTTTCTATTGTAAAAATAAATAAATAATGGTTAATAAACCCCTTTCCCTGTTATTGTGCTTCGTTATCCCTTATTCTCTTGACTCATAAATTAATTCCTTTCATCTTTCCCTTTCCTTCCACCGAATTTGAGTCTCCTAATGATAGGGAATGCACTTTGTTTTTTTGGTCGATCAAATTGGTCTAGTGGTAATACTACTGGCCTAGAACCTGGAGGTTTCAGGTTCGAATCCCTTAAGTAGTACCTTAATGACAAAAATGAAACCTATATCACCCTTATCAACAAATTTGCCTTCCCCACTCCTAAATTTTTCAACGTTTTAGGTGAGATTAATTGCAAGAACATGTGTATTTCTTTTTATCTCTATAAGCTAACTGCATCGGGGGTATGCACGTAACGATTAAATTTGGAGATGGGAGGAGTCTGGCTCAGTGGCGGACCCAGAAATTTTACATAGGGGTGTCCTCTTTTAAAAAATAAATTAAATATAAATAATTCTAAAATAATTAATAAAAAATAAAAAATATTTAAATGAGAAATACTTTACTCATATAGTTTGAAAAAATTCACAATGTGTTTTCATATTAAAAAATGATTGTAGAACACACTTGGGGGTACACTATTCAAAAAAAAAAAAAAATTGTCTCTGTATATCATATTAGACAATCATTCACGAACTGATCACATATTCAATTTCTAAACTTGTTCTTGATGTAATCCAAAGCTGAAAAGACTCTTTCAATACTTGTTGTACAACCATAAATCAATACCAATTAAGGGTAGCTTGAAATTTGTTTAATTGTTAGATTTTGAAAATAATTAGAGATAGAGAATGACATTATACTATTACACAGTGTTTAAAATCGAATAACATATGAGTTGTAGCCTAATGAAAATTAGGTTTATTAATAATAAAAGTGTCCTATGTTTGAATTACCCAAACTACTACTTATATTCTTATACTCAAACTAAAAGATGAGAGTAGGATAATCACCTTTTTAAATTTAGGGGTGTCCCCGACTATCAATTATAATTTTTTTGTCAATACGTAAATTATTACCGGGGGTTGGATAATCGCTTTCCCAAAATTTAGGGGTGTCCGGGGACACCCCTAAACACCCGTCGGTCCGCCCCTGGTCTGGCTCCTTGACCTATTGTGGGAAGGATTGCAACAATTTTATTGAATATGTTATCAAACTTTTCTCAAGGTGCGAGATTTTATAAATCTATCTCTTTAGTGCTTATCCTAATTGTTGGTTCAGTTTATGCATGGCGAAAAGGAGCATTAGAGTGGTCTTAGATATGGAATATTCCAAAAAAGTTAATGAAAAAAATAACATTTTTCGGCCTTTTAATTTAAATAGGATTTTCCCCGGCTTAATGGATCACGTCGTGGGATCATAAGATCTTCATAAATATTTAGCTTTCATTTTTATTGAGGTACTTGATTTATGCCCTAACCTTTTGTGCTTATAAAGTGAACTAGGAACTTATCAGACACAATATCAAATTCTGAACTAGCAATTTAGGTCCTTTATTTGTGACTACCAATCAGCAGCGTCCTCTTCCAAATCATACAATTTCATATCTATAACATGTGTCGTATTAACAAATAAGATAAATACTGGAAAACGATTTAAAGAATATATTGAACTATATAAAACTAAATCATAAATGATTTTTTTTTTTGTGAACATTGAATATCACTTGTGCTATTTGATATTTAGTATTTACAGGTAGTAGCACATATATAAAATACATATAATCAAAGACCGGACCAACGGGTCGGGGCTAGTATGTAATGTATCCATGTGAGTTGGAACAATAAGCACCAGAGGGAGCTAGGAACAATAAGCATCGAGAAAATGAATTAATAGTCTAACTGTTTTATCAGACACACTGGAATTTCCAGACACACATTCACCATTCACAAATGATTCACCTGCAAAAAAACCCAAAGACCAAAAACCATCCACACTATATTATGTTACCTTACCACATGACCAAATCCAAACACAGATCACTAACACACTAGTCTCTCTCTCATTTCTATTCATCTCTACCTCATCTACCCTCTATCTAATTGGTCTTAGCACGATTAACACCTACAAACCATTGAACAGATCTTCGAAACCAATTTAGTTTCAAACAGCTTTCAGTGTCGTTCAGAGTTGAGACCAAAACCGAACCAATACAACTTGCCAACATTTTCAGCTAATGTATCTAGTTCTGTGACGACGACATTTGCAGCTGCCGCACTCTCCTCTCCCTCTCTGGGGATCTAGCAACTATCTCCCCGTTCACAAACAATTCACCTGCAAACAAAACACAAACGAAAACCCATCAAAGTATTTCTCATTCAAACGATCTGGTCAATTTTTCCAGCCCTACCGGCTTAGGTTTCGATAGGTTGTTTTTCTGTCAGATTGTTGATACGGTACAATTTTTTAAATACCGATTAAATTTAAAAATGTGGCAATCAGATCACCAAAGTTTTTAGATCATAAAAATCGTTAATAAACACTATTTTTCGTTTTCAAGTTTAATTTTCAAAAGCCTCTAGACCCATAAATTTTCAAACATGTTTTTTTTATAGGAAATGGTAGTTTCATTTTGTTTAGATTTTGTTTTCTATTGTAAAAATAAATAAATAATGGTTAATAAACCCCTTTCCCTGTTATTGTGCTTCGTTATCCCTTATTCTCTTGACTCATAAATTAATTCCTTTCATCTTTCCCTTTCCTTCCACCGAATTTGAGTCTCCTAATGATAGGGAATGCACTTTCTTTTTTTGGTCGATCAAATTGGTCTAGTGGTAATACTACTGGCCTAGAACCTGGAGGTTTCAGGTTCGAATCCCTTAAGTAGTACCTTAATGACAAAAATGAAACCTATATCACCCTTATCAACAAATTTGCCTTCCCCACTCCTAAATTTTTCAACGTTTTAGGTGAGATTAATTGCAAGAACATGTGTATTTCTTTTTATCTCTATAAGCTAACTGCATCGGGGGTATGCACGTAACGATTAAATTTGGAGATGGGAGGAGTCTGGCTCAGTGGCGGACCCAGAAATTTTACATAGGGGTGTCCTCTTTTAAAAAATAAATTAAATATAAATAATTCTAAAATAATTAATAAAAAATAAAAAATATTTAAATGAGAAATACTTTACTCATATAGTTTGAAAAAATTCACAATGTGTTTTCATATTAAAAAATGATTGTAGAACACACTTGGGGGTACACTATTCAAAAAAAAAAAAAATTGTCTCTGTATATCATATTAGACAATCATTCACGAACTGATCACATATTCAATTTCTAAACTTGTTCTTGATGTAATCCAAAGCTGAAAAGACTCTTTCAATACTTGTTGTACAACCATAAATCAATACCAATTAAGGGTAGCTTGAAATTTGTTTAATTGTTAGATTTTGAAAATAATTAGAGATAGAGAATGACATTATACTATTACACAGTGTTTAAAATCGAATAACATATGAGTTGTAGCCTAATGAAAATTAGGTTTATTAATAATAAAAGTGTCCTATGTTTGAATTACCCAAACTACTACTTATATTCTTATACTCAAACTAAAAGATGAGAGTAGGATAATCACTTTTTTAAATTTAGGGGTGTCCCCGACTATCAATTATAATTTTTTTGTCAATACGTAAATTATTACCGGGGGTTGGATAATCGCTTTCCCAAAATTTAGGGGTGTCCGGGGACACCCCTAAACACCCGTCGGTCCGCCCCTGGTCTGGCTCCTTGACCTATTGTGGGAAGGATTGCAACAATTTTATTGAATATGTTATCAAACTTTTCTCAAGGTGCGAGATTTTATAAATCTATCTCTTTAGTGCTTATCCTAATTGTTGGTTCAGTTTATGCATGGCGAAAAGGAGCATTAGAGTGGTCTTAGATATGGAATATTCCAAAAAAATTAATGAAAAAAATAACATTTTTCGGCCTTTTAATTTAAATAGGATTTTCCCCGGCTTAATGGATCACGTCGTGGGATCATAAGATCTTCATAAATATTTAGCTTTCATTTTTATTGAGGTACTTGATTTATGCCCTAACCTTTTGTGCTTATAAAGTGAACTAGGAACTTATCAGACACAATATCAAATTCTGAACTAGCAATTTAGGTCCTTTATTTGTGACTACCAATCAGCAGCGTCCTCTTCCAAATCATACAATTTCATATCTATAACATGTGTCGTATTAACAAATAAGATAAATACTGGAAAACGATTTAAAGAATATATTGAACTATATAAAACTAAATCATAAATGATTTTTTTTTTTTTGTGAACATTGAATATCACTTGTGCTATTTGATATTTAGTATTTACAGGTAGTAGCACATATATAAAATACATAATAATCAAAGACCGGACCAACGGGTCGGGGCTAGTATGTAATGTATCCATGTGAGTTGGAACAATAAGCACCAGAGGGAGCTAGGAACAATAAGCATCGAGAAAATGAATTAATAGTCTAACTGTTTTATCAGACACACTGGAATTTCCAGACACACATTCACCATTCACAAATGATTCACCTGCAAAAAAACCCAAAGACCAAAAACCATCCACACTATATTATGTTACCTTACCACATGACCAAATCCAAACACAGATCACTAACACACTAGTCTCTCTCTCATTTCTATTCATCTCTACCTCATCTACCCTCTATCTAATTGGTCTTAGCACGATTAACACCTACAAACCATTGAACAGATCTTCGAAACCAATTTAGTTTCAAACAGCTTTCAGTGTCGTTCAGAGTTGAGACCAAAACCGAACCAATACAACTTGCCAACATTTTCAGCTAATGTATCTAGTTCTGTGACGACGACATTTGCAGCTGCCGCACTCTCCTCTCCCTCTCTGGGGATCTAGCAACTATCTCCCCGTTCACAAACAATTCACCTGCAAACAAAACACAAACGAAAACCCATCAAAGTATTTCTCATTCAAACGATCTGGTCAATTTTTCCAGCCCTACCGGCTTAGGTTTCGATAGGTTGTTTTTCTGTCAGATTGTTGATACGGTACAATTTTTTAAATACCGATTAAATTTAAAAATGTGGCAATCAGATCACCAAAGTTTTTAGATCATAAAAATCGTTAATAAACACTATTTTTCGTTTTCAAGTTTAATTTTCAAAAGCCTCTAGACCCATAAATTTTCAAACATGTTTTTTTTATAGGAAATGGTAGTTTCATTTTGTTTAGATTTTGTTTTCTATTGTAAAAATAAATAAATAATGGTTAATAAACCCCTTTCCCTGTTATTGTGCTTCGTTATCCCTTATTCTCTTGACTCATAAATTAATTCCTTTCATCTTTCCCTTTCCTTCCACCGAATTTGAGTCTCCTAATGATAGGGAATGCACTTTCTTTTTTTGGTCGATCAAATTGGTCTAGTGGTAATACTACTGGCCTAGAACCTGGAGGTTTCAGGTTCGAATCCCTTAAGTAGTACCTTAATGACAAAAATGAAACCTATATCACCCTTATCAACAAATTTGCCTTCCCCACTCCTAAATTTTTCAACGTTTTAGGTGAGATTAATTGCAAGAACATGTGTATTTCTTTTTATCTCTATAAGCTAACTGCATCGGGGGTATGCACGTAACGATTAAATTTGGAGATGGGAGGAGTCTGGCTCAGTGGCGGACCCAGAAATTTTACATAGGGGTGTCCTCTTTTAAAAAATAAATTAAATATAAATAATTCTAAAATAATTAATAAAAAATAAAAAATATTTAAATGAGAAATACTTTACTCATATAGTTTGAAAAAATTCACAATGTGTTTTCATATTAAAAAATGATTGTAGAACACACTTGGGGGTACACTATTCAAAAAAAAAAAAAAATTGTCTCTGTATATCATATTAGACAATCATTCACGAACTGATCACATATTCAATTTCTAAACTTGTTCTTGATGTAATCCAAAGCTGAAAAGACTCTTTCAATACTTGTTGTACAACCATAAATCAATACCAATTAAGGGTAGCTTGAAATTTGTTTAATTGTTAGATTTTGAAAATAATTAGAGATAGAGAATGACATTATACTATTACACAGTGTTTAAAATCGAATAACATATGAGTTGTAGCCTAATGAAAATTAGGTTTATTAATAATAAAAGTGTCCTATGTTTGAATTACCCAAACTACTACTTATATTCTTATACTCAAACTAAAAGATGAGAGTAGGATAATCACTTTTTTAAATTTAGGGGTGTCCCCGACTATCAATTATAATTTTTTTGTCAATACGTAAATTATTACCGGGGGTTGGATAATCGCTTTCCCAAAATTTAGGGGTGTCCGGGGACACCCCTAAACACCCGTCGGTCCGCCCCTGGTCTGGCTCCTTGACCTATTGTGGGAAGGATTGCAACAATTTTATTGAATATGTTATCAAACTTTTCTCAAGGTGCGAGATTTTATAAATCTATCTCTTTAGTGCTTATCCTAATTGTTGGTTCAGTTTATGCATGGCGAAAAGGAGCATTAGAGTGGTCTTAGATATGGAATATTCCAAAAAAATTAATGAAAAAAATAACATTTTTCGGCCTTTTAATTTAAATAGGATTTTCCCCGGCTTAATGGATCACGTCGTGGGATCATAAGATCTTCATAAATATTTAGCTTTCATTTTTATTGAGGTACTTGATTTATGCCCTAACCTTTTGTGCTTATAAAGTGAACTAGGAACTTATCAGACACAATATCAAATTCTGAACTAGCAATTTAGGTCCTTTATTTGTGACTACCAATCAGCACCGTCCTCTTCCAAATCATACAATTTCATATCTATAACATGTGTCGTATTAACAAATAAGATAAATACTGGAAAACGATTTAAAGAATATATTGAACTATATAAAACTAAATCATAAATGATTTTTTTTTTTTGTGAACATTGAATATCACTTGTGCTATTTGATATTTAGTATTTACAGGTAGTAGCACATATATAAAATACATAATAATCAAAGACCGGACCAACGGGTCGGGGCTAGTATGTAATGTATCCATGTGAGTTGGAACAATAAGCACCAGAGGGAGCTAGGAACAATAAGCATCGAGAAAATGAATTAATAGTCTAACTGTTTTATCAGACACACTGGAATTTCCAGACACACATTCACCATTCACAAATGATTCACCTGCAAAAAAAACCAAAGACCAAAAACCATCCACACTATATTATGTTACCTTACCACATGACCAAATCCAAACACAGATCACTAACACACTAGTCTCTCTCTCATTTCTATTCATCTCTACCTCATCTACCCTCTATCTAATTGGTCTTAGCACGATTAACACCTACAAACCATTGAACAGATCTTCGAAACCAATTTAGTTTCAAACAGCTTTCAGTGTCGTTCAGAGTTGAGACCAAAACCGAACCAATACAACTTGCCAACATTTTCAGCTAATGTATCTAGTTCTGTGACGACGACATTTGCAGCTGCCGCACTCTCCTCTCCCTCTCTGGGGATCTAGCAACTATCTCCCCGTTCACAAACAATTCACCTGCAAACAAAACACAAACGAAAACCCATCAACATCCACACTAATATTAGATTGCACATTACAAAATCCAAACACAGATCACAGACATAACATACTAGTCTCTCTCTCTCTCTCTTGTTCATATTCACCACTACCTCATCAACAACGCTCTGCTTATTCATTTGACAATTACTAACAGATTTACAAATTATCTTACAACATTGACGGAGTTCGACATCAGTCCCATTAGCATTCAAAGCCAAACATTGCTAACTTTGCCAAGATGAACTAAAGCAGAAGCTACTTTGACTGTCGAAAGGGTGGATTATGCTTCAACGCTATGCTGATATACATATGACAACTGATTCTAGAATTGACAAATGAATTGTACCATCGCCTAAGATTCTCAATCCCCAATTTTAAGGGTGTGGATTAGTCAGTCCATTAATCAGCATTCAAAGCTAAGCATTGCTGTTAACTACTTCCGCAGCTATTTAGCTTTTGCCAAGATGGACTGGAGCTGCTGCTTTACCTATCAACAGGGTGAGGTGTGTGCTTACATTGTCCAAAACTCAGACTTGTATGCATGCTTGGCCAATATGAGTTAAATGAAACTTGATAGAACACAAATTATATAAGCCATGGAGAAAGGTGTAGCAGCAAAAAGGAAAAGGGTTGAGTGTGCTTACCGCCATAGTCCTTGTACTCAGGATCCACATAAGCATCCGGCAACACAAAGCGAATATTGCGGTCTTTGTGCCATTCTGTTGCCAAGTATAAAAAAACAAAGAAGAAGAAGATTTATTACGACATCGCCATCCAATTAGGCAAGGTCAAGTTCAATCACTATTTTTCAGAAAGCGAACCTTTCAGCCTGTTGGCATCCACCTCGTCAATCTCACATCCGAATCCAAAGTATCCCTCACAAGAGACGCTGTATATCTTCTTCTTCGCATTCTCTTCGCTGATCCGAATCAGAAAACAAACAAGTAAACAAAAACCAAACTATCGTACAAACGACCCATTGATGCCTTACAAGAAAAAGAGAGACAGCAATCTCGCCTGTAGAGGATAGAGGCCAACGTCTTAATGTAGCGATCGATCATCTGCTGCTTGGTAGCTCCTTCGCCGTCGGGCTTGCGGTCAAATACAACGAGCCAGTGCTTGCGGTCGCAGCCGGGGTAAAGCTGGGCCATCTCTGCCGCGGGAGGGCGCTCGCTCAAGTTGCCGGCGGAATTGACCAGGCACCGGATCGCGGTGAAGCGAGGGGGAGATACGGGGATGACGGAGCGGGCGGCAGGGGAGATTGGGAGCAGGGGACGTCGAGGGAAGAGAAGCGTGGTAGGAGAAGGAGGTCGAGTGATTGCGGAGGAGGAGGAGATCAGTCGTTTGGGGATGAGCGAGGAGATGGTGAGATGACGAGAGGAACGAGCTAGGGTTTGCGCCATGGCTGTGCTAGAACTGGAGATTGATCGATCGAGTGTGATGAGACAACACTGCAGAGCGGATGAAAGGGTTTGTTTGTGGCGATAGGATGAAAGTTGCGTCATATTATCAGGAGAGACCTCCTGGGTCTCGTTCATTCAGCCCAATACATAGTACAATCCCAAAGCAAAACCATGGCCCAATTTGTTTGCATTGCGAGACACATGAGCCCATTCTTCGCTTACAGAACGGGCACCCAGGTCCAGCCTTCCTGAATCGGTTGACCAGTCGACTGCATGTCTACAAAATACTATAAGGCAATGTAAAAAAAATAGTTTTGCCACGTCAGTCCCTTCTCAATAACCCGCACACGGCGGATGGGCCTTTCGGTAATTCCTCAATATTTATCTTTCTCGGCATCTCTGTCGCGGGTCTCGCCAAAACGTCCCAAAAATCTGACTCATCTCTCTCTCTCTCTCTCTCTCTCTCTCTCTCTCTCTCTCTCTCTCTCTCTCAAGTCTCACCTTCTGTATTCCAAACCCTCCCGGAAGAAATTCTCGGCGTGCCCCCTTCCCTTTCCTCCCGCTGCCGCATCGTTCCCCTTGCCTTTAATCTTCCACCGCTGGACCTCAATCCCTATTTCGTAAATCGATTTGCAATACACAGACTAGGAGGGGCAAACCGGTTAATTTGTCAATTCTTCGCTGTGCACCCCAAAAATGCCCTGAAAATCTAAATAAAAGGTTGTTGTCCTCTAAATCAAATAAGCTTTTCTACAATCTTTCTTCCAATTTTCAAATCAACTGATTTTGCAATTACCATGCAAGCAGAACCAGAAATTGGATTTAAAGGCTCTCTTTTTCGGTAGAAGTTGAATGAGTTATTTGCAACAAGTTTCTTGAAATATATGATATTTAACTCAGGAAAATTGAATAAACAAAATTTATGGAAGGACATCAAAAAGTTGTTGCCGGGTGAACAGTCACATGAGAAGCGAAACAGAATGGCGGCTACAAACTCTTAATCTTCTTGAGACGTGAGACAGAGTCGAGTAACAAATTCAGATGTCGATCAAAGAGCAAAGAGAAAATAGGCTAATCTCCATCTATCCCTTTCCTTGCCGGAACCTTGAATCATCGGCCTGGTGTCGAATAATATCGTCTTCTTTCCGTCAAAATAACGTTACGATAGGAACTTGGCATGTCGATCACTTGATATATGATGAGATATGAGTGAAAAAGGCTTATTTGGCTGTTGCATGGTGGTGAAAAATTGAGGTTTTGCAGAGAAGCGGAAACGAAATTATAGCTAGCTTCCTCTGCGTTGTAGAAGAAAGAGAGAGGGTTGTGAGGGGGAGAGAGATCTGGGTTGTAGAAGAAACTAGAAAGTGACTAGTGGTAGTGGATGAGGGATAAGATAAGAAAGAAAATAATTAATATAATAATAGTAAAATAAAAATGTAACAAATATTGACAAACGTATAATATTGACCAAGGTTCATTATGAGTGGATATAAGATAATATAAACTATCTATAAATTTTGGTCCTCGATTTTTAATTTACGAATATATATGTATACTAATTCTATTGAATAGCGGCCAACAAAACAATACTATATTTCTATAATATTTTCTTCGTATTGATTTAATTAAAATATATAATGATTAGTAGTTATATTCGTGTACTTAATTTGATTTCTTCTAAAATATGTTCTCTTGCGCTCTTGCTTCACAAATTAATTTACTATTTGATCTTAATTTTTCTTTGATTTGATCCCTATTCATGAAATTCATAGGGAAAAGTCTTAAATTAAGAAGCAAACTTCATACCATAGGCTTCGACATAAAAATTAACCTTGGATAGTTAACTTTGAAGGTTAGAGAAATTCAAATCATATGGAAAGCATAAGAAATCACTAGCCTATCACAAGTATACAATTCTTTAATTAGTGATAGTTGGGCGCATTAGAAAAAAAATTCCCATTCAGAACTTAAAACTTAGTATGGAGTACTATGAAGAATCCAAGCCAAATTGTCAGCAAACCGTAAGAAAATTAAAGAAATGAATAAATCAGTTAAAAATTGGACAATATAATATTAGTTAGTATAGAAATAATGAAGATAAACTAATTATCATATCGCAGATGAATTTTTATAAAGGTGAAACTTATAACTCAGTTAAAAATTATAGAAGCAGCTACAGCCAAGAGATGAGTGGAAATGGATGCTTATGAATTCCAGATTATTAGCTTTGCTTTATAACTTCCTACTACGTACTACTTCAACAACACACTTAATCTGCAAAATGATAGTCTGTAGTTCTCTTGAGCCTAGAGTGTGTGATACACACCCAGGAGGGGTGTTTTGATCAAAGTCACGCAGCTAATTCAACTCAAAGGATTGAATTGAATTGAAAACCAAAAGAACATGATGTGCTTAGTACGATTTGGGATGAGTTTGAAACGAAAGGACAAATCCTCACTTGGGGACAAGCTCAATCGGTTTCGAAAGGTAGAATCACTACTCAAACAAGTATGAATGACTTGAAAGAGAAGTCTGCAAGCCTAGGACGAATCCAAGACCAAAAATCAAGCTCGCAAGCTCAATGGGATAAACTCCTTGTAGTAATTTTTATTCAACAATTCTCTCCCATTACAACGAAAACTAGAGGGCTTTTATAGCCAAAGAAAACCTAATACAATTATAAACTAACAAGGAAACTAATTAGAACAGGAAAATGCTAAAGAATTCGTGTAAAACAAGGTAACTTGCAAGCCAAGAAACTGACTTATAACACAAGCAAGTCTGCCTAGGAAAACAGGCTTCATAGCATCTTTGAGCCCTTAAAAATGGTCTTGTAGGTTGATTCAAACTCAACCAATCCCTTTCCTTTGTAGAATAAAACTTCCTATTTCACCTCCAACTTGAATCAGCCCAAGATCATTCTCCAATCTCCAGATATAGGCCTTCAAAGTTGGTATCTCAACACAGTTTTCTGCCTTAGCCATTTTCTGGCAGTTTTCCAGTTTTGAGGTAGCAACTTTGAGGCTTTGGAAAACAACCTTAATTACTTTTTCTTGAGCAACCAAGAATACCAATGTGTAGATAATTATTCCATGTTCAACACAAGCCATTAAACTTGAATTTCCATTGAGCCAATTAAGAGAAACGTGCCTCCAAAGTCGGCTGCTTGAACACGGAAAGTGACTTGGACAATTTTCAGCTTCTTCTTTGCAATTCGACTTGGCCTCTTTAACGATTAATCCTGGATGAAATTTGATCGATTCCAGGATCGTATCAGTGTGTAGCAGAGATTCTTGCCCATTTATGCATTACTTTATTTCCTCACAAATGTGGAGGATTGCGTTTGGATATAGTTTAATCATCTTCATGCAACTTTTTGACCAAGTATTTCTTGATTACCCTTACATTCCGTCGAATTGACAACTACAATGGATTTTATCAGGTTATAGTGCTCTTATGTTGATGATATTTGAGTTTTCTTTTTATGAATAAAATCTTATCATTAGCTCGACATTTGGTTAACCTTCAAATTATGCTACTTAATCCTCTCTTCATTCTTCGAAGTTCTACAGGACACCGGCCAACGGGCCGGGCCCAATGCTAGTAGGTAAGATGTCTATGCAGCCTTTAGCACGTTTTCACGGTATATACTCTCTTAGCGGGTCCAAGTAGGGATGGGCAATGGGTGGTTCAATCACTAGACCCACCCGAACCCATCCATTATATGTTTGGGTGGATATGGTGGGTGGGTGTGGGTCATTGTTTTTGCCACCCACTAAACTTGGGTGGGTGGCCGGTGAGTAGTGGGTGGGTCATTTCCTGCAAAATCACATGATATATTAAGTCGTTAATGCATATTCAATAATATAACACTATTCTTTCTTATACCAAAACTTCAATCGTGATTGATTCAATTAAATTTCAATTATCTTGTATACATTTTGTTTGATTTACAACATAAAAATTGATCATTTTAAAATACTAGCTTATAACCCGGCCCGATGGGCGGAATGTTTATATTTGATTTTTTTTATACTTTTTATGTTACGTTAAAGTCTATCAACCCGTTTAATTTTATTGACAATCTTTCAATTGAGATGAAACATAAAGAAAGAATATATAGGTCGAACATTCAGAGAAATATCATCATCATTTGAGAAAATAAAATATAAAAATGTATAAAACATCTCATTTTCATAATGATAATTAAGCCCAGTTAATATGTTATTAGTTAGTTGATTGTTAAGAAAGATAGAGTATAAAAGCTCACTGGAATTCCCACACGACCCATAGATAGTTTGAAACTGAATCTAAAACCTCACAATCCTACGTAAATGGTTCAATGCTCTCATTTTGGGGGCAATATGCCACAAATAAAAAAGAAATGGAGGGTTGTAGGTTCAAGTCAGCTATATACTAACAACTTAGCTAAGAGAGGACCATCAAAACTTGAGAGCAAACGACAAAATTGGATTACCTCCAATATACTAATAGACTCGATCAAAGTAATATGACGCAAAATTAGACAGTCATTATCTATCAGTTCCAGCAGGCTGAATAAAGAATCGACCTACTTCATTAAATCAATAAATAATTACTCGTTTTAAGATAGAAATAGGTTGTGGTAGCTGCAAAAACCATAAACCTAATGATCCAATAGCCACCACTCTCCATTGAACGACCAAATTTTTATCTACTCTATCTTCAATCTCAAGAAGCATATGTTTCAACCAAACATTCACTTTCTAATCCTCCTTCTGCAACTCCATTTCTGCTACTTTGATGGACCTTCTCTCTGCGGCCCTCAATTTCTCTTCAAATTGGGGTTCTTGTCAACTCGCTCTTCAACTCCTCAATCCCCTTCCTGTGTTTTGCCAACTCATCTTCCTCAGGGGCAGTTCTAATAAGTTCGCTTAAACCAAAACTCATCTCCAATTCCATAAATATGCTCATCTCCCCCCTTGCATGCTTTCACCTGCTTCAGCACACTTCTATGTCCTTCAATATCCTCTCCATTTTCATTAATATCCTCATCATCTCTCACTTCTCTCTCTTCAACTGCTCCAGTTTTGCTTCCGCGTCTTTCAACACCCTCCTCAATTCGATCACTACCCTCAGTAACTCCCTCTTCTCTGCCTTAACCTGCTATAGTTGAATTTTTCTTCCCCCCACCACTCTCATTCTCAAACTCAATCCTAACTCTTCTACTCCAAGTTCAACACCCCAAACTCCTAGACTGTTGCATGAAAGCTCAATTTTTAACCAATTCTAAAATAATATCAAATTTTGATTAGTGAGTTGGACCATAAGAATAAAAATTAATGAGGAAAATTATGGTTGCGGAGAACATTAGTTATCACAAAATCAAATATGAGTGAAAATATTGTAATTGAAAAGAAACCTTTTTTTTCTAATTTTGATCTTATTTTATTATTTCAATAGCTAAGCAAAGAACAAAAATAAAGTATCGGAAACAAACAACAAAAAAGTAGACAGGGCTCTAGGAAAGTACAACTGCCCTGTTCCTACACAAACATCTCTTTTGCTTACAAACAAATATAGTACCCAAACCATCGTTCAAATTCATTTTCTATATTTTATAAAAATCATTCATAAACAACAAACTTAGATAAATTGGGAAGGAAATAATAGCCTACCAGTTCAAGTCGATGAACCTTATATGAAGATAGAAACTCATTGAAGTTGAAACCTAATAACAGAAAGAGGAGAAATGACGCAGGAGATCCCCCGAGCTTTAAACATCGTATCAGGCAATAAGATCAAAAGAAATAGATATTCTGAATGTTGTGCTCATGAGACAACGTGAAATAAAAGTCGTTTTGTTATTAATCAGAAAGATAAAACCATGAGACATAGAGAAGAAATGAATGACTTACATGTGCAAAGCGATAAACCTTGGCCGGAAACCGAAAACCTATTAAAGGTCAATGCCTGGTATAGGAAGATGAGTAAAGGCGAAAGGTATAACTGATCAAACATGGCCTTCAGCAATAGAAGCAACAAAATAGTTCTTCTGGTAGTACATCGAGGAGAGACAGAACCATTGGGTGATGCCAATGCAGAGGAATCGAGCGAGATAATCAAGGCCAGGCCATAACTACTTGATTGAACTCCATTCTATTCGCCATGGATTGATATGAGAGTTAAAATCTTCTACTTGCCCAGCCTAAATTCCCAAGAATAAAACTGTAGTGCCAAGAGATACCCGAATGTTGATTTTCAAATGCTCCTTATACTGGGAAGTGAAAGCACGCAAACTATTGCACGATGGAGGGAATTTCGGAAAAAATTAAAAAGAGATAAGAACAAAGATAAAAATGAAAAAAATTTAAATTTATATTGAAAAATACAAGGACACAACACATAATAAAGGAAATAGTTTCTTCCATGTTAGCCAATTACCAATATACATTTAGCGAAACATTAAGGAGAGAGCATGAATTCTAAAAATTGATAAAATTAAATGAAACTCTACTATGAAAATTGAAGTATTAAGCACCATGAAAATACATATGGTAGACTTAGTGCCCTTGTTAATCATGATGAAAAAGTTCTCTGCTTTTCACAGTTTCAATACATGTATGTTTTGTATTAAAAAAGGAACAACAAATACACTTAGTATAATTGGTTATGACTGCTATCTTTGTTTGAAGAGACCCAGGTTCGAGTCTTGATATTGATATTTTTTATGAAATAAATAATTAATTGTAAAGACAAAAATATCCTTCCTACTTTCACTCTCATTGGAGGAAATTTGAAATGGTGAAAAGTTTACAAAACTCTACTATATATTAATGGAGGATGATAACTATCAACAATTTATTTTGTGTTCTCATATGAGATAACTGGTGTTAGATTATCCAATAAAGTATGTTTAATAGCTCTCAATTTTATTGATTCGTAGTATTGATATTCAATTAGTTTAATACAAACTTTTATGACTCATAATTGTCTAATTATTTAAAAATAATTTGACCCACCAAAACGGCCAAACTCATCCACCATCCGCCATCACCCACACAACCCACCCACAACGATACAATTGGATGGGTGTGAGTCGTTTTTTTCATCACCCACCATAACAATGGGTGGGTGGATTTTGTGCAAAAACCGACCCAACCCACCCATTGCCCATCCCTAGGTCCAAGTCCATATTCTTTCATAATGTTTTGGGGGGTTACAGATTGGTATATTGATAACTTGATTTACATCCTCCTCTGAAAATATGGATTTGAGTAGTTCAACATCCCACTCTCTTGTTTCACTCTTAATCATAGATGGAACAACAACATTAGGAATATGATCAACCCCTATAAGAATCACTTCAGGACTGTAACTGGGTTTATTAAGGATCCATTTGTCAGCCCATATTCTTATTCTATCCTAAGACCACCCACAGTGGGTCGGTAAAATGGGATATGTTCCCACAGTGTGGGGAAAAGGGGAAAAATGGAAAAAGTGGAAAATGTGGGTGTGAATTTCCTTTTTAAAATTGTTTTTTTTGTTCTAAGTTATTTGTTTTAATGGTTTTCTTTTATTGTGAGATGTTTTGATTGGTTTTATCCGTAATTGACATAATCAATGACGTTATATTTAATTAGTGATGAAAAAAATTATGTCCAAATTAAAAAAATATATCAAAATATTTGTATTAATTACTTATCACTAACTACGTAAAAATAATGATCATTATATAAAAATAAAGTGACAAAATCAACTATAGATTGATTTTAACAAAAAAGTATTAAACCGATTACGGAATTACCCACTCCCCCCCCCCCCCCCCCCCCCCACATTGTGACCAAAACCTCCATTTTTTCCACTTTTCTCAATCTTCCCACCTTTCCCACCATCCCACACTATGGATGGTTTGAGGGAGGGTTTGAGGGGGACCGACTCGAGATTATTTGTCTGTGGGCCCGACTTATTGGCTTTGTAGACTTGAGTAGCATTTGCGTTTGCTTGTAGGATTTTTGAACATGAGAGATTTAGGGAAAATTTTGGATTTTGGGATTGAAGGTGTTAGTATGTGTGGTATAAGATCAACGATTGGACCTATTTAAATAATTCGTGTTATTGAGATTAACATTCTTGACATGATATCAGAATATTCTGTGACTGAGAGGTCTTCTATTCGTATTTCGATGGCCTCTTCTGTTCTGTTAAGTACATGGTGTTCGAACCTGTACAAACTTCAAACCTATATAAATAGTATTTGTTTGAGGGGGTGTGTTAGTATGTGTGGTATAAGATCCACGATTGAACCTCTCTCTTAATAACTAGAGTTATTGAGATCAAATGGTGCTTGATAGAAGGATTATGTCGGATTTTTGCTATTTTGGATTTGTGTTGGATTTTATAGATGACTTGTTTGTTTGTTGGATTTCAAAATGAATTTATTTCTTTTGGATTTATTGATTAAAGGATAAATTTATCTTCCTATTCTTGGGCATTGCTATTCGTCACCCTAAAACACCTTATTCGTCGCCCTAATTTTTATTAAAATGACTCAAATATCCTTAGCTTAATTCCTATCTTTCAAAACATATATAAACACTAAAACAAGCGGCGGCGGCAGCAGAAGAATCTGGCAGCCTTTCAGGCGCCTTAAAATGCAAGGAAGAAGAGACATTTCAAGTGGACAGACTTCACCTCTCAAGCTTCTGGGGACTCTTCCTCATTTGTGGCTTGGCTTGCTTGCTAGCTCTCTTTCTATATTTCTTCAATATTGTCCAACAGTTTAGCCGCCATCAGCAGGCTGCCAGATTCTTCTGCTGCACCTAGGGCTGTCGGTTCGGTTCGGGTCGGGTAACCGAACCCGAAACCACAGAACCCAAAAACCCAAAAAACTCTCCTTAGGCAAAACCGAACCCGAAACTGTCATTTTTGGTTTTCGGGTACCCGAACCCGAAAATTCCACTAACGGTTTCGGTTTGGTTATAATGAAACCCGAAAACCCGAAAACAAAAAAGGAATGGTGACTACTGCAAACACTTGCCCATTAACTAGCACCATTCATTCTGCCAAATACACTGCATATCCACCAAATTTTAACTCATTAGACGAGAAAGTAAATTACACTTGACATAGAAGATTACACCAGCTAATGAACTACTAAAACCGAACCAACTTCAACAAACACCATGATCTGCAGGAATAGATAGTTCCCCAGCAAAGAGATCACCAAAATAAGCATGGCCTTCTTTCAACCTCTTCAGCACTTTCCTGATGGAAGCTCTAACCATCATCATCGCTCTCTTCCTCTTAATCGAGCTCGAAACTTTGACCCTGATGAAGGCTGGTGATGATGGCGATCTCCTCCTCCATTGCACCCTTCTGAACTTGAACCAGTTGCTCATAGCTGTTGGCCTTTCAATGCACCCAACATCAAAATGGCCAACACCTCCTCCATCTTAGTTTAAGCTTCAGCTGCTTCTAATGCTACCTCAGTGATCGCTGCTTCTAATGCTACCTTAGTGATTGATTACATCTCATACTTCAGTTGCTTTGTTGATGCATTGCTAGCCTCTTAATCTGTTTTTTGCTCTGTTGATCTTGCAGCAATTGCACGCATTGTGGGACATGTCAAAGAGTGCCAAGGTTATGCAACTTGTCAATAACCTGATAAAAGCCCTAGAAGTTGCTGCAACTATGCAAGAACTTAGTTTAAGTGGTTTAATTAGCAAACATGACATAAGGAAAGAAAGAAAGCAGAGACAGGATGTACAGCAGTTGAGGCGAAGGCTGAAAGGCCAAGAGGGCAGATAGAAAGTACACTAATAGACTAATTATGCAGCAGCAAAACTAAACTTCTCATAACCTATTTCATTGTATGATTCCACAACGTACTAAAATCAAGAAATTAGCAATAGATAAATGGAGCAAAATCAAATCTCCACTGAATCATGCACTAAAACACTGAGATCTATAGAGGTAGCTAGCCAGTTAGAACCCGTCTTCGTAATCAATTGTTCAAGCAAATTAGCTTAGAGCCTCCCCAAAGAGCCATTATCTCAGCACCCTTTTCATCCTCAACATATGATTCCTTCCTTCCAATAGGGTACCATCTGAATACTCAGAAACAATCAGTTCTTCATATGGTTAGCAGGAAATTAAACACATAAACTGAAGCAGAAGCTAAAAGTAGCAGTTAGGCTAGGTAGAATGGAAGAATCTGCCGACTCCAGGAGGCCAAAATGGCATTCACCTGCACTTGCACCAGCACCTTCCTCCCTTAGTTTTGGTCCTTGAATTTGTTCTCATTGTCCAAGGGTACTGCTCTGCAAATTAAACACATAAACTGAAGCAGAAGCTAAAAGTAGCAGTTAGGATAGGAAGAATGGAAGAATCTGCCAACTCCAGGAGGCCAAAATGGCATTCACCTGCACTTGCACCAACATCTTCCTCCCTTAGTTTTGGTCCTTGAATTTGTTCTCATTGTCCAAGGGTACTGCTCTGCTGACCATTGTCATGCTTCTGCTGTTGCAGGCGACGAATGGAGAAGAACATGAAGCCCAAACCCCAACATCGGATTACTCACTGTCACTAGAACCGCCAATCTCACACCAAACTCATACAAGCAAATCTATATCTTAAAGAGCAACATAAAGTGGAGTTGAGTTCGGAGAACCGAGTAACAGATAGAGGAGCTGCTTGATCTCGAATTGACGATGCAAGGAGAGGAAACAAAATCTGGGAAACCCTAAAACCAGATCAGAGAAGGGTTGCGTTACCCAGATGCGCCAACGGGGAAAGCTTCAATCTGGAACGAAGGGATGATTTTGCCGGCGTCGGCGAAGTGATGGCAGTGTAAGTTCGGCGAAGTCTGTTCTCACCTCTATAAAATTCGAAATGTCACCGTGAGAGGCCAACTACAGCTTCGGGTTTTCGGGTTATAGCAAAACCGAAACCGCTACAGATAGCTTTCGGGTTGAAACCGAAAAACCGAACCCAATGGCATTGTTATCGGTTTGGGTTTGGTTAAAACCAAAAACCCGAACCCGATCTGACACCCCTAGCTGCACCCCATATTCCCATCCGCAACATTAATTAGTTAATCGGAAAATAATGATAGATCAAATCCATTTCACGCAAACTGATAATCCCCATCCGCAACATTAACTAGTTCATCAGAAAAATAATGATAGATCAAATCCATTTCACAGCAGTGTCCGGGTTGAGGTCGTTGGCGGTTGGGTAGGGTAAGAGATTGTTTGTTTAGAGTTTTGGTTAGAGATTGGGGTAAGAGGGTAAGATTGTCAATTTGGTGCATTTTAGGGTGATAAAATTTGAGTTTTATGGCGACGAATAGCGATTCAGATTCTTAATGAAGTATTATTTGACATTTGTTAGCATTTTATACCCCTCTAGTATCGCAAATTAACAAGCGTACCCTTCTACTAATTATTTGCACAAATATACCCTTCTAATATAGAAACGTAACAACTAAACCCTTGTACATACATAGCATAGGTAACACGCCTCCTCAAATGAAAGCCAACCCATGAGCTTGAAGTTTGCACAGGCCCACCATAGCATGTGCTTTTAATCAACTGTTAATATAAGGGGTCGTGGAGATTCGAACAAATGACCACTTGGCCAAACCAGCTCTGATACCATGTCAAGAACCAGCTTGTTCCAATAACTCGAGTTGTTGTAAGAAGGTTATGCTGGATCTTATACCACTCTCTAACAATAACCTGCAAAATAAATAACATGATGTAAGCCCAATTCCCGTATGGATCACTAGGGAATAATTGTGGCCCAAGTGTAATTATCACTTAATGGTTTAATATATAAGGTAAGTCATATTTTGGTTAGGTTAATGAAAAAGGTAATTTCCTAATATACCCTGATGGTGAGTTTATATAAAGAAACCCTATGATTGGTCCTCTCTCAACCCATTACGTAGAATTTCTTAGCCGTCATAGAAATCTCTAAACCTAAAACCTAAAGGGGTCAAGAGGGAGAAACTCAATTTTGGTGATTACTACTCAAGCCACCGCCGCCGCTCTCGTCATGGATCGAGGTAGGTTCCTTGATCTATTACCGATTCGTGAAATCATCTAATTCTAAGATCCATGCTATTATGAATTTTGTTTACATGTGGTATTAGAGCCTTAGGGTTTATATGAATGGATGATTTTCGATTATGTATTATGCTTGATTAGTCTCTGCTGCATTTATATCAATCGCTTATGCATGATTAAAGCTTGTTGATGCTTCTGATTGATCATCTGCTTATTCTATTGAGTCCACGCGTTCGAGATTTGTACACAACTGTATTTAACTTCTTTGCGGTTGGTCTTCTGTCTGTCGAGCAATTATTCGCCGTTATCAAGAACATATATATGTGCAGTGCATGTATGTTTATGCTTACATGATATATTGATATGTTTGTTTCCTCAATTATAATGAATTGCGATGACAGTATCTTGCCTTTATTTCATTTTCAACTAAAAATCATGATAAAAGCAATTAGGCATGATTACAATTTCTTTTGTATATGCGTTCGATTAATTAAGAGTTTGGGAAGGTTGATAAAGCCTTATGTTTGTCTCAATAATGATTAATATTGTTTTTCCATTAGTAACAGTATGCAATTGGAGACTCAAGTTTTGGGTCTGCGTATTTCAAAGCATTATTAACAACTGTCTTACCTTAAGTTAAAATTTTTTACATTTGATATCTACTTTATGATTAATTTGTTAGTCACCAAAGTGGCCAAATTAGAAGGTTTATAGATATCAAGTTGAATCAATTTCAACTGCTAATGTTTATGTGATGCTTTTAAGTTGAAGTTGGTGATTATAAAATATTTTGAATCGCCCAAAGGTTGATTGCTCGTTTTATAATTCATGAACATTATCATGGTAAATTGATATGCTTGGTCAGATATATTTAGTATATCCAAAGATTGCAAGTATATCTAATTTGAGTATGTCTATCACCAATTATATGATTATTTTGAGCATCAATTACGATTATTTATCGCATATATATTGTTGTTTTGCCCAAAGGTAGCACCAATATATATTTTATGTTTATGCTTCCAAATCTGTATTATAGTTTATGCTTATTAACCCAAAGCATTAATGTGTGAGTACATGTTATATATGTTTGCAGCATCTGTTCCTGTTTCTCTTCATTCCCAAACCATGTCTGTTGTTAAGTTTAATGGCCTCAACTTCTCTGAATGGGCTGAACAGGTTCAGTTTCACCTCGGTGTTCTGGATCTTGATTTGGCACTCTTAAGTGAGACACCGGTTGCTCTTACTGATGCTAGCAGTGCTGAGGAGAAGTCTTTCCATAAAGCTTGGGAAAGATCTAACAGACTAAGCCTAATGTTTCTGCGAATGACTGTAGCAAACAACATTAAGTCAACTTTCAATGATACTGAAAGTGCTAAGGAATTTATGAATTCCGTGAAAGAAAGCTCTCAATATGAGTCTGCTGATAAGTCGCTTGCTGGGACACTGATGGGTACGCTAACCACCAAGAAGTTGATGGTTCTCATACCATGCATGAGCATATCGTCGAAATGACGAATATTGCAGCAAGACTAAAGACCATGGGAATGGAAGTGAATGAAAATTTCCTTGTAACGTTCATCCTTAATTCCTTACCTCCAGAGTATGGCACATTCCATGTGCATTACAATACTCTAAAGGATAAATGGAATGTGAATGAGTTACAAAGTATGCTAATTCAAGAGGAAGCAAGGCTTAAGAAACCAAGAAATCATTCTGCCAATCTTGTTGGTCATAAAGGAGCTGGAAAGAAACCATGGAACAAGAATGGGAAGGGCAAGGAAGGACTATCAAATCTTAATGAGTCATCTGCCAAAATCCACAAGAAGGAACCAAGTAAGGATATATGCCGCTTTTGTAAGAAAGCCGAACATTATCAGAAAGATTGCTTTAAAATAAAGGCATGGTTCGAAATAAAGGGTAAGCCTAGTGCTTCAGTATGTTTCGAATCAAATTTAACTGAGGTTCCTTATAATCCTTGGTGGGTTGACACTAGTTGTACCATTCATGTTTCCAAAATGATGCAGGGATTCCTTACGACCCAAACCATAAGGAAAAATGAGAAGTTCATCTATATGGGAAACCGAGCCAAAGTTCCAGTCGAAGCTATTGAGACTTATCGTTTGGTTTTAGATACTGGTCATCATTTGGACCTTGTCAATACCCTTTATGCTCCTTCTATTTCTCGTAATTTGGTTTCGGTGTCTCAACTAGATAAAGCTGGGTATTTTTGGAACATTGGAAATGGTTCTATTAGTTTGTTCAAACATAATGTTTTATTGGGTTCTGGTACCCTTGTTGATGGTTTGTACAAACTAAAGCTTGATACCCTATTCGCTGAGACTCTCTTAACCTTGCATCATAATATTGGTATTAAGAGTGGTTTGTTTGATGAATCCTCTACTTACTTGTGGCATAAACATTTGGGTCACATATCCAAAGAAAGAACGGAAAGGTTAGTAAAGAATGAAATCCTTCCTCATTTGGATTTTACTGACCTTGGAATTTGTGTTGAGTGTATTAAAGGAAAACACACAAAACAGACACTTAAGAAAGCAGCCACAAGAAGCTCACAACTCCTTGAAATTATACTCTGATATTTGTGGGCCTTTTGATGTTCCATCACTTGGTGGAGAAAAGTATTTCACTACCTTTATCGATGATTTTTCACGTTATGGATATATCTATTTGCTGCATGAAAAATCTCAGTCGGTAGATACCCTTGAGGTGTTTATCAATGAAGTTGAGAGGCAATTAGAAAGAAAGGTGAAAATTGTCAGATCTGATAGAGGTGGAGAATATTATGGAAAATATGATGAAAGTGGACCGTGCCCTGGTCCATTTGCTAAGTTCCTAGAAAGACGTGGTATTTGTGCTCAATACACTATGCCAGGAACACCGCAACAAAATGGTGTTGCATAAAGGCGGAATCGTACTTTAATGGATATGGTTAGGAGTATGTTAAGCAATTCATCTTTACCCAAATCATTGTGGATGCACGCTTTAAGGACCGCTGTGTGTTTGTTAAATAGGGTTCCTAGTAAAGCAGTTCCTAAGACACCTTTTGAACTGTGGACAAGAAGGAAACCCAGTTTAAGGCACCTGCATGTTTGGGGTTGGCCAGCGGAAGTGAGAATATATAATCCACATGAAAAGAAACTAGACTCACGAACAATCAGTGGTTTCTTCATTGGTTATCCAGAAAAATCTAAGGGGTATCGATTTTATTGCCCTAACCATAGCACGAGAATCGTTGAAACTGGAAATGCTAGGTTCATTGAGAATGGTGAAGTTAGTGGGATTTTAGAGCCACGCAATGTGGAAATTCAAGAAGTTAGAGTGCAAATCTCTTTGCCTCTTCCCTCTTCTCAAGTTGTTGCTCCTACACATGTTGAGCATGATAATGATTTGCAAGAACAACAAATGAACGGTCAAGCACCACCTAATATTGCTATTGAGAATGAATCTAACATAGATGAACCACTAGAAATCGCATTAAGAAGGTCTACAAGAAATCGAGACCTGTAATTTCGAATGATTATGAGGTTTATCTTCACGAGTTAGAATATGATTTAGGACTCTATCATGATCCAGTTTCATTTTCACAAGCCATGGAAAGTGAGCATTCTAATAAATGGTTAGCTGCCGCGAAAGAATAGATGAAATCTATGTATAAAAATGAAGTTTGGGACCTTGTTGATTTGCCTGAAGGTTGTAAAAGAGTTGGTAATAGATGGGTCTAGAAGACCAAACACGACTCTAATGGCAATATCGAAAGACACATGGCCAGACTTGTTGCCAAAGGTTTCACTCAGAAAAGTGGTGTTGACTATAAAGAGATATTTTCACCCGTCTCTAAGAAAGACTCCTAAAGGATTGTCATGGCAATTTTAGCTCATTATAATCTAGAGCTCCATCAGATGGATGTGAAAACCGCCTTTCTCAATGGGAATTTAGATGAAGCAGTCTATATAGATCAACCTGAAGGTTTTGTGGTTGAGGGAAAAGAACATATGATGTGTAAATTAAAGAAGTCAATATACGGACTTAAACAAGCTTCCCGACAATGGTATATTAAGTTCAATAATACCATTACATCTTTTGGATTTAAGGAGAACATCGTCCATCGATGTATATATCTGAAGATTAGTGGGAGCAAGTTTATAATTTTAGTTCTGTATGTTGACGATATCTTGCTTGCTACTAATGATCTTGGTTTATTACATCAAACCAAGGAGTTTCTCTCTATGAACTTTGAAATGAAGGGTTTGGGTGAGGCATCCTATGTGATTGGAATAGAAATATTTCGTGATAGATCACAAGGACTGTTGGGATTGTCTCAGAAATTATACATTAACCGGATCCTAGAGAGATACAACATGGTTGAATGCTCTGCAAATGTCGTTCCAATTCAGAAGGGAGATAAATTTAGTCTCAAACAATGTCCAAAGAATGAATTGGAACGCAAGCAAATGGAACACATTCCTTATGAATCTATTGTTGGAAGTTTGAATTATGCACAAACTTGTACCAGACCAGACATCAGTTTTGTTGTCGGAATGCTGGGCAGGTATCAAAGTAATCCAGGAGTAGATCATTGGAAAGCTGCAAAGAAGGTACTAAGGTATTTGCAAGGAACAAAAGACCACATGCTCACCTTTAGGAGATCTGATCACCTTGAGGTGATTGGATATTCAGATTCAGAATATGCTGGATGTGTAGACACCAGGAAGTCTACTTTTGGCTATTTGTTCCTTCTAGCCTGAGGGGCAATTTCATGAAAGAGTGCAAAGCAGTCTGTTATTGCCACATCCACTATGGAAGCTGAATTCATAGCTTGTTATGAAGCTATGAATCATGGTTTATGGCTGCGTAATTTTTTTCTGGACTTGGAATTGTCGACACTATCGCCAAGCCGCTGAAAATTTACTGTGATAATTCCGCAGCGGTATTCTTCTCTAAGAATGACAAGTATTCTAAGGGTGCTAAGCATATGGAGGTGAAATACTTTGTCGTTAAGTAAGAAGTTCAGAAACAAAGGGTGTCGATCGAGCATATTAGCACACAGCTTATGATTGCTGATCCATTAACAAAAGGATTGCCTCCTAAGACATTTGCTGAACATGTCGAAAGGATGGGGATTATAGGACGTCATGACTAAAGTTCTTTTATGTTTCATGGATTGACACTTTGAGCTCATTTATTTTGTTTCTGGAATAAAGTTATGAATCTTGTCTTGTTTATTATGATCAGTATATATACATTATGAATTATGTGGACATAACAAGATAATGTCTTTAGGAAAGACATTATTGTTGGACCATTATGAATACCTTGTTATGTGTCAAATTGAGCATGAAACTGGTTTTGTGGTACATGGAAGGGACTATGTCGATAAATTGATATAGAACCGCCATGATCCTAATCTAGCTTTCATACTGGATTATGACTTTATGGTGAACCAAATATTATGGATTTATCTTATTATGTGCACACTTATGTTTATTATTAGATCTTGTGATATATAATGACACATCGGCCAAGTGGGAGAATGTAAGCCCAATTCCCGTATGGATCACTAGGGAATAATTGTGGCCCAAGTGTAATTATCACTTAATGGTTTAATATATAAGGTAAGCCATATATTGGTTAGGTTAATGAAAAAGGTAATTTCCAAATATACCCTGATGGTGGGTTTTGATCGAATGCACTGCTGATTGATGAAATTGAGACAACCGTCAAATATCCACCGTCGTGCGGTGTTGATTTGATCGGTGCAACTCTGACTAGTGAAGACGAAGACGATCGTCAAATATCCACCGAACGGTGTTGATTTGATCGATCCACTTCTGACTTCTAACCAAGAACGATTGTTACTCGGTTCACACCTATCCAAACAATGTTCGAACGAGGGTGTTTGAATTTTTGGGGAATCTACGTTAACAACTACTCCTATGGAGATTCCTGTGGAGAGCTCCGCAACTACGCTACTGCTACGACTATGGAGATCCTTCCTGGAAGGAGAGCTCCGCGAAGGAGCTACAAAGAAAAAAAGATAAGTTTGACAAAGTTGTTCTGTATTGATTTTTGGTTGTCCTTCTCTCTCCTTGCTCCGATGATTTTATCTGAAATCATCTGCGTAGCCTTCACGCTTCGGGAAAGTGCTTTCTCAACTACTCCGTCCTGAACTCCCACATGTTTCAACTGCCTTAATCTCCTCTTCACTCTTGTTGGCGTGAATCTCCCTCGAGTGCGAAACTGCTCTGTAGAGACTTGGCCAAATCGACGCCGAGCCAAAATCCATAGTTCTCCACCACGGTTCGATCCTCCAAACAACCATGTCCACAAAATAAACAACGACGTTGTTCTCGCCTAAACAACGTTGCTCATTAGTATCGCGGCATTGTTTTGCCTTGCAGCTAGCCAAATTTGCAACGTCATTGAGCTTAGGCTAGGCAAAACGACATTGAGTTTGCAACCTCGTCGAGTCCGCGACATCTTCAAACACACACCATTGTTGAACTCTCGCCACCGCGATGTTGTTTTATGCTAAACAACGTTGTTTCCTATCCTCGCGGTGTCGTTGGATCTTTGTGACGCCGCCGGTCATTTTAGGCTTGTCCCACAACGTTGTTCTCTACAAAACAACATCGTTTTCTACTACTGCGACGTCACTGCGATTTCTCGTGACAGTGTCGTTTTTTATCACACGACATCGAATTAAATGCCGAGACTCATTAATGCGGCATTGAATTCAGGCCAAAAATATTTTAGATGTAAACACCTGATGTAACATCCCGAACCTCGAATAAATTTTTTTTTTCCAGATGGCGGGCGTGTAATATACGTTTCGAGGCTGGAAAAAAATCTAGAACTTATCCTATACGAGATAGGATCAACGAAATCACTTTGAAACTCTCCAAGCCTAAAAAAATGCAATAAAAATAAATAAGGGGCTGCTAGGAATCGAACCTAGACCCTTGCCCACATTCAAGGGCAGACATTTGCCCAAACCAGTAGACCACACGGAATTTATATGTATGAAATACTACATCCTGTTTCATAAACTGAAACAAGAATTAATAAGAGGGGGAGACTCTTTTCTTCTTCTTCCTCACTTCATATCATCATTTTCATACGCCAAGAAAAGAATGGAAGGAAAGGATAGTTAACAAACGCCTAACATAACCTTTGTATGCCCAGCAAAGGTTTAGAACCCATACAAATCTCATTACGAAGCCAAAATCGTCCAACCAACTCAACGGAAATTCTTCGCCGAAACTTTTGCCGTAACCTTTTCGTCAGCCAAACCAGCACCATTAAAGGTAGTATCAGCTACGAAGCTTGATACCGTTGCGAAGAGAAAGTCTCCACGAGAATCACAGATTTTACGGAATTGAATTCCGAGCTCCGACGAGGGAGAAACAAGGCCCGGAAGTTGGTACGTGAGGTAAAGGAATTTCCAGTTTTCTGCAGATTTTGGACAGCAGAAAATTCAAAATTAATCCCTAATTTCGTACTAACGATGATCAGCTCGCAGTTTCTTCGTTTGACGTCCAAACGACGAACCGTTTTCGCCTACAGGACCGTAGAAACAAGGAGAATATGTAGGAGCCAACCTCTGGAATTTTAGAACTTAATTCCCGACTTGGAATCGGCTAAAATTAAGGTGTGTGGGGATTAAGAGGACCTTAATTATTGCATCGATTATTTATGCTTTATTTGCATATTTGGATGGATGGATTAGTGTGGTTGATGACTTGGTTGCTGATATGATTATTTGGTGATTGTTCTTTATTGTTATGGATTTTACGGTGTACATATCGGTATTTTACAAGTTTCACCGTAAAAATGGATAGTTGGGTTTATTGAGTTTAAAACGGATCTAAGATATTTTTGTATGTCTAAAATGATGTTGGGCAGATTGAGCAGAAGATTTCCTTTGAAAATGGCTTCCGGATTAAAAACTGCATAACGGTGAATTTTACGGAAAGCTCGGTAAAAACTTGTTTTATTTATCTTTAAGATTTTGATCCCTTTAAAATGGTCAGTATGGATTGTTAAATGGGTTTTGGTCTGGAAATGGTAAATTAGACAGTTGGTGTAGTTTTTATCTTTGAAATGGTAAAAACGAGCTTAATACGAGATTTGCGGTAAAGACCGAGTGTAATATAATTTTCATGGTTTTGATTTGTTGAAAAATATAAAAACTGGACAGACCTGTTTTAGGATGATAAATGAAGGTTCTTGTATCTTTTGGAGATTTTCAGATTTACCGTTTTGTGGGAATTTAAGTTACCGTAAAATATTGGTTAATACGAGATTTTTGATATTTTATTGTCTAAATTGATTTTTATGACCAGAACTAGATTAAATGGATTTTTGTGTTAATAAATTCATTTACATGAATTGTGTGAGGATTTTAATGAAGGAGAGTGAATTTTGAGATAAGGATATTTTTAACCGCAACCGGGTTATTTATAATTATTTGCGTTGGCGCTATTTCGTGAAATTGTTGATGAATTTTGGATGAGGAATGGTGACATGGTACTGCTGAGTAGCTTTAATGGAGAATGAAATGATTTATGTGAAACGTCGAGTTGATAATCGACGGGCAATATATATATGGACTGGTTAATCCGTGAGACTACATTGATTCCGGATTGTTTGTGATGAATGAGAAAAATGAAAATGGTTTAATTCGTGATCATATTAATTCACATAGATGTAGAAAGGGCCTGCAATTACCCTCACCCCTTGAGAGTGGGTAGATTTAGCTCGCTTATGCGATTGAGTGTTGTGGTTGCATGAGCACCACAGATGAGTGTTGTGGTTAAAAACCACGAATTGAGTGTTGTGGTTGCATGAGCACCACAGATTGAGTGTTGTGGTTGCATGAGCACCACGGATGATGATTTGCTCGAGCGAGGGTAAGTGTATGGTGACCTTGGCGCCATTAATAATTAATCGGAATTTTCATATCATGCATTGATTATGTGTTCATGAAATTATGTGATTAGTTTATTGGATAAATTGATTTGGTGATGATGAGTTGGTGGATTCGATAAATTGATCGGTAATTTATATATGATGATTTAATATGGCATCTAGAGTACTAAATTATGCTTGATTACGATTGTTTGATTAGCTGATTGTGGTTCCAAAATTAGGTCGTGGGAAAGATCCACACACACAGCTTAGTTGCTGACCCACGTATGTTTTCAGGCTCGCAGGTGCAACTAGGATCGGACTACTGAGGCTGCCCTATCCTTCTGTACTACCATCATGAGGTAGTTTGGAACACTATTCTGTCATGGTCACCTAGGATTTCTGCTTTGAGTGTTTTCAATAATAACCCACATTTTGTAAAATTCAATAAGTGGGTTGGTGATCGAATAATGAGTTTGTATGATAACGGTTTATGTTTGTGTTTAATAATCGGAGATGATGTTTGAGATGATTGAGTTCAACCAGTAACACCAAGGATTTGGCTGCGCGGTTGAACCATGGGTTCAACCATAGAGATTTTGGGTGGGGTGTTACACCTGACCTGCCACATCAGAAAATAGCCACGTCAGACCCAACCCAACCAAGCCCCTACCCCAACTGCATTTCTTGACCCTTCCTCTCCCCAAGTTCCCCTTTGTCGTTTTTCTTCGTCGTGAGCCAAGGAGTCGATCGCCATCTGTTTACACCAAAAGTTAACCTTGTACCACATCGGTTAAAAACAAGGAATTAAATGGCCTTATAAGGCCAACTTAATCATATTAGTTTAAATCAGTTGAGTGGGCCATGAGAATTTGGTTTTTGGGCCCATTACTCAGTGCCACCACGCGCGCCATGTATCCCCAAATTTGGCTAAGTATGGGAGCCACCCCCATGACATGCAGAGGGCGTGGCCCTCATATCTCCGCCCCCAGGAGGTACCAAGGGGGGGGGGGGGGGTGGCCATCATATCTCCACCCCCAGGAGGTACCAAGGGGGGTGGCCACCATCATACCACCCCCAGGACGTGGCAAGGGGGGTGGACATCATACCGCCACCCCCATGACATGGTGAGGGGGTGATGGCCGAATTTGGCCATCATATCTCCACCCCCAGGAGGTACCAAGGGGGGTGGCAAGGAGGCACCATGATATGACACAAGGGTGATCACTAAGGATGGCAAGGAGAACCCCCCATGAGATGATCAGGGGGTGGCCATCAACACACCCCGCCATGAGCATGCAATCCCCATGATATGATCAGGGCGGTGATTAATATCCACCCCCTGTGGTATGGTCAGGGGGTCACCAACATACGCCCCCATGGTATGGCCAAGGGGCGTGGTCAACATCGCCCCCATGAGGTTGCCAAGTGGGCTACCAAGACACCACCCTCATGAGGTGGTCAAGGGGGGTCATCTGAGCACGTGGTGAAGTATTTTTGCCATTTTGACTCAGGTGGTTTGAGTACCCACCCATATGTGGCATGTGGTCTGCTTTCATGCCTTAGCTATTTTTACTCTATGGATAAGCAAAACTACGAAGGAGATGCCAAGAATAGAGGTTGAGGTCTCAAGATGAGGAAGTCAAGACTGAAGAGGACCCCACATCCAACATCAGGGTAACCGTCATAGCAGTTGAGTGGGTAACCGTCACTCCACGTTAGTAGAGCAGTTTCTTGGGGCAGTTACTTCTGGTGGCTATAAATAGGAGGTGAAGATGATAGAGAAAGGGTTCGCCAAAATCACACTAGACAACACAATGTCAAATTTTACTGTGGAGCACATTGGACGTTTTACTGTCCAGTGTGGGGATGTGGGAGATTTTATTAAGTTAAGAGTATTTGTAAACTCATTGACAGGACCTGCTTTTGCCTGGTATGTCAATTTGCCATCCAACTCCATCCAAACATGGCAGCAGATGGAGCAAATCTTCCATGCTCAGTTTTATAGATCTGAGCGTGAAGTTTCCATGGCTGATTTGGCACGAATGCGCCAAGAACCAGGGGAGTCAGTAGAGCACTTCTTGACAAACTTCAAGAATGCTCGTAACCGATGTTTTGTCAACTTCACAGAGAGAGAGTTTGTCAAGTTAGCACAAGGGGGGTTGAGTTTTGAGTTAAGGAAGAAATTCCAAGATAGAGAATTCTCTGACTTTTTCCAACTCATGTCTTGTGCGGTGAGATATGAATATCTTCTTCAAGAAGAGGAGAATAGGAGGAGTGCCTCAAGGGGGCAATACTTCCCCAACATCGGCTACCCTGTCAACTATATTGGCCAAGAGGCCAATGAGGTGGAGGTAGACCTGGCTGAGTTAACTCTGGGGAAGCCATATGTATGTGCTCCTTTGGCTAATATGGACAATGAACCACAAGGGGGTAGACCAAATTGTGCCCCCATCCAGCCACGGAAGTATTCATTTTATATTTCTAAAGCCGACTTGATATTTGACCAACTCTACAAAGATGGTCAAATCAAGTTGACAGGGGGGCATAACATCCCACCCCCTGAGAAGTTAAGAGGAAAAACATATTGTAAGCGGCATAACAACATGCTACACTCCACAAACTCATGTGTGGTTTTTCGCAATATATTGCAGGATGCTATTGAGAAGGGTCGCATCAAGCTCCCCGAGCCAAAGAAAGATGCCATGATGGTGGATACCAACCCGTTTCCCAACGTGCTTGGTGTTAACATGGTTAATCCAGACTTCTCCAAGATTGAGCTTCCTCGTTTCAAACTTGTGTTAGATACAACACCGCAACAAGGGATCCCCAAAAGAGTGGTTGAGCAGGGAAAGTCATCGAGGGGCAAGCAGGTCAACTCGGCCGCGTCTAAGGTGTCCAGTGAGGTGGAGAAGCTATGTTCCCAGTGCAAAAGGAATCTTAGACTTGATGAAGTGAAACCGAATCGACCAGTCCAACAAAGAATTGGCCCACCCCATAGGCCTAGATACCCATCCTATCAAAGACAAGTAGAGGGGGTCATTCAACCGACATGGGGGCAAAGAAGGCAATGGGTGGCACATGGCCCTCTTCCCATGAGAAGGACTTCCAAGATGCCCAATGTGCCACAAGGAGGGGGGCATACTTATGATATGCATAGTCAACCAGTAGCTATTGGGGGGATGGCAAGGACTCAAAGGAGGAGATTCCTACGTAAGAATGCTAAAGCACGAAAGGGGCAATACCCAGCAGTACCTGGTGAGATAGTGGGGCCATCACAACAAAATGAGGATGGTCATGCTACTATTGAGGTGGACAACTCTATGGCCACAGGTCCCAAAGTAATAGTGTCTGACAAGGGCACGCATGTCCAAGTCCAAAGTGATGGTAAAGGTCAGAAGGGAAAAAATGGTGAAGGTGGTGATTCAAAGCCAGCTTGTGAAGAATCATCTCCTTTGAACAACCATGGACAAATAGTGTATGGTTGGCTGGTTTGGTTTAATACATGGACTTGGCAGTGGGTTTATACCTTTGGCACATTGGTTATTGCCAAAGGGTATGGAGATCAATGATGCTTGTAACTACTTATTATATGCAATAAAAAAAAAGGAAAAAAATAGTTAATATAGAAAAGCCAATCATGGCTATATATATATATATATATATTTAAAATGCCAAAGTGGCAAGTTTCAGAAGAAGTTAGTAGGTTTTGATGTGAGAATATTGCCACGACTGGTAAGCCTCAATCATTACTCGTCTTGTCAGGCCATTAAGGTGGCTTAACCATGCCAAACTTTAAAATTTTGAAAGGTGTGAACCATGTACCCCATGACAAGACATGGAGGTGATGGTGAACATGGAGTATGATTAGTAGTAGTTTGGATTAACTAGGGGCGCATGATGTTGTTCTAGCCCAATAACTTCAAAAGATACCATGCCGTGTGATTTAAGAGTGACCATAAGTGTTGGTGGTCACAGTGGCATGGGGGGCACAGTTGTGTCGAGATGGAAGGACTATGGAATAATTATGTTTGACTCCCTTCCTTCCACCCACACGGCAGCAAAGGAGAAGAAATTGGGATTGTTTTGGTCATTTAAATTGTAAGGCCAAGTATTTGAGTTTGGTAGGCTAGTTGGTGTGAAACTACTTAGTCCATAATTCTTATGCACTAAGTAGTTGGGGGGCAATTGTTTACACCAAAAATTAACCTTGTACCACATCGGTTAAAAACAAGGAATTAAATGGCCTTATAAGGCCAACTTAATCATATCAGTTTAAATCAGTTGAGTGGGCCATGAGAATTTGGTTTTTGGGCCCATTACTCAGTGCCACCACGCGCGCCATGCATCCCCAAATTTGGCTAAGTATGGGAGCCACCCCCATGACATGCAGAGGGGGTGGCCATCATATCTCCGCCCCCAGGAGGTACCAAGGGGGTGGGCATCATATCGCCACCCCAAGGAGGCTGCCACCCCTAGGAGGTACCAAGGGGGGGGGGGGGCATCATATCTCCACCCCCAGGAGGTACCAAGGGGGGTGGCCACCATCATACCACCCTCAGGACGTGGCAAGGGGGGTGGACATCATACCGCCACCCCCATGACATGGTGAGGGGGGTGATGGCCGAATTTGGCCATCATATCTCCACCCCCAGGAGGTACCAAGGGGGGTGGCCACCATCATACCACCCCCTGGACGTGACAAGGGGGGTGGGCATCATACCACCACCCCCATGACATGGTGAGGGGGTGATGGCCGAATTTATGGTGAGGAGGGTGATGGCTGAATTTGGCTAAGGCGAGGAGTATGGGAGTCAACCCCATGACATGGCAAGGGGGTGGGCATCATATTGTCACCCCCATGACGTAGTGAGGGGGTCATATTACCACCCCCCCCCCCCCCATGGAGTGTTTGTGGAGTAGCATGGGATCACCACCCCCATGCGGTGTGAAATACGACTAAGTATGGTGAGGCAAGGAGGCACCATGATATGACACGAGGGTGATCACCAAGGATGGCAAGGAGAACCCCCCATGAGATGATCAGGGGGTGGCCATCAACACACCCCGCCATGAGCATGCAATCCCCATGATATGATCAAGGTGGTGATTAATATCCACCCCCTGTGGTATGGTCAGGGGGTCACCAACATACGCCCCCATGGTATGGCCAAGGGGCGTGGTCAACATCGCCCCCATGAGGTTGCCAGGTGGGCTACCAAGACACCACCCTCATGAGGTGGTCAAGGGGGGTCATCTGAGCACGTGGTGAAGTATTTTTGCCATTTTGATTCAGGTGGTTTGAGTACCCACCCATATGTGGCATGTGGTCTGCTTTTGACACGCTAAAACACAACACCTAACAATGGCCAAGTGTAACCAATGAAAGGGACTGCAGTATAGTGGCACAAGTAATAAATATCGAATCCACGGGTCTCTAGAGTTACTATTACTTAGCTTCAGTTCATTATCTAGCAAACTAGATTAAGGATTGATTTACTAAACTACTCTACTAACTACTCTACTAACTACAAGTTGGGAACTCACTTAGGTACGATTCCCCCTAGCTCCTCAATTAGGTCCAAGTTGCAATTACCTTTGGTTGATCTACTGTTGATTGAACTGCGGAAGATCCTAAATTAGCTTGGAATCTCTTAAGCTGACCAAGCCCTCTCAGACAGAATACCCGGCAGGCGACTAGCCTTCACCGGGATAGACTGCTAAGGCGATTCACACAGATCTCCTCTACTAGAATGAATTCCAGTACAAAGCAGTGAATTGATTGACTCTCGCACAACCAATTCACCACTATCAATCAAGGAAGCTCTCTTAACCTAATCAGATTCTATCTATCATAGGTTAAAGCAGAAATCAAGAGAATTTGATCAAGATTCAATTGACTCAATAAATCATGCCGCAATCGATTATAATCAAACAATATAGAATCCAAAACTTCATACAAGAAAGATCCTAACACATGGAACTAGGGTTCCTCAAAACCTAAGTGAAGGGAAGTTACTCCATAGAGAAGAGAGAGACTGCAGAAATCCGATCTAGATATTCAATCTTCATCTCCAAGCTTGATTCCCGAGCTCCAATGGCGAAGAAATCCTCCAAAATAGCTCCAAGAATGTTCCCAAGTCGCTCTCTCTCTAGGGTTCGTCCCTTGGGTGTTTGGGAACCAAAACCCAGCTCTCCCCTTTCCTTTGGCTGAAAATCGAGTTTTAAACAGAAATTCCCGATCACGCGGCCAGGCCACACGGCCGTGTGGCTTTCCCAGCTGCCCGTGTGAAGGCTCGGTGATTTCCCCACGGCCACGACCCACACGGCCGTGTGGAGTTCCAGGATGCCCGTGTGGCTTGCTCAGCCTCTGTTTAATGCTTTGTTTCTCCCTCGTCCGGACTCTGAATCAGTCCCCGTTTGATCCCAGATGCTCGTAGTCTCGTCCTCTTTCTTTTAATGACAAGCTTGCATGATTCTTTATCCATAAAGTGAGGTAGAAATCCATTCTTCTTCAGGTCATGCCCGAGTTTCTTCTCCCGAATCGTCAATTGATCTCTGATTGATTTGAAACTTGTGCCTATGCTTCAATTTACATGCTAGGACCTGAAATGTGACAAAGGAACACAACCTATCATAAAATAGGCCAAATAAGCGATAATGCAAGCTTAAACGATCAAGAAACAAAGGGGAAAACATGTGCAAATATCGAGTCATCAGCTTTCATGCCTTAGCCATTTTTACTCTATGGATAAGCAAAACTACGAAGGAGATGCCAAGAACAGAGGTTGAGGTCTCAAGAGGAGGAAGTCAAGACTGAAGAGGACCCCACATCCAACATCAGGGTAACCGTCATAGCAGTTGAGTGGGTAACTGTCACTCCACGTTAGCAGAGCAGTTTCTTGGGGCAGTTACTTCTGGTGGCTATAAATAGGAGGTGAAGATGACAGAGAAAGGGTTCGCCAAAATCACACCAGACAACACAATGTCAAATTTTATCCTTTTATCTTTACCTTTTCCTCTGCAAATGTAGTCATAGCCATAGTTGTAGTTTCGGAGCTCTCACTGAACCTCCATAAGAGTAGAGTTAATGTAATTTAGTTTGCCTCGTAGATCATCAAGAACATCGAACACCCTTGTTTGAACTTTGTTCAAAGAGGTGTGGACCGTGTTTGTTAATCGTTTGTTTGGAAGTCAAAGGTGCAAATCCAATTCTCTTTCCTTTATTTTTCTCGCCGGGAAAACACCATCAAAATTCCATTCTAAGAACAGGGAGTGCGTACCTCGAGCACCCTTTTGAAGAGATCATGTAGGGCGAGGGCAGACTCGACCAGCAGGAGCCTAGAAGTTGAAGGATGGCATCCGTGATGCGGATCTTCATCTCGAGTAGGCAGTCGACTCCCTCTCAAGACGACAAGGAGAAGAAAAAATTACAAATGGTTGATTAGTTGAGACAAGAAGGGCAATGGACGATGCAGCTTTAACTGTGGGGTGAAAAGAGGGATCACAATTCACATATAGTTACGTTGTGGAGCATTAACTACGATGCAGCTTGCATTATACTATTATCATAATCAGTGACGTAGTCGGTATTTCGTCTAAAGTGGGTCCACTTCTTAAAAGAAAAATATATATGATAAAGATAGTTTTTGTTAACTTTTCTAATCATTCTTGATTTAATTTTTTTTTTGCTAAGTTAAAATACATTTGTAGTCGAAACTATTAAGAATATAACACTATATATGTACAAGATAGTTATTAGTGATTTAATTAGTCATTCTCTTTCGAATGAGGTTCTTTGTAGAATAACTATTTAGTACCAATAAGTCGAGTCATTGAGAGAAGGTTAATAATGAATCTTACACCAAACAATAATTCATTATTTAGTTAGCTGTTCGCTTTCGAATGATGTTCTTTGTCAAGAACCATTTAATATTAATAACTCGAACTGTAGAGAGAGGTTCAACAATAAATCTTATACAATTTACTAGCATGCTCCCTCATAAAAAAAAGTGAGCTTATACGAAATTGAAGTTTGCACAAATCTGAATTAGATGCCCACTAATTTTATATTTTGTATAAGCTAACTATTATATCTAATATAATCATTTTTACTCCGAATCATGCATGGTGGACCCACCCTGCTCTACTCTCCTTCCGCCACTGATCATAATCATAATTATGATGTGCTTCTTTTGTGGACACGTGAAGCTTTTGATCTCCAATCATTCATGGGAACTATATGAGAAGAAAAGTATAGGGGAGGCGGAGATCGAAAGGAAAATCTACGCGGCAGAGAACCGGCCGGCCAAAGCAAGCAGTGGAGCCAGAGGAAGGGAATATTGAAATAAGAGTGGTTTACGTGACACTTCCTTTTACTTAACTTACCATGCAGGGAAAGGAAAAGGTCAAGTGTGAAAAATTCAACACCACCATGATTTGCATGCGTTCCTTTTCTGCTGCCATTGCTTTCACCTTTCTATGGCCTCCATTGAACCAAGTAAAGGCAACAATAATATGCAAATCCCATATGGAAACAATTAGATCCTGATGATTAGCACGTTCTTAACTCTTAAGGTTTCACCTTCTAGTGTAATGGAATGGAAACCAAATATCTGATATAGGAAGATCAAAACCAAGATTCGGCGATCGAGAGCCAATTTGACGGTCCAATGGCTTAAATTGTTGGATAAGATTGAATTATAAATGTTGAGTTATATATAATTCGTTACGTGTCTATACCTATATGATCATTCTCTTACGTGTCTTCTCAATTGAAACTCAATTCATGTTCAGTTTGAAATTCTGGAATGTGATCCAACGAATGCTCTTAACATTGGTAGGTAGTTTTAAAAGTGGAAACCGGCGAGGAAACCCCAGGGGATGTTGTTTTTGGACATGGCAGTGGGGAACTTCAAAACCATCAAACACCTAAAGAGAACAAGAATCTTGGAAAGACAATAAAATATGGACGAGAAGCTAAGGTAGGAATGGGCCTATAAATAAAAAGTTGAAAACACACCTCTCCCCCACTCAAAACCGGCCATTTGGCTGTTTACATCAAAAGCTCTAGCTTTTCCTTAGATTCACCCAACGAAGTAACGCAGCAAAGCCAACAACACATCAAAGTAATTAAAGTCACCAACTTTTGAATCCCACCCAAAGAAAATAAGTACAGATATCGCAATACCATCCATCCACTATCTAATCCACTTCCCACAATCCCATTCTACTCTATAAATACCCTTTCCCATGGATTCAATCCTTTCAGTCGTCCAATGTGTGATTCTAAATCCCAACATTACCACCTTCAATAACATCACTCAATCACAAAGTTACACACTTGGCCAAAATTTTCTTGTTTCCCTCCAGGAAATTGATCAAAGCCCATCAGGCCAATGGATACAATGGTGACACTCAACAAGGCCAAAAGGGTTCAATCCATGAGGAAGAGGAAGGCAGCTCACAGTGTGTTCCTTCAAAATCTTGCTATGAATTCACTGATGATAGTGGGGTGTGCCCTTTTATTGTATACACCCACAAAGCAATTCTTGTTCCTCCATCTCCCCAACGTGTTGTCGTGCCTTTCTAGTCCCAAGTGTGTTTTTGTCTTGGTCAATGTCATTGTGGTGTACCTGGTTGGAGAATCAAGGCTCAACGGTCACGAGGGTTCATCACGGAGATCTTCTCTGATCAGTGATGTCTACTATGAGTACGTTGGTAGAGCTAGAGCTCAAAGGGAATTGGTCACGTCACCCTCGATCCCGACTCAAGAAAAATCTACCGAAGTAGCATGCGAGGTGGAGAGACAGATTGTCGCCGTTGACAAAGTTGTGTCGTTAGATGATGAAGTGGTGGCAGGCCAAACGGAAAGAGGGATTGTTGTTGTCGATGATGAAACTACTTTATTTGAGGATGAAGCAGTGGAGAGCGAATCGGCTAGTGAAAGTGTCATCGTAGTAGATGAAATTACGACTTCATTTGAGGATGATATAGTTGAACAAGAAGAACAAAGAGTGATTAATGAAAATGAGAATAATGAAGAGAAAGTTGAGGAGCAAGTAGAAGATAAAATAGAAGTCATTGAAGAAAAAGGAGGAAGGGGAGCAGGGGATGAGCTTAACAGAAGGATAGAGGACTTCATTGCAAGAGTTAACAGACAAAGGCAACTTGAGATCCAATCACTTGTTTCTTGTAAAGCTTGAAAAAAGTTTGTTGTCAAGTACATGGCTGATATCTTGTGGAGACTATTGTTTCTTTTCTTTTTTCCTAAAAAGAAAACAATGTATGGGGTAGTTTTTAAGCACCCAACCCTCTTGTTTTTTACAAAATACTGAAATAGTAGTTGTTTATGGTAAGTAGTAAGTACCATGTTGGATAATATACTAATTTTTTTTTTTTTTACAGGCAGAAACATGTTAATTACAGTAACGTGGTAATTGGGAGATCTTAAGAACCTATATATAAGTTTTATTGTACCTTCTTTTATACAAAATTTATTTGCTAGTTTTGAAATCTATAAAGACCACTCATGTTATATTCAAATATTAATATTTGGTTAGCGAGATCTCCAGTATTAAAGGATCTTTTGGACTCGACCCATAATAACGAGTAGCGAATGCTATTTGCGCCGGAAGTCGATTTACAAAATCAATCGATTGGATATACATATTGCAAAATTATAGTTATTACATATTATTTGTTTGATGGATTAAAATTTTGTTTAGAAGGTAATGATGCATAATTTATGAGTGCATAATCTTGCATAATTCTATACTGGGTTATTAACTTTTCTATCAATAAATTTTAACGAGTTATATCTCTTTTATCTTAAGTTGAAAAAAAATATTTGAACAGAAAAATAAAATTATTTGTGCTCTTCAAAATGATATCAATTTTGATATATTTTGGAGCAAAATAAAATTGAGACTTTACTATGAGTGCATATCATGTGCTACCATTTGGTATGTACATAAGATCAGTATACCACATGGTATGATATATACCATGGTTGTATGAATATACCGTAGTATAAAATGATTGTATACATTATAATAAAAAAATATTAACTGTCATTTATCATATTTCATCATTGTCTACCATCATTTACCATCATATACCGAGGTGATATAAAGTGGTATATTTAATCCAAAAAAGAAACTTCTCCGTAAATTTAGATCCAATAGATCACGGTAAACTCGTTCCTTCCTAGCAAAATTAATAAAATTCAAATTAAAAAATGAAGGTGGTATCAAGGTGCTAATGGGGTGGTAACCAGTGGTATGAAAACAATTCTCAAAATATATTGAAAATTAATTTCATTTTGTAGATCACAACAAACCATTCCATCTGTGATTTTTTTTTTTTTTTTTGCAATCCAAGTTAGAACGATAAAAATAAAAGTCAATTATAAAATTATGCAAAATAAAAGCTCATTTATTCTCACTCCGTAGACGCCCCCACTTCAAATCAAGAGATGAGATCTAATTATGCAACTATCTTGTACCAATCTGGAAACTAACACATTATAGTCATGTGACCACCAGTGAATCCATGTCCCCCGTATGTTTTTTTTTACTCTATCGTTAGACACAATAAGTTTTGGTAAAAGAATAGTAAGTCTCTACGACAGGTAATGTTCTGTTTGCTTTTGAAAATTTTTATGATGGGATTCTGGACCCTTTTCTCATGGAATGTTTAGCTCTACGGGATGTTGTACAGTGGTGTGTAACTCATTCCTTTCTTGCTGTTTGTTTTCATGGGGACTCTCAACTCTTGATCCGTCGGATGATTGGAGGTGATATGCATCATGTTCGGGGTGGCGCTATTTTGGAGAACGTTAGGAGCTTGGCATCTTCTTTCCACAGTGTTTCTTTCTGTTTTGTTTCTCGTCAACTTAATAGGGCTGCCTATCGTGTGGCACAAAAGGCTCTCTCATCGGGAGTTCGACTATTGGTAGACTCCCGCACTTTTCTTTCTTCCGGTTTGTGACTTTTGATTAATACTCTGACTTTGCCAAAAAAAAAAAAAAAGAATAGTAAGTCTCTATGTATGTTTATGAAAGGGATTGTTCTCATCACGTTAAGAAGACAACATAAGAGTATTTTGTTACTGTATTATCTTCTTGGTATTTGATTGCCATAACATTTATTCATTACATTCTAACTGAAATTCACATTGAAAGCAACTATTATTTGTTTGTTTGTTAGTAGGGTTTCATGATCACCTTAAGTGATTATTGAGGATTTTTTTTTATTAGGATCGTTTTCAAAGATAGTGATGTTATAAATCGGCATGAAGTTCTAACTATTTAAAAACGATAATTGAATAATGAACGACATACAAATTATTATGAAGCAAAAATAAGTTGATCTCAAAATAGTACTATTATTACTTTGGATTATAGTTCCAACATATTACCCAAGATCTCACCCGCATCTACAACTCAAATTGGTAAGATCCTTCGCAACTCTATGCAACTTCTACCATTGTCACTATCTTCTTACGTGCAATTGTTTCGCAACTCGAAATGACTAGACACATAAGAATTCCAATTATGCAACTGCCGCCATCGCCACTCCTGCCATACTGCCTTCGAAATTAAAGCAACCGAACTAGTTTTTGGGGATATGTTTTGAGTTATCGAGATGAATTTAAATCTTAAAAATGATAAACAAAATTAACATGAACTCTAGATGTGAGAATCGAGACATGGACTGTGGTACGAGTTTCCGATATGGAGCCAACATCTTGTACAGAACTAACAGAAGAAAGAAGAAAAGGAAAAACTAAGAAGCAGGATAAATTGATTGGATCACATTTTTTTTGGTAGAAATTGATTGGATCACTTTGATAATTAAGATTTGAGTTGAATTAAATGAGTTTGATATTCACAAAAGAGGGAGTGATAGTGAGAGGTAGTAGTGTGTGGGCTTTTTGGTTGTGGTGAGTCTGAAGAAGTGGAATTCCTGAAGGCGGATTGTGGGTCGGGGCCCGGGGGCCAAGTTTGTGACGTTGACTGCTTGCTCTCCTTATCTCTGCCCCATATTCCTAACTTAGCAACTAAGCTAAGATTTGACAAAAAAAATAATTATATATTAATTTAAAAAATAAATAGTTACATCCGGGAATTCAGTTAGGCCTGATAATCGAATAAACAACTCATAGTCGCTTACAAACAAAGGGCCTTACGAGCCACCGAATGAGCTACCATATTGCTACGCCGACCTACAAATCGAACACTAAATCCGGTATGAATAGCGAAGTAATGCACAATCTCTTCAAGGATAGCCCCCATCCGACTATGTCCGGTATTCGTACAAATAGCAATTTCAATCTCATATGTTTTACTTATTTGTTTGTCCTATTGGGCGATAATATCCGGCGGGTGGACATAGGTACACTCTTTGATCTGATCTATCCCGAGCCATTCCATTTGCGATCTACTTTTATCTAAAGTATCCACACTTTGATTCAAATTACTTAGAATTTTACTTTTCTTATCTTATATTTTAGTTATAATGAAGTTATAAATGGGTGAAAACCTCAAATTCTCGAATAATTTAACTACATTATCGTATGTAATTTGTTTCTTGTTTTTTTTAATAAAAAAGGAATACGTCTTATGTTTTCCTTTTCAATTACATACCCACATATTATCGTATGTAATTTGTTTCTTGTTTTTTTTAATAAAAAAGGAATACGTCTTATGTTTTTCTTTTCAATTACATACCCACATTAATCGACATGTCGCTACTCGCATCTCATGATAAATTACCCAATTTGGATCAAATCTGCTATGTAACGAGTATTGATATCGTGATTCCCGCCCCGACTCATGGCTATTCCTACACACAATGCCACGTAGGAGGTGTATGAAAAGAAAAAAGTATTCAAACGACAAAAGGCTCACTAGTCACAACAAACATCTGCAGGCCGAAAAGTTTGGACCAATGGGCTCCGTGTGTTAATTTTGGTTCCATCACAGAACCGAGAAAGCCAGCCCAGTTTCTCAAGTAGTCGAGGCCATTGATTATAGGGGACACTTTCACACTTACCAGTTACCATCTTGCTCGCATGAAGCCCATCTTGCTGAGTGAATTAATGGTTGGTAAAGAAATGCAGTAAATTGAGTCATGTCACACATGTCGTTTAGCTAAAGCCTAAAAGTGGGTCTATATTGAGATGAAAGCTGATTACAAACCAGGCGGGTGTAGGAGAAAATAGAGAGAGAAAAAGCTCTCTCCTCTCTCTTCTTTTCCTGGTGTGCATTCTGTCCATTTTATGACCGTTGTCTCCAAGTCTCCCCAAGCGGAGGCCGACCACTGCCTCAAACCGCCAGACGGTTCGCCGGCGCAATCTCCGATCCAGCCCAGTAAAAAGGCAAAGGCTAGCACAAGCGAGGGTTTCACCGGCGAAGGTGAGATGATTGTCACCGTGGTTACGGCACAAGGCCAAGAAGAGGAACTGCAGGGGGCGAATTCTCCAGGCAAGGGGATGGATAGCCAGCACCGGGAAGGGATGAATTTTGAGCCCTCGGGAGCCAAAGCCTCCTACAAAGACTCGTTCCTGGGGAACAGCCCCCCGATTTCCATCCCAGAAGGAGATGAACTTATGTCAGACGAATCAGAAGGGGAAGAAGCGGAAGACGATCCAGACTGCCCTACAATAAGAATCAAGAAAAGTACGGACGCCCGCATCCGAAACCGATGGAGCAGAGCAATAACATTTCGGGTACTGGGTAAACTTTTCCCCTTCGCCTTTATCCACAGACGAATCCAAAATATGTGGGCTAAAACAGGAGGAATCAAGGTTGGCGACATCGGCAATGGCTATTTCCAGGCTACTTTCGACTCGCAACTGGACCATGATCGGGCTCTTTATGGCGGGCCATGGACAATCGAAGATCACTACATCGCTGCAGAACCTTGGAGGCTGGATTTCGACCCCGATTTTGACACAATCAACCGTGCTGCTGTTTGGGTAAGGCTTCCAAGACTCCCTCTTGCCTACTTCGACGAAGAGATTTTGTATGACATTGGAGATAAAATAGGGAGAGTTGAGAAGATAGACTATAACACTGCGAATGGATCAAGAGGAAACTATGCACGTATATGCGTGGAGATTGATTTAAGGAAGAGGCTTGTCTCGAAGTACAGAATCAAGAGGAGAGTTCGTAGGGTGGAATATGAAGGCCTACATACTGTTTGCTTCAAGTGTGGGCGATATGGCCATCTCGAAGATGGATGTACACAATCTGACTCAATGGGATCCAACCCGGAGGAGAAAGTGCCCCTTACTACGAGTCCCCCCCAGAAGCAGGAAATTCGCCCAGAGATATTGGAGGACTTTGGCCCCTGGATGCTTGCGACTCGAACAAGAAGAAAAACTAGACAACCACTCAACCAGAGAAAAGCCAAAGACAACCTGATTAAGGAATCAGACCCAGACAATGAAGGCCATGGCTCACGGTTCAGTGTCCTGGAAAGTGAAGAGGCAGAGAAAGAAGATGTAGATGAAACCAATGAGAAGGAGGTTGATACGTGTCAGACAAGTGCCCAAGCTACAAGGAAGCAGACTGATACTATAAGAGATGATGGAAGAAAGAAAGACACCAACAAAGAAAGCAAGGTTGCTGTCAAGAAAGGGAAAGATAAACAGCCTGAGAAGTCTAAGGGAATAGAAGAACCCAAGAATATCCCACTGAAAGCTGACAAGAAAGAAGCACCCAAAGGAAAGAAACAGGAAGGTAACTCCAATGCAACAGGAAGGAAGACTGAGACTCATGATGGAGCTGGAGGGACTCTGAACAGCAAAGGCCTCAACAAGGAGGAAACCAAGGCCAACCAGCATCACAAACAGCAAAATGTTGGGACCTCCACCCCCCAACACGCCGCCAAAATGAGCAACGAACGTGGAAAAGCATCAGGAGCCAGAGCTGGGCATCAACCCATGATGCACCAGTCTCCGGGAATTAAAGACAGTAAAGAAAAGGCGAAGAAGAAATTCACCTCCCCTGAAAATGGGACTGGTCAACCGAAAAGAATCAACTTTGATTTGAACTCGGGATCTGACACCATCATGCCTGAAAGTGCAACCCTTCATGTGGATTCTGTGATTGACAGAAACACAATGGGGGAGGAAATGGCCATGGCCATTGACAAGTGATACTCCCAGTGTTCTTGTGATCAAGAGACCTTTCCAAATCATTCTCATTATGGTTAAGGTTTTCTCTTGGAACTGCAGGGGTGCTAGACATCCTAAATTCCTTTCAACTTTTGAGTTTTACAAAGCGACTCATTTACCGGATGTGGTCTGCATTTTGGAGCCCAGAATCAGTGGGGATGATGCAATTGAAGTAATAAAAACCATGGGGTATGACGCCTGGGAAGTTTCTGACGCTGTGGGGTTCAGTGGGGGCATCTGGATTCTATGGGATAGCAAGAAACTGAAGTTAGAATACGTGGATAAGCAGAAACAGTTTCTCCATGTTCGATGCATCCTGGGAGGCAAAGTTATCTACCATCTTACTGCCGTCTATGCTAGCCCTAATGAGCACGAGAGAGGTGATCTCTGGGCTGCCATTAGGAGGTTAGAAAGACAAGTCAGCACACCATGGTTAATCACAGGCGACTACAACTCAATTCTGAAGTCATCAGAGAAACAGGGAGGTGCCCCTTTCAACCACGCCAAAACAAGAGCTTTCAAGGACTGCATTGATGAGTGTGGATTAATCGATTTGGGATTTACGGGGCCCAAGTTTACTTGGTTCACACGTAACCCCCAAATCATGGAAAGACTTGATAGGAGCCTTTGTAACTTGGCTTGGCATCATCAGTTTCCTGCCTCCTCCACAACCCACCTACCAAAACTGAAGTCAGACCACAGACCTATATTGACATGCACCTCTATGGAGAAAAACAAGAACAAACCGGTGAGACGCTTCCAATTCCTTGCTCCTTGGTTATCTCACCCAGATTTTCTTCCCTTTATTGACTCTACCTGGAACAAAGGTGCTGATTTAAGATTCTCGCTGCAGGGACTCACGGAAAGGCTCAAAGACTGGAATAAAAATGTTTTTGGTAACATTTTCAAACGCAAAAGAGAGCTGCTGCACACTCTCAAGTCGCTGGAAATGCTTAATGAAAGGAAGCCGAGCCAAAGTTCCCTGAAGAAAGAACAAGATATCAGAGAAGAGCTTGAAAGCACATTGTGGCAAGAAGAGCTCCTTTGGAGACAGAAGTCCAGAGCTAATTGGGTGATCTATGGTGACCAGAACACCCACTTTTTCCACACCAGCACCCTAAGTAGACGCAAGCACAATAGAATTCTTAGCCTGCAAGATGCCAATGGGGAATGGATCAACGACCCTGACCTGCTGCAAGCCATGGCGAGGAACCATTTTGTGCTTACCTTCACTAGGGATGACACCGAGGAAGCTGCAACCATCCCAGCGACCTTCCCTGCCTTGGATCCAACCCTCTTAACTAGGCTGGACTGTATTCCTACTCAGGAGGAGATTAAAGCCATTATCATGGAAATGAATGGCTTAAAAGCCCCTGGGAAGGATGGTTTCCACGCTGTTTTCTTCCAAAAATGCTGGAATTATGTTGGAGCTGATGTTTCTTGGTTTGTCCAAATGTGTTTCAGGGATAGGAGCAGGATACAAGCGGTGAATGAGACCCTGCTGGTTCTTATCCCCAAAGTGGAAGGGCCATGCTCTATGAGTCAATTTCGACCCATTAGCTTATGTAATGTGATGTACAAGGTGGTGGCGAAGAGTCTCGCTAATAGGCTAAAGACACTTATGCCACATCTTGTACACCCAAACCAGTCTAGCTTCGTCCCTAAAAGACACATCACTGACAATATCATTATTTTGCAGGAAACTGTACATTCAATGGCAAAGAAAACTGGGAAAAAAGGTCAGATGCTGCTCAAAGTTGACCTGGCCAAAGCATACGACCGCATCAACTGGCAATTCTTGGAGGAAACTCTCAAAGAGGCGGGTCTCCCAGAAGACTTCATCAAAACTGTTATGGCTTGCGTCACCACAACAAGTTTTCAGGTTTTGTGGAATGGAGGGGAGACAGAGAGCTTCCTTCCATCTCGTGGGTTGAGACAAGGTTGTCCTCTTTCACCCTATCTTTTCACACTTTGCATTGAGAGACTAAGTCATTGTATCCTTCATGAAGTGAATTGTGGTAACTGGATACCCATGATACTTTCTCTTGGTGGCCCTTTTCTTTCCCATCTCTTTTTCGCCGATGACCTTGTGTTGTTTGCGGAGGCCAATATTAAGCATGCTGAGGTGGTGATGTCTTGCCTTGAGAGGTTTTGCTCTGCCTCGGGGGAGCTAGTTAGTAGAGAGAAATCTCGTGTGTTCTTCTCAAAGAACACCCCAACCCCCACCAGATCTGTGATTTGCAATAGATTAGGAATTCAAGCCACCTCGGATCTTGGGAGGTACTTAGGGGTGCCAATTCTTCATGGTAGGATGACGAGAAACACATATAAGTATATTCTTGAGAAAATGGACAATAAACTTAGTTCGTGGAAAGCTAGGTCCCTCTCCCTTGCTGGCAGAGTAACCCTTGCCCTTGCTGTCCTTAATGCCATTCCGAATTATGCTATGCAAACAACCTTCCTTCCTGCCTCTGTTTGTGATGCCATCGATAGAAAAATTATGAATTTTGTTTGGGGTTCTCAAGAAGGAAAAAGAAAGGCTCATTTGGTGTCGTGGGAAACTGTGTGCAAGCCGAAAGATCAGGGAGGGCTTGGATTGCGGTCCGCGCGCAGTCTGAACATGGCCTATATGGTCAAGTTGGCGTGGCAATTATTTAACAACGAATCTGAGCTTTGGGTGCAGGTGATTCAGGGGAAATACTTTAACCACAAAGATGGAGTGATAACCTCAATGAAGACGAGTAATCACTCCAGCCTGTGGAGAGCGATCCTTAAAGCTATGCCACTAATGAAAAGTGGATGCTGCTGGAGCATTAGAAATGGTTACACTACAAGCTTTTGGGAACACCCTTGGCTTGATAATGGCCTCGTTCTGAATGAGTTTCTGACTTCTAACATTTCTCAGATGGAAAGGGAGTCGCCTGTTGCTGATTGGGTTACGGATAGTGGGGAGTGGGATTGGGCTAGGCTGAATAGATTACTCCCTGATTTTTGTCTTAATCTGATTGCAGGAAATGATCCACCAAAAGCTCACCTGGGGGAGGATAGAACCATCTGGGGGCTTGAGAAAGATGGGAGATTTCGCTTGAAGTCAGCGTATGCACTTGCAGCAGAGGTAGCGGATGACGACGAGCTGATTGCGGACCAATGCTGGGCTAAGATGTGGAAATGGAAGGGACCGAATAGAGTCAAACACTTTCTCTGGTTGGTCCTCCATGACAGACTCATGACAAACAAAGAGAGGGCGAGAAGAAAAATCACTGAAAGCAGCAGCTGCAATAGGTGTAAGGATACTGATGAATCGATCGAGCACATCCTGCGCAGCTGTGAGAAAGCGACCATTATCTGGAACAAGTTCAAAGAAACGATCCAAGACAGGGACCCCTTTACACCCTTCAAGGATTGGTTACTGAACAACCTGATGAATGAAGAAAATGGGACTAAGTTTGGAATTATTTGCTGGAATTTATGGAAGCAGCGAAATGAAGAAGCTTTGGACAACAAAAGCTTCAATGCGCAATGCCTCACAAGCAGAATCCAAGCTTGGATCAGAATCATGGAAGAGGCTGAGAACTGGATCAAAATGACAACTATCAATGTTATTAGAACTATCACAAAGACACAGATTGCATGGAAACCCCCAAAAGAAGGCTGGGTTCAAATCCAATCTGATGGGTCTTTCTTGCCAAAGGAAGGGAAAGCGGCTGCAGGTGGGCTTATTCGTGACCACTTGGGGAGGTGCAGCAAGGCATTTGTTTGTAACCTGGGGTCGTGTTCAATCACAGCTGCCGAGCTCAAAGCTGCAGCAGAAGGGCTCAGAATTGCGTGGAATGAAGGCCATAGGAAGGTGTAGCTGAACATGGACTCCAAGACTGCCATTGCAATCATTCAGAACTGTGACGACGATGATCACATAAATGGACAACTGGCTGCTACGTTCAGGGATCTCTTAAGCCTCGACTGGGAGGTGTCTATTTCTCATGTGTTTAGGGAAGCAAACTGTGCGGCAGATTTTCTCGCCAATTTAGGCTTCTCCTATTCGTTTGGCACACATCTCTTCGATGTATGCAACCCAGAGCTTAGGCACTGGCTCCTTCATGATGTACTGGGAACATCCCAAGATCGTCTTGTTCCTTTAATGAATTAGACGCTTATGCGTCTGCTTTTCTACCAAAAAAAAAAGTGGGTCTATCAAAAAAGATCAGGGAGGTGGAACTGGCTTCGTGGGTTTTGATGATTCGGGTGCTATCCTCTTCGGTTTTGGTAAGTACTATGACACAATTCAAGATCCGTTTCTTATGAAATTATTGGCCTTGCGTGATGCTGTGAACTGATGTCTGACCCACAATTTTCTTTCTGTCAAATTTTATGGGGACTCTCAATTGGTTGTTCGGCATGTGCTGGCGGGGGATTCGTTGCACGACGTGGGAGGAGCCATCTTGGAAGACATCTATCGCTTAGTTGCGAACTTTGATTTCTGCTCTTTGTTTTTTGCTCCTCGGCATTGTAATAGAGCTGCCCATTTTGTGGCTAAACAAGCTCTGTCATCGAAAGTTCGACAAGTAGTCGACTTTCGCCCGGTGTTGGACTCTGTTCTCTGACTTTGTGCTTGGACATTCGTCCAATCTGTCTATGTTAAAACAAAAATTGGTCTATTATTGGGACGAGTCCAATCGAGAAGAGTATTCGTATCTGTTATCACGTTTATGAAATGGAAATTATTTGTTCAAAACAGATTAAACATACTAGATTGAACTAGTGAAATTGAAATTATCATCCATATGATAATCCTCTAACCATTTATGTCTTAGCTTTAAATATATCAATACCCCTAAATCTATCTAACGGGATCATTGCTCCTGAATCTAGCCCGAGATTCCTCTTTCCAAAACTCATACCCAAATCCAAGCAGGGTGTGGGATTCTGGTAGACAATCCACAGACCATAAATGGCTTCAGAAGGAGAAGAAACTAGCCTGACTTATAGATCCATGAGAAACATGTCGGCAGTAGCAAGAAATATCCTATGAACCATCAAATCATAATTTCGAAATTGTTCCACATCAACTTCAGACTATGATGCTTTGATTCCCCCATGTTCTTTCTCTCAACTGGAGGGTTTCTGTTAAGCTCATTAAAGTCCCTCCAAACAAACAGTTCCCTTCTGAGGATATTCCCATTTCAGCCAATTGTTTGTCAAAGTTTAGCTAGTTTTCTGCCTCTTTTGCTGGTCCAAACAAACCACACTAATTTTTTGTAGTGCTCCCACTTACTCTATCACTTTCTTTTCCTTGTTGTCCCTTCCTCCATCACTCTTTTTCCTAACTAACAAAGCCTGAAAAGAAGCAACCATCTGGGGAAAAAAAGAAGAAGGAAAAAGACAGTAAACACATTATACTACTACTGCTAAATGATTTGCTTATAATAAAGTCCACAACTTTACCCCAAACCCATCTCAAATTTTCATCAACAGATGAAGGGTAGTGGCAGAAGAGGAAGTTTCATGGCAGTGGAGATTCTGCTGGTTTTCCTGGTTTTCATGGCTGCTAATGCAATCACTGGTGAGGCAGTCTTTGGAATTGACATGAATCCATGCACGCTCACAACCTGCACAGAAGCCTGCAAGAATGTTATGGGGGAGAAGTTTGACAGTGCCTCCTGCTACCAAGGGATCATATGTATGTGCTTTGGTTGATGGGTTTTCAGGGAGATTCTCCAAGTCCAAATGTTATCATATATGTATGTATATAAAAAGTTTGGTTCTTTAAAGTAAAGGGTAAAGCTTTAGATATTTCTTAGCCTCTTTCTCTATATGTTTGGTGTGTTGTGAATGATGAAACTTGTACTGAGAAGAATCTTCTCAGAGTTTCACCAGGTAAACATATAAATATGCTTTCATGGTGGATCTAAGAGGTCAAACTGCATGATGTATGATGTACAGACTTTGAACCTGCAATATATAACATGAGGTAAATGTTGTCCCTTTTAGATTCTATCTTCCCCTCACCTTTCCCCAATCCATGTATTTGCCCTTCTGAGAGACTAGAGAGAATGAAGAGTGAACAAAAAGAGATGAGATTACAACTGAAAACCCACCCTTTTTTTCTGGTTTCGTTTGTATCCAATAATCCACCCATTTGAAGAAGGATCATTTTCTGTTCCTGATCAAAGTTGTCTGCTTTCTTCAGTTTCCATTCCATAGCTGAAGAAAAAGAAGATCAAAGAGCTGAAATTCTTGTTATTGAGCCACATGACAGCAGAAATCAAGGAATGAAAGAAGGGGAGTAGGAAAAAATGAAGCCCAACTTGCTATAATTGGACAACTAGGCTAACATTCAAATGGGTAGAAGATAAAGGCACAAATTTTGATCAAGAGAAGGAATCGGAAGAGGGGTTTCTTCTGTGAATTGGTTATACCTCTAACTCAAAAGAGATTTTTTTTTGCTTTTGTTCCCATAACCTTGTACTGAAGGTCCTAAATTGTTACCTTGTATGTTTAATGCCACTTTCCTTTCCTCCACACACATAGCTAATACCAGAAGAGAAGGAATTCCAACTCTTTCATCAATGGAGTACTGCAATAATAAACTACCATTCTATCTTCAAACCAAGTAAAGTTAACAAGTTAATAATGGAAAGTAAAGGCTTGTTAACAAGTTAATAATGGAAAGTAAAGGCTTGATGATGAAGCTAAGGTTAGGTGATCTGTCAACAACCAAAGTTATGGACCCTCCATAATGTTCCCAAGATGGGCAGCAATGATATGAAGAAATTCACTGGTAGAGCCACCATAAGGACATCAATCAATCAATTACACCTACCATAACCCATTCCTCAAAAAAAAAAAAAAAAAAAATTACACCTACCCTACCCATTATTAATTTATTATTGCTATCAACTAACTTTTGATGGTTTTTTGGGGTTATTAAGGAAGTCTTTGGGATGTATAATAAATAAGTTTGAGAATTTACATGCAACTTTGTTTTCACAATTGGAATAAAGTCATATTAGGATGCTGGTTTTGGAAGGTGGAAGAAATTTGGTTTGAAAAGTAGAGATGGATGTGACCAAAGTCAAAAGGAGTCAAATCAATTTAGTTTTACTGTTATTGTTCTTGTTAATAAGTTGATGTTGGATAAAGGTCAACATGGAGTGCACATTAAGTCACCTAAATTTATGGGCACTAGCCAATTCTCTAAAACTAATGAGTTTATTGTAGTCAAATTGTACATTGGCTGGAAAACCATAATTTATATAACATATAGCAATCTCCTGCTCTAACTTGAGTATAATTTTAAATTAGCTAATTTGTATAAATCTGAACTGCTAAAATAGATTAAGATCATTTCAAGTATCATCGTAAGAAATCCCTAACATATATAAAAGCACACACGCATATAAAATAACTAACAATCTAGTCCTTACAATCTAAATTAAAGTTATGTCTACCAATTACGAGACTATCAATATATGTCAAAATAGATCAATGGTAACGTTATAGATAGGGTTCATGTTTAAATGAGTTGACCTTTTTAATATGAATTATAGATGAGTGATTTAATTTGCACTTCTGAAATCATTTTTGATTTATATATGGGAGATTTCAAGTTAATCCTTCTCAATTATTAGATTATTTAATTTTCTTTTTTTTTTCTTGTTGAATCAGTTCCCTCCTTTTATTAATAAAATGAGATGTACAAAAATCAAATCCTTCACCCTGATACAAGCAGTCAAAATCGGGATTTTACGTAAAATAAAAAATAGGGGTAAAATCGAATCGTAAAATCGTAGGATTTTAAGATTCATATAAAAATGAAGACAGGATAATATTAGTAAGGAAAATCATGAATAACACAAAAGCACATAACACTTACAATGATAATTTTCAAGGTTAAGGTTCCAATTTATCAAGTTTAATGTTAAGAGGTGGTGAATCGATGATGATTAATACATTGATGTGAATTTATTATAGTCGATGGTAGTTAGTGTGAGAGAACTAGATGATGTTGGTGGAGGAGAAGAAAAAGAGGGGTAGTTTTGCAAATTATGGGGAAAATAAGTAAAATTGACTCAAAGATTTGAATCGTAAAATCGTAAGATTTTAAAGATTTTAAGGATTTAAATCGTGAATAGGGTAGAATTTTAAGGTCTATAGATTTTATAGTGAAATCAAGATCGTAATAAGTAAGTAAAATCGTAAAAGCGTAAGATTTTAGAATTTAAATAGAAATTTTGACTACTCTTAGAACACCTTAGAGAGAGGCACCCTGTAAAACAAAAGCTAAGAAAAATGACTCAATCCACCACTACTACAACTTTCCCTTCTTCTATAAAATTGATTATGCTATCCTAGCCCAATCAGAAACCAAAACAGGGTGGTATTGAATTGCAAAGAATATATCTCTACTCCAAAGCTTTTCCTCTGCTGCAATACTCCTTGGGATCTCGACATCTTTCCTGCCAGATGAAGGACAAAAATCCCCACCCTCTCTTTTCCTTTTACATTAATCAGCAGACATGTTGCTCAAAGTAAGTTAAGTGGATTATCAGGAAGATAGATGAAGCAGGCTGGAGATCCCATCTGTTATGATTGGCTCCAAAAGTAAAGAAACAAGCATGAGAGCGAAAATTAAGTTTTAACTTAAACCCTATATGAATCGCCTATATTTCAAAGAAGCCCACCAATAATTATTGCTATCATATGCAGTTGTACCCATGGCCATGACCTCATAACTAATTTATCAGGTCGATTACAAAATTAATCACTAGCTTTTCAGTTATTAACAAATTGGTTAATGAATTTTGATTTGTAACAAAAAAAAATGAAGTTTGGAATAACTAACACAACAATAATTCTATTCATGTTTAAGTTGATCAACTTTCCCTTTCAAAATTTCCATGTTGGTGTCCCAATCCAACTAAATTACTAAAAATAATGGATAGATGGACCATAATCAAATGAGACAGAAATATCCATTTTAACTCATGTTTATCCAAGCCAAACCCAACTCTAGCCTATTATTACCTTAAACCACTCGAGTCCTCTACTTCTTGGATCAAATGGTTGATTAGAGAGTGTATGTAATTTTTCTTTTCTTATTAAGGTGGATGAGTTAACTCGTTAATATGGACCATTTCGATGAAAAAAGTTGACGGCGTTGATCAAAATCATTAGTCATGCTAGAAACACATTAATGATAGAGAAAAAACACAAAAAGTGACCCAGATCGACCATGGTGATTGACTTGTATAGGGGGGGGGGGGGGGATCACATACTTTGTATATAAAATGGTTGATTAGAGAGTGTATGTTGCATTGTTTTCTTATTCACTTTAATGAGTTAACACGTTACCATGGACAATTTTAACAAAAAATTTGATGGAGATGGTCAAAATTGTTATTACAAAAGTCATGCTATAAATACATTAGTGAGTTTGAGAACTATTCATCTTTGATTAATAGTGTAGAAAAAGCGCAAAAGGTTACCAAATTCGATCATGGTGATCGCCTTATATGTCCAGAGGGGAGAGGGAGAAGAGAGAGAAAGAGCGGGAACTCTAATTGCTTCGTAACAAAAATAAGGAAAAGCTGTGGATCGAAATTTACACTATTACAAGAGTTAAACTGGTCTTATATAAGTTTCATCTACCTACCTACACTATTACATATATTTAAACTAGACCTATAATCTATCAAGTTGTCCCAAATTTCAACAAAAAAGTTAGTTAAATGTCAAATTCAAATACCTATTTTAAGTAACCGCAAAATTTAATCGCTATTTGTGTAATTGAGCCCTAATGTATCCATAAAAACTATCGCCTTACCCCCGCCCATTTTTGCACTGTATTTCAAGACAAAGTTCTAAAACATAACTCACTTGATACCCCGTACCCACTGTGTATTTTTTTCTAATGGCACGATTAACGCGTGATTGCCCAATTATGACATTCAAAGGAAAAAGAAAATTATAAAGAGCAAGGCAAAAAAGAGTAGAAAAGAAGCACTTGATTATGCATGCTATCTTTTTTTAAGGCTCATAGTGGTAATCTTTGCCCTCGATTCTTCTTGTTACCTTGTTGTTTTTGATAAATTTAAGGAAGTGTTGTGAACCCAATTCAACACCTTACACCATGAGCAATAGAACATGAATTTTGGCTCCTGCCCTTTCTTTATGCAAGACGCAAAACAAACTACATCCATATGTCTCCATATTTGACAATATATAGAAACATATTTGAATCAAGCAATACGATGTAGAAGTCAAGTTGTAGCATTAATTATTTTAGGATTTGATTCGTTTTTATTTTATTTTTTATTAATTATTTTGATGATGTGGATGCTGACAGGACAGTTGATTGGACCAAACTAACAGAATTTTGGATGGAGATGGACATAATTACCTTTTTGTTATTAGTTCAAACATATATTACTGAAACGTGCAAAACTAAAGATTTGTGACCGTTTTGTACAAAGTGAATAGTTTTGTGACCATTTTTGATAACTACCCAATAAATGGGCTCTAATAGTGGGCTACATAAAAAAGGAACAAAAAATAATGGGAGTTACTAAATCTCGCTCTAATTTTTTATATCGCCCTAACTTTAAAACTAAACTTGCCCTTTTTATCCTTTAACTTGTTCCGCTAATTCTCCCTCCCGCCAACAAAAAAAAGTTTTATTTCAACAAACAAACACCCAACAACAGAAAGGATTTGAACAAACTTTTCCAGGCGAAAAAAAAAATCCCCTTTCTCTCTGTCGTGGAGAGTGGGAGAGGAACCGTCGCCGACGTGCGCTTCGCCGTAATTGGCACTACACCATCGTATCCCAGCGGCATCGGGCTGTGTAACGATGGGGGTTATAAAGCCACCATGGTGGGTGAAGCGTTCTGCATCGCTAATTCGACTATCCTTACTCAATCGTTTCCAATTTCGGGGAAATCTCCTGTTCTTCTATTCACGATCTTCAGTCATGGCTGGTGTGAATGCAGTGGTCTTTGGGGATGCTGATGTCGTTGCTGGCGCGGAACGCAATGACCTATCTCTGCTGGGGCGGGTGATTGGCTCTGCTCCTCCGATTCGCCATCTCCAAACAACGATGGGGCGGTTATGGGGGTGTCGCGGGGCCATCTCTGTTCTCCCGGCTGCGGAAGGCCTCTTCCAATTCGTCTTCCCGTCGGAGAACGATATGGATGCAGTGTTGAAACAATCGCCTTGGTTCCTACCCAAGTTCTTGGTCAATCTGGCCCCATGGGTGGAGGTTACTCCGACGGTTGCCGACCAACACTGGAAAGTCCCCCTCGACCTGCAATTCTGGAATATTCCCCCTCAATGTTGCACTCGGAGGATGGCCTCTCTTCTGGGATTGGCTTTGGGAAAGAGTGAGTCGGCTGCGGTTCATCGCATTCCGGGCTCCGGCGAACTCTACCTCCGAGCGAAGGTTTGGCTGGATGGTCGACTGCCATTACCGACCTCGGTGCCTGCTGCTCACGATAAGGGAGGGATAGGGCCGTTCTCGGCGACTATCACCTTCAAAAGACTCCCCCAATTCTACTACCTGTGTGGTATTTTAGGTAATGTTGGGCAGCACTGCTCTCGTCGCGAGGAGCTTGCTGGCTCGGTGACCCCCTATGACAAGCACCTAGTTTCAATGAAATTCGGCCCTAAGGTGAATGAACGATCACTGGTCACCAGGAAGCAATACACTTGGATTCGCCAGGAGGTTGCGGATGCTTCGGCACAGGGGCGTTCACCTGCTCAAAAGGAGACGGCGCTGCTCATGGCTCATCAAGGGCGGATGGAATTGGCTGTGGATGGGAAGGCTGGGCAACTCCTGCCTACCGGGAGCTTACCTGCTCTCGACATTGTACCTTCCAAGGAGAGGGACATGATGGATCAGCCTGCAACATCGTCGACTCACTTCTATTGTCACTCTAGGAATTAGCCAAGTGAAACCACTTCCTAAAGCATAGTATAGCGGGTTTGGGTTTTAATGTCAACCCGGGTCCTAGATTTGATGACTACTCAGTGAATTCTTGTTATCTAGCAATGAAACTTTAATGCAAGTCTAAACTAACAAACTAACAAAGCAAGTAAACGGTTGTATTCAGGTTAAGAGAGGTCACCCGGATATGGTTCCCCCTAGACTGCAGTTAAGCCGGATTGTAATTACCAAGTTCAGTTTCTATGAAATACTGCGGAAGGTTCTTAAACAGTCTGAAGTCTTGACTAAAGGTCTTCAGACCCTCTCAATCTGAGTCTCTAGCGGGCGACTAACCTCCACCGGAGTAAACAGATTGAGGCCTTAACAAACAAAACCTCCACTACCGGAGTAAATCCGGTACATAATAGTGAGTTGGCTCCTCGACTAAAGTCACCAACTCCCTACCTTTAATTAAGGATGCTCTATCAACCTAGGCAGATATTCTCATTCTAGGTTAAAGCAGAAACAACAGGAATTTGATCAGGATTCAAGTCATTCAATCATTCAAACCTCAATTGAACATAATCAAATCATAGAATCAGTACTTGGATTCATACAATCAAAGTCTAACATACAAATCTAGGGTTCTCCATACCCAGATGAATGGGAGAACTACTCCATGGAGAAAGAAGCAAAAGCAGAATCAGACGCGGAATTCATAGTGTGAAGGATGGATTCCTGCTCCTGGACGTTGATCGGCACTTCCCCAAGCTCAAGCTGGCCTCCAATGGTGTTGAAGATCAAGCTAGGGCACTTGGAGACTCTTGTTCGTCACTTTCTCTCTCTAGGAATTGCTCTATCTCTCTCAAAACTCGAATCCCCTTCTGTTTTGGCTGAAATCTGCTTAAAAGGGCATCAGTGGCCAAAGCACGGTCGAGGGCACGACCGTGCTTTGCCTCAGCCCGCCCGTGCTTTGGCTAGGGTTAATTACACGGCCATTGTGTTGGGAGAAACACGGCCGTGATTTTGGGAGGACACGGCCGTGCTTTGGTGGACACGGCCGTGCTTTCAGCCCGTGTTTGCAGCTTGAATTTGCCAAACTCAATTAGCTCTCGGCAGTAAAAGCACGGCCACAGAACACGGCCGTGTTCTGTTTTAGGTGTGCCCGTGTTTTGGCTCCAGCTCGACGAAATGACTTCCGAATGTCCCGAAACTCGTGCTTAGCCTTTCCTTTGACGCCTGGGACCTGAAATATGACAAAATAGCACAACCCGGCGTAAAATAGGCCAAAAATACACGACTACGCCCCTCAAACGGATAAGAACTAGGGGCGCAAATATGTGCAATTACATTGTTATCAATCGTTGATCAGGCAGAGGGAGCTGCTGGCCGACTCTGCAAGTGGTGGTATATCGAAGAAAGCTCGCTGTGAGCAGATGGATACGGAGTTCGAAAAAGAGGAGTGTGATGTGGTGGAGGCAACCAGCCCGAACTGGTCCCACCCGGCGCCATGAGTGTACTCGCTTGGAATTGTCGGGGACTTGGCTCACCCTTGACGATTCCTTCTCTGTTTGGAGCTGTGTGTAGGTTCTCACCTTCTGCTATTTTCCTTAGTGAAACCAAGAATGAGGATGAGTATGTACATAAGAAACTCTTGCGCCTTGGGTTTCCGTTTGTCCACTGTGTCTCCCCTGTTGGTACAGCAGGCGGATTAGTAGTAGCTTGTTCTTCTAGTGTTCAGTGTCGGGTAGTAGCCCAGGCTGAGTTCTTCTTGTTCGTGGAACTTCAGCATTTAATTTGGGGTTTGTTAGCAGTCTTCTTTGTCCATCTTAGTAGTGATGTACATATCCGCCACCATCAATTTAATGAACTTGCTGATTTGCTTTCGCCTTGTGTGTTGCCAAAAGTGGTCATAGGTGACTTTAACTGTCTCCTCCAATCCAATGAGAAGATGGGCGGCCGACCACCCTCATTCCAGGGGATGGAAGTATTTCGTTCTTTTCTCGATGGTGCAGGTTTGCTTGATTTTGGATTTAAAGGACCTCCGTTTACATGGTCTAATCGGCAAGGCCTTTCCACTCATATTTTAGAGAGATTGGACAGAGAACTAGTCACTGAAAATCTCATGTCTCTTTGGCCTCTTATGCAGATTACACATCTTTCGGACCTTGGTTCGGATCATAGGATCATTTTGCTGCAACTAATTCCTGGAGCAGGGAAAGGAAAGCCGCGGTTCCATTATGATCGTAGATGGTGTTCTAACTCTGATGCCCGGGATATTGTCTTTGGTGAATGGCAGGTATCTGTACAAGGAACCCCTCAATTCCAGCTGATTCGTGCTTTAAGGCAGTAAGACACCATCTTGTGGAATGGTCAAGGATGGGGACTACAAATTCTGCTAGGCAAATCAGGGAGCTAAGGTCGGCTATAGAGACTGAAAGGGATGTTCCAGCAGTGAATTGGGAGGTGATCCAGGGCCTGGAATCTCATCTCGCGGCGGCATATCTGCAAGAGGAAGCGTATTGGAAGCAGAAATCCAGAAACACTTAGCTGCAACTTGGAGATGCCAACACAAATCACTTTCATCTATCAACTACTCAACGGCAGAGGCAAAATCGTATTGAGGTATTGTAAGATGAATTTGGGAACCGGCATGTCGATGAGGAGGGTAAAGGTAGTATTCGGTTGGCTTCTTTCAACAGTTGTTTACATCTAATGGGATTCCGCCCAGTCTTTTGGTTAATGCATTGGGAATTCAACCGAAGATTGATCATACACAGAACTGTTTCCTGGCTGCTCCTGTCACTCGGGATGAGATTCGAGCTGTAGCTTTCAGCATAGGCCCTGGGCAAGCCCCGGGATCGGATGGGCTTACCGGTGCTTTCTTCCAAACTTATTGGGATATTATTGGCGAATCAGTTTACAGGGCAGCCCTGTCCTTCTTCCGATCTGGGCGTTTACTTCAGAACTTCAACCACACGATTATCACTCTAATCCCCAAGGTCATTAATGCTGAGTTGATGAAGCAAATGCGACCTATCAGCTTGTGTCAGGTCTTCTACAATATAGTTTCCAAGGTCCTCACTACTAGACTCAGTGTTATTCTTCCTGGGGTTATATCTGATTCTCAGAATGGTTTTATCAAGGGAAGGGATATTTCAGATAACATCCTCATTGCGCAGGAAGTGATGTAATTCTTAAAGACGAAGACTGCGGGAAAGGATAAGTGAATGGCTCTCAAATTGGACATGGAGAAAGCGTATGACCGGGTCAAATGGGGCTTTCTCTTTGCAGTAATGGAAGCATTAGGTTTCGGCTCTTAGTAGATGAAGTGGATAAAAGCTTGTGTCACTTCAGTTTCTTTTACTGTTCTTCTGAATGGAAATGAGCATGGGTATTTTAAACCGCAAGGGGGTATTCTACAAGGTGATCCATTATCTCCACTCTTTTTTTCCATCTACACAAAGGCTTTCTCAACTCTTCTTCAGAACGCGCTTGAGCTGCAGCAGCTTCATGGGCTGAAGGTCCATCGACTTGCCCCAACTATTTCCCATCTGTTCTTCGCGGATGATACCTACCTCTTCTTGCGTGCAACCTCCTCTAAATGTGATAACCTGATTCAGTTGCTGCGTCCCTTTGAGGAAACTAGTGGGCAGCGCATAAACCTCCAGAAATCTTCAGTCTGCTTCAGCTCTAATGTTAGTGACCAGGAGAAGAATCTTTTGGCAGCTATGATGGGTATCTCGTCCATAGGACCACTTGACAAGTACTTGGGGCTTCCGGCTCAAATCCAACGATCAAAGGTCCAGACATTCAAGTTTGTTGAAGACAATCTTGTTGCCCGCATTCAAAGCTGGCGATCCAAATCCCTCTCTCTAGCTGGAAAAGAAGTACTTCTCAAGGCTGTTGGCTCCGCAATGCCGGTGTACACTATGTTCTCATTCCGACTCCCCTCATCTTCCTGTCGCAGACTAAATAGCCAGTTGGCTAGATTTTGGTGGGCTGGGCAAGATAAGGAGAGGGGAATGCACTGGATTTCATGGCCGGCAATCTGTGTCAGCAAATTCCATGGAGGTCTTGGGTTTAGGGATTTTGATCTTTTCAACATAGCGATGCTTGGGAAACAGGCTTGGAAGCTGCTGATGTGTCCGGACTCTCTCCTTGCAAAACTCTACAAGGCTCGTTATCACCCGTATTGCGACTTTCTCACTGCACCAACTGGTTCCCGGCCTTCTTGGGCTTGGAAAGGTGTCCTTGAAGGGCGTAATCTTCTCAAACAGGGGCTGAGGTGGCAAGTAGGTTGTGGGTCAGCAATTCGCACTCTCGAGGACCTCTGGTTGCCTTCAACACCGCCTTCTACTCCAGCCCTGCTGCCCGGTATGTCTCTTCCCAATCCCTATGTGTCTGCTCTTATACATCCAATTACGAGGACTTGGAATGGAGACCTCATCCATGCAACCTTTACCCCTGAGAGTGTATCATGGATACTCTCAATACCACTTCCATCAGTACCACAGCCTGACAAACTCATCTGGCACTACTCGGATTCTGGGCAATACACTGTCAAAACGGGGTATCAATTGCAAGCAACCAGCAGACACCTTCAGTTTGATCAGCTTCCCCTATACCTCACTACAAGATTCTGGAAGACCCTATGGAGCCTCCCAGTACCCCCGAAGCTCAAGTTCTTTCTTTGGCGGGTTGTAAGAGGTTTCCTCCCAATGCAATCTATTCTTAAAGGGAAGCATCTATGTGACTCTGATGTTTGCTTGATTTGCTCAGAAGATGGAAATTGCAGAAGTTGTGTTCCTCACAATGCAGAGGTTGTAAGGAAACCTCTCGAAGATGGAAATTGCAGAAGTTGTGTTCCTCACCTGGCATATATGGAAGGGCCGCTGTTGGTCAATTTATGACAAAATTCAGTACCTGCCCGGCCCTTTATTTCGGCAGTACAATCGACAGCTTGAGGAGTGGAGGGAGGCATCCGCTGCGCCGAGGGACCAACCTCCTGGAGGGCGACAGAGAAGGGAACCAGCAGCAGGCCCAGTGTGTCCCCTTGGTAGGATTCTTGCCAGCAATCACTCTTTGGTTTGCGCATACGGTAAGTTCTATGATGGCATTTCTGACCCATTCTTGATGGAGTTGCTAGCTTTGCGTGATGCAATGTTATGGAGCCTTAATCGTGGTTATTCTACTGTTTGCTTTTGTGGGGATTCGCAATTGGTCATCCGGCGTGCAATGGAGAATGATGTCAATCATGATCGAGGAGGAGCGGTGCTTGAGGAAGTGCGGAAGTTGAAGGCTTCTTTTGCTTTTATTTCTTTTGTTTTTGCTCCTCGTAGAACTAACAGGGTTGCCCATTGCGTGGCACAAAAGGCCCTTG